TTGATACTAAAGAAAGGCTTGATATAAAATCGAGCGGTATATCGGTTGGTCAAGAAAGTGGGCTGTTATTTGCACTTTTTGCAGCTACCAGCCTCAAAGTGGAACTAAACAAAAAAATGTTCTGCTAAAGTCTATGCATGGTGTTTTAATACTATTCTGTACTGTTTCTAGGCCTATATGGCAATTTTAGTGCAGACTAGATCAATTTGCTAGCCTGATTTATCAGCCGGTTTCACTTCATGGAAACCGGCTGACCTCTCAGCGTTCGGATTTGTTCGATAGTAGGCGGATACTTTTTTTTATTTAATTAGTCACTGTTGTTTGGTCGTGACGTATGTAATGCGCCAAATCCTGTAGGAAGAAGGGCAATAACGTCTTTCCCCTTGATAAAATTCCCCAAACATTCTCTTTGTTCCGGCTTTAAATCCTCGATCTCTGGAATCGTTGCCAACACAGAATGTATGGCTTAGTCTACATCCATCCCGACCGCTTTGTTTACTGTTGTGTTGTTCCACAAAAGGGACCCAGACAGGTGCTTGAGTTTGACATCATAGCTTCACAGCTCTTCACTGATTGGCCTGTGCATGATCTACAACTTCCGGGGTTCTTGCAAACCGTCTATTGTATACTGATTCCTGACCTAGTCGCTGGAGAGAAATGAAATTGAGTGGAGCCACTACGTGGCGCCAGCCTGGCTATCAATTTGCAGCTTTATGTTCAAAAAAGTTTGAAGTGTGGATACCTGTTAGCCCAATCACTCTCTCTTTATGTCCTCCTGGTGCTGTAGTAACTCTGCTTGAAAAGTGGTTGTGGGAGGAGTTTAGGTGTCGTGAAAATATGTTTTATTAGGCACAAATAGCTGCCCAAATATGCATAAAGCCTGAAAAATGACTACACTGCTCTATCAGCCAGTATGTAGTAAAACAAGGTCAATTCAAATCAGGTAATTTGGGGAAAATATCGTCAGAGCTTCTTTGGAACTGTTTGTAACTATTAAGGAAAGATCTAAATTTGTTGCGTCTTGGTTTTTGTTTCAGTATTCATTCTTATTCAAATCACTATGTACTTTTGATACTAGTTTTTAATATTGATTACTAGCTAGGTAATTGTATTTTTGACAAATTTATAAGTGAAAAAATGCATAGCACACTCAGATGGCTGATGACCAAAAGTTTAATTAATGGTTCAGATCATTTTTCTTGCTTTGGAACACAGATCTGACGAAGGCTTTTTTGCTGAAACATTATTTAATAACAAAAAAAAGCTTTTGGACATGAGCCATTTGAGTGTGCTATTTATTTTCTCACTTTTATTTTCCTGTTCTTTGCATTGGCACCTTTACAAGACCTTTGGTGTGTGTTTTCTGTTTTCATTTGACTTTTGACCATTTTACCTGGAAATAAATGTGCAGTGGAAAGCCCTGCACCCGATATTTTTCCATGTATTTGAGCTAAATATGTCTTGCCCCGATGCCCCTGCAGACATATTTTGTATAAGCAGCTCTTGAGGTCAAAATATGTCTGCTGCTTGCTGTCTGCATCTAATTTATTCTCCAAAAATGAGGAAATGCACATTAGAAAGCTTGTTTGGTGAATAATTTGGACCACTGTTTAAAAGAAAAAGTAGTTCTGTTTTTCATTTTTTTTCAGACAGTATAAATCAGGTCGTGCGCCTTTAAGAACAGTAAAAGTAACATGGGTAATCTTCTGTTTTAGGCTATGTCGGAGCTGCTACCGTGGCTGCTGCTGCCTGGTGGTTCCTCTACGATGAGGAGGGTCCCATGGTCACCTTCCACCAGCTGGTGAGCATTCATTCTTAAATTTTTATTACTGAATGGCCCATATTGCGCTATTTTCTGATCTATGTTATATTTTTCCTCATCAAAAGCATACCTGGAGTTGTAGACAGACTAGTAATAAAGAGTTAATCAAACGTGTGAACAAAAACAAAACACAACTCCAGGTAGGTTTTTGATGAGGTAAAAAGATTCCAACATGACTAAAAGCTCACAAGAGTCAGTTTTGCGTAATATAGGACCTTTAATTAAACGAAATTATTAGACTAGACTTCAAGTGATGATATATTTTCTTGTTTTCGTTCAGTCTCACTTCATGCAGTGCAGCGATGAGAACGAGGACTTTGAAGGTGTTCACTGTGATATTTTTGAGGCCGCTCCTCCGATGACCATGGCCCTGTCTGTGCTGGTGACCATCGAGATGTGCAACGCCCTCAACAGGTGAGGCGCTATCATGAATCAGAGGCAAAAATATGTACAAAAAACAGCCTGTTTTCACATTTTTGATACAGCAAAAATTAATCCCAGTCAGGGACACAAATGTTCAGTCGATATCATAACAAATGAAGCTGCTTATAAGAGAAAAAAGGGGAAAAATCACAGGGGACTTAAAATTGCAGATTTTTGCAGAATGAGCAAAGCACTAAACTGTTAAACTGATGTGAGAGAAATTAATTTTGTTCTAAATGAGGGGTGACCAAAGAGCTCCTCTGTTTCACATGCACAGAAAATACACTGAAATAAACAATTCTGACTGCATGGTACAATCTGAATCTGGCTCAAAGCCCAGTCAAGGTACTAAAGACCAGACTGATATCCCCCTGTATAAAACAGACAAAGAACTATAGCAAATAGCCACTGAAAAAATTGTGGACTTAAAAAAAATGAAGCTACGATACACAAGTCACTCTCTGAAATGTCTTTTTAAATTTGAACTTTCTTCTTGTTTTGGCCCGCAGCTTGTCTGAAAACCAGTCCCTGGTGAGGATGCCTCCCTGGAGTAACCTGTGGCTCGTGGGTGCCATGTCTCTGTCCATGTCTCTGCACTTCATGATCATCTACGTGGACCCTCTGCCTGTAAGTCTGAACTCTATATAATAATACAGATGTCCTCTTGTTTTATTTAATCTGTTACAGAATGAACTGACATTGTGTCGTTTTTGTCTCCAGCTGATCTTTAAGCTCACCCATTTGAATGTAGAGCAGTGGCTCATGGTGCTGAAGTTGTCCATCCCAGTTATTCTTATAGATGAGCTGCTCAAGTTTGTGGCTCGCACTTATCTTGAAGGTAAGTCTCTACTTTTTATTTATCCATTTATTTGAGCTCATCTTAATATTTGACATATTGAATTAATCTGTACATATACTGTAGTTTAGTGTTTTCATTGATTACTCACATGGATGTGTTTGACATTCCTCTTTGTGAAATCCCAGCTTAAACCTGTCCCTTTGTCCTCAACAAACTCCCTGTAAAAAAAACCCAGGTATTTCTGAAGCTGCTCTGTGCTTTCTGTGTATATGCAATTGAAGGGGTCATGTGTTCTGACTTTAAACCAAGGCCTGTCACAATCACCTAAGTTTGAACTATAATATACCGTATTTTTCGCACTATAAGTCGCACCGGAGTATAAGTTGCAGAAAACACCCAAACCATGAAAAAAAGAAAAAAAGTGGGACTTATAGTCTGAAAAATACGGTATATGAAATACATTTTTAAATGGGTACTTAAATTCTTCTATTTAAGTAGATTTTTTCATGCAGTTCTTTTTATTACATGGCAGGCCTATTTAAAGAATCAAAGCTTGGAAATCGAGCTGCAGTCTGTATAAAGTCTTGTGCTGTTATGTTGCAATGTGTCGCTGTAGCCTTCCATGTGCTGCCTGAGCAAATTAAGCTGCTTATGAGAAAAAAAGAATGAAATAAGAAACCAAAACTGGGGAATGAAAAACATCCCGGACTTTTGCAGAACAAATGAGCGAAGCAAAAAACTCAGTTCTTCTGTTTAAATCGATTTTTTTAATGCAGTACTTTTACTTTTACAGTACATTTTTGGCCCCAAACATGAGGCCACCACTGCATAGACGTTATTTTTTTGACAACAGCTTAAATGTCAATATTAATATCTAGTAATACTACAAAAAATTTAATCCCTACTTGCAGAGGCGGTTTCATGAGTGATAGTTGATATATTAATTAGTGCAACAGGTCTACTCAAAGAAAAAAGCTTGGAAAAGGAGCTGCAGTCTGTAGAGTCTTGTGCAATGTTGCAATGTATTGTTGTAGCCTTCCATATTTGCCACTTCGCTTTTGTTTTAGGCAGTGTTTGCTGTTACATGCACATTCAACATCTCATTATCACATTTTTGGTGATAATTTGATCATTTGATAATTAAAATGACACGTAAACAGCACGATCATTTGCGTTCTTCCTGACCTTGGTCCATCAGATTAAGTTTACTTGTCATTTAAATCATCTTAATGCTCCAGAAATGAGATCATAGTGAGATGTTGTTGTGCATGTAACCACAGCTAATGTTGTCTGCTGCTGGACGCCTCAACACAAACATGACCTTTAAAGCAAATCTGTTTGACCCCCTCAGGAAAAGTGTAAAGGAGGTGAGACCGCGCAGACGCTCACACCAATGCTCAAGGGCCCAGCGCTCCGAGTGAAAGGGGACTCACTTGAACCCAGCGCTGTCAAAGCCTGTGCCATCTGAAAACACCCACACATGGCAAGAGATTTGATCTGTGTATTTACTAAATATAATATATAGCTAGAAGTCAAAACCTGTGATGATTCTATTCTTAAAGAATAAAGATATATATAAGAAGCTGTCAACTTGGTTTGTCAGTATTGCATTTTGTTTAGTAAATGTATCTTAATAAATATTTATCACCATCTCATGGACTTACTTGTTATGCAAAAACAGGGACAATGATGTGCTCAGCTAAACCAGCAACCCTTGGTCTGACAGTGTTTACATAACTTTTACAGCTGTGATAATGTGTTCTTCTGCTCGTTCTGCTTAAACTCACGCTGTCTGTAAGTAGTTGATGCAAATAGAGATGCATTCTTCACTTAAGTTTGGTTTTGGATTATGTAGAACATGGTTAGCCAAGTTGCCCGATATGTACATATGAAGTTGAGTTTCTAATTGTTGTTGCACAAATGCTACAGCCACAACAATAAATAAAATGGAGCAAGTACACATGTATGTTTATTTTATCATTCACATTTTCAATCTCTGACAAGTGTGTCGCTGTTTACCTTCATTTTAACAACAGATTCATTTGTCCTGATGCAATATTGAAAATGGCACTTTGTTAAAGCTCCTGTATTACACAAAATTGACTCTTGTGAGCTTTAAGCCAAGTTATAATGCTGTTATCTCTTCAACCTGGAGTTGTGTTTATTTATGTCTGTCTACATGTCCGAAGCTCAAACTGCTCTGTTCGATGAAGCAGTAGTTTTCAAGTTAAAAGCTACTTTTTTACCTTTTGTTCAGCAGATATTGGCAATTCCAGGGCTGAAGTTATCCAAATGATTTTAGTGAAGTTGTATGGCATTTAAAAACATAGTGGAGTCCTTCCTGTATTACCACAACTAAGCAGGATTTGTGTGAATGAAACTAAACACAACTCTGGGTCTGTTTTTGATGAGGAAACAACATTAAAACAACAGAAAATTGCATAATATGAGCCCTTTAAGATCTATCCAAAATAACAAACATTTATTTTATTGCATGATTCTTTGGGTTTTTAATACAAGACACGGCCAATGTCTACACACGTTAATGTTAAAAATACACTTCGTCTGTTTAATGTGTTAAAAAACGAAATGCGTTTTTTTGCTTTTGTCAGTGTTTTCATTCACAAAATACTTTTTATACACAAACTACCCCTGTGTAGCTTGGGAAATAGTGTCTGTGCTATTGCATTTACAGAGCTGATTAAAAATACTGGCAGTGTAAGCCAACAAAAAAGAATAAATAAAATCATAATATGGAATGTAGTAGGTAGCACCACTCTACTATGGCCTCAGTGTTTAGAACTGGTGCAAGGGTCACATGTTATGCTATTATTACTTTAAAGTGTATTACATAACTTTCTGGTGGAGTGTCTGCTACATGTTTGTTATTATTTCTTTGCCTGGAATGTTCCACAGTATGGCATTAAACATATCAGCCTTGCTTTCATTCAAATGCAGTCTTGAGTGCTTAAAACTACATTGAAAAACAAACATTCTTCAGGGTTCCTGCTTTTTTCACAAAATTTCAAGTGAATTTTCCATGAGTTTAGAGCACCTACATGTGTAGAATTGATCAGACTTTTAGGGATAAATATGAAATGTTAACCCTTTCCACTCACCTTATGGTTTATTATAGTTTTTTAACATTCAAAATCCTGTCTGTGCATTTAAGACTGTGCAATTAATCAAACTCTGATCGCAATCTCCAAACTCATATAATCCAGTTGAAACGATTTAAAGCTTAACAAGTAAACAACTTAAGTTTATTTTGGGATATTTTTTATATAAATACGTAGATTTATTTTATTTTTTAAAATATAGATTGTAGAACAGCTGGATATATAGTTTATTTTGGATATATTTATGTTTTTCTATGTCTTATTTCATGTTCAAAGTATAATCTATTCATTTTATGTTTTATACATCACAAAACTGCTCTAAGGTTCATATTTGTAGCCTGTATTTATTTTCAAAGTGAAAGTTTTGTGTAAATGATCAGTGTTTTTTGAGAGAGAAATGCTGAATAAATGGATCATGTAACTTCAAAAATAATAATTTCAATAATCATGATTTTAGTATTGACCAAAATAATCGTGATTTTTTTCAATAATCGAGCAGCTCTAATTTATTGTCGTCTTTTTAAAAAAAAAAGGCACATACGTTCGAAAATAATAGTCTAATCTAGTTGCATGAAAGAGATACTAAAATTCCATGACTTTTCCAAAACTTATATTGAATTTACATCATTTCATGACTTTTCCAGGCCTAGAAAATGACATTTTTCCATGAATTTTCCAGACTTTCTATGACCGTGGGAACCCTGATTCTTACTGTGAGTGAGCAGGGTCGCCTCTCCTCAGAGCTGGCTTGTAACTTTGCCTGATGGCGTCACCTTATCTCCATGAAAATTTATTTAATACCAAACTGTGGAACATTAAGGCAGATAACATAACATCTATAACAAAACCTAAAGTGTTAGTATTTCATTTTGTACTTTACTTTAACTTAAATACATGAAAACCGTCTTTGGTCAGCAGCAAGTTATATTTTTCACTTGGATGATGTGAATGTCGCCCCCTACTGGCAACAGCGGAAAGTGGTCCGAGGACAGAAAGGCACTACTCTTAATAAGCTACAATTGTTGAATTGAAAAACAAACTGTGTTAAAGGGGTAGCACCCAGTTTTGTTCGTGTAATAAAGAAGTACAGTACAGATTTATTGTAAAAGCAGCTCTTCGTCTTTTAGGTTTCATTGTAACCAGGTTAGTTGTTGCAAGTATTACAGTGATAAAAACTCTGCTCTGGCCTCTCAAGATTGTGAAAGTGCTCATAAACTCATCTCAGTCTATAATTAGAATGCTCAGAATGCACTAGGGTACATTTTTGGTCCACTGCAAACTATTTAAAATGAACTAGTTCTGTCCTCACATTATTTTTGATATAAAGATTTCTTTAAAGATAAAGATTATGTAGATTGGCTTTAATAAACATGGTTAAACCTCTAAAATGTAAAATTATAGCATAATATGTGACCTTAAACTTGAACACCTGGAATGCTTCATGTTGGTGTTATATTTCTAAAACTATGTCGCTTCTGTGGACGTCGCTAAATCCTCACTGACGGCGTCCTCCACGATCCCCCGAACCTGCTCCAGAGTCTCAGCCTGTCGGATCAACTCCAGCTTCACCTGCACAACAAGACAATTATAATAAAAAAAATAAATTAATTAATCGTGTAATGTAATGCTCAGAACCTCTACAAATTTGGAAAAAACATATATTACAAAAGGTTAGTTAGAATTATTTCATTTTAGATTGCTTATTCAGATTTGATAAGCAGATAAATTAGTACATTTATCGTTTCTGAGTGTTGTAATATTTGCATTTTGTGACATAATGAGCATAAATTCAATCACAAATCTGGAAGTATGAGACATTAGTATTCATGGTCTTCACTTGCTTCACCTTGACGTCTGATAAAAGCTGTTCTGAATCTGTACTGCAGCTTTAATTCGCCCAATTTGTTTATTTAGCCTAGATGTATTTATTCACTATTTCAAGACTCGTTATCTATAGAGTACAGAGCTTTTTCACAGCCGCCAGAATTGCTGCGATGTAGGGTAAACGTCACTTGCGTTAATGCTTTTCTATGGCAAAATATCTCTGGAAATGTCTTGCGTATTTTCCACCAGCTTCATAAATCTGCCCCATCAACAATCTTCATCCAACAAGATCGACAAAGGAAAAATTCTGAAGAATTTATCCACAACTATCAAGGTAAGAAAGATGAAAACTTAAAAGGTGAACAATGATGTCGTATTAGTGGACTACTCCTGAGCAAAACTAACATTATGGTCATGAATAAAACAGAAGTCATAAGTAATTCGTTAATAAGTAACTTGTGATCTCAGACTGATACTAGAATTAAAATAAAAAATCAATTTCATGTTGTCGATATTGGTGTAGACAGAGAGATTTGTGCAGTTTAAATGTTACAGATGTTCACAGATTACATGTCTCGCTTTTAAACTGCACAAATTTCTCTGTCTATGCGTATATCTACATCATGAAATCGATTTTTTATTTTAATGCTAGAATCAGTATGAGTTCACAAGTGGCTTATGTTTTATTCATGACCATAGCGTTAGTTTTGCTCAGGAGTAGTTCACTTGTTCACCTTTATGCTTTCGTCTTTCTTACCTTGATAGTTGTGGATATATTCTTCATGTTTATCCTTTGTCGACTTTGTTGGATGAAGATTTGGTGATGGGGCAGATTTATGAAGCTGGTGGAAAATACGCAAGACATTTCCACAGATATTTTGCCATACAAAAGCATTAACCTAAGTGAAGTTTACCTGACATCGCGGCACTTCTGGCTGTTTTGAAAAAGGTCTAGTAAAAGGGGAATAAAAAGAGCAGTATTGCAAGTAAAAACAAAAATACAAAAGTACTGATCACTCAACAACTGGAGAATGCATAATTTAAATTTATCTGATGAGGATGTGACTGAAAAATAAATTATATCTTGGCACTTTTCTGGATACAGTAAAGTATAATATATTTAAATGTCAGTATAACATTCCCACAAGATAATCTAGCTCTAATATCTAGCAGGGTTCCCACTCCCACTTTTTCACTGACAAAATTTCAAAACTTTTCCATGACTTTTTCACGACCTAAAGTGAATTTTCCATGACTTTACAGCACCTACATGTGTAGAATTGATCATACTTTTAGGAGTAAATATGAAATGTTAACCCTTTCCACTCACCTTATGGTTTGGTTTTATAGTTTTTAACATTCAAAATACTGTCAGTGCATTTATTCTCGTCTCTTTTAAACAAAATGCGCATACGTTCAGAAATAATCACAATAACCTGATGATAACTTAACAGAACGCTGTAGTTGCGTCAAAGAGACACTAAAATTCCATGACTTTTCCAAAACTTTCATTGAAAAACTGAGAGACATTAATGTAAATGTATGTATTTCTTCATTCATTGATTTTATTTCATTTTTGTGCACTAAAGAGCCAACATTGTTCTCGCTCGTACCTGCAGAGCCTGGGACAGCTGCACAAAGTCCCTCTGCACAGTCTGGCTGGTGTCCACCTGTGAGCGCAGACTGATCACTTGGCTGCGCAGCTCCAGACACTGCTGCTGGAGGGACGCCTGCGCAAACACAAAAACAGGAAGTCAACTCGGGTTTGTTTATAGGGAAGATACAATATTCCGCTGCTGTATAACCGTGGGAGCCAAAGACAGACGAGGGGAGAAGCCATGGGAAATAAGTAAAGTATTTTGAAAACTTGGAGCACTCCCTGAAAAAACACTCCAACGACAAGCTATTAGTTTCACTCTGGATTAAGACTGTGACTTAAAAATGCATATTATTTATCTCTTGTTGCACCTGAAAAATTTATCAAAGCTATTGTAAACAACATTTAATCTCCTATATTTACCGGTATTTATAATGAACCATTAGAGAATCTTCAATAAAGTTGATCCGATACTACGACACTAAAATTTCAAGCTCTATTTCTGTACTCAAAGTCTCGATACTGATTCCGATGTACAAAAGAACATCAATATTAAATCACAGAGCTGTCTTTTATATTATTTTGTGGCCTTATATCTGTGAAATCCCTCAGTTTTCCAGGCAGTTTCCATACTGGTCCATGCTTATTGGTTTATGTACTCTTAAACTTGTTCTGATACAGCTCAAACTCATTCTAAAGTTATTCAAGAAAACTTCATTTCTGTCCTGTGAATGTGTTTAATACTTTAGTATCTAGTTTCGATACTAGTTTAATGCCAACAAGTAGCTGATTTTCGATACTTTTGACTAGGGGTGTGCAATTCTCTGGCTTTTAACACCGCGTGAGTTGTGTGGTCCTCTGTGTCTTTTATGTATTTTATTTATTTATTTACTGCTATTTTATGATTTTTATGTTTTTTTGCTTGCATTTTGATTTTACTGGTTTCATTGTTTCAGGACTAGTGTGACCAAATTTTTGCAATTTACCTTGTTGTTGTCATTTTATGATCTCTGTGCAGCACTTTGGAAACTGCTTTATTTGTAAAATGTGCTATATAAATAAAGTGTATTTGGGTTTGGATTTGGAAATATTGAAATATTGATATATCATTTAGTTTAATTTCATGATACTGTCTCGATATCATGGGCTGCTGTATCGATATATCACCAGAGTGTATATATATTTTACTAAATTATTTTTTGAAAGAGCTACATTTATGTTGCTTGTTGGGAGAAAGGAAACTTGTTCATGCAGTACATTAGACATACTCACTGTTTTGAATAAAATGGGCATTTTTCATATTAAGGCTACATTTATATGATGATGGTCTGAGCAGAAGACACAAAAGGTGGTGTTGCATCTTCACTTTTTATACCGCATTTAGACGAGCGTTTCCAGAAGGAAATCTGTGTGCATACAGTCACGCAAAAGGTGTGGAATTCAATTGGGTATGCATGCCATCCGACATGTTTGTTTCTGTGTACTGTATGTATGTGACGTAAATGCATACGTGACCTGAGCCGACAGAAACACTATGGCGGAGCATATTCAACTTTTCCACTCTGGAGGGTGGTTTCAGATTTTTGCACTTTTAAGCCCCAAAAATGCTGTCACTGTCTAAACAAAAGGCACTTCAGATAAAATATTGCTTTTTCGTGTAAACAGGCCCTCACTTTGCACAAACTTAGTGGTTTAATAAAGACTTTTAATATTACAGCAATGATTTAACCTTTGTTTTTCACTGAACCATACCGAATCAATTTTAAATACAGTATACCATATCAAATTGTACTGAATGGAAAGTGCACTGTATGGAAAAACGTATTGTATCGTAGCCTATGTATCAAGATATGTATCATACTTCACAATGATACTCAGCCCTACTTTTGACAATCCTGGTCTAGAAAGTCTCAAATTCCCTGTCACGTCTCATATCATCGTCTCATCAAGTTTAGAGGATTATTTTCTCATATTTACAAGGTGATTTCTGAGAGTGCTGCAAGTGGTGCACAGTGTCTATTCCAAAATTATTGTACAAAAACAAAAACGTGTTAGGCCTAGTTTTCGTTATTTAAAAGATGCATTGTGTAACTTTTCTGGTGTTTGTCTTCATGGATATCATTGCTTTGTCTGGAATGTTTCACTGTATGGCATTAAACCTTTCTTTTTATCTTAGTGGAGACCCAACCAGACCAAGTTACAGGTCAGATCTGTGGAGAGGCGACCCCGCTCCTAGTTAGAATTTCTCTTGTTAATTTTATGATGACTATTTATGTTTTGATTTGTTTGTATTGCGATTTTAATGCATTACTTATTCTGTAAAGCACTTTGAATTACTTTGTGTACAAATTGTGCTATACAAATAAATGAATTCCTGTTTTTCTAGGAAGTTTTGAGCTATAAAACTACCTGTAATTGAATAAACGTAAAGTAGAAGAGTAGAACATTCAAGACGGAGCAATGACACCTCCAAAGAAACAAACAGTTGACGGACCCCAAACAAAAAAGTTACATAGTGCACCTTAAAATAAAAAGCAAATGTATATACAAGAACATACTGTACCATCTTTACCTTGTCAGCAGTCAGGCTCTTGTTGGTGCTCTGTACGTGTGAGAGCGCCACCCGCAGGGCCTCCAGCTCGGTGCGACAGGTGAGCAGATCGGCCTGCAGCTGGTCCTTCTGTGCCTGGATCCTGTCCGTCTCTGTTTTTAGACTGGAAAACTGCACTGCAAATTCACACACACAAGACGACCGCATTTGTAAACTGACTCCAAAATTATGAACGATTACACAATTTAAAAAACCACACTTACCCTCTAAAACTTCTGATTGTAGAAAAGAGAAGAAAAGAGGAGTGAATACATTACAAATTATCAGTGGGCATGCATTTTGAGAATACTGTATTAAATATATGTACCGTTTTCTTCTGTCCGCGAGTCTAGTTGCTCCTTCAGATTCACTATTTCAATGCGAAGGCGCTCCTCGCAGTGTGCTCCCTGAAATACAAACAGATGACCGCTTTATATACAGTGATAAGTTCTGCAAACACACATTTCATATTGCTTTGGGGCATATTGACTTTGGCCTACATTTACTATTGACAGTCTTTGTAGTGAGGTCAAATTAAGGGCTGGAATTGACATTGCAGAGTGTTTGGACTGCAAAAACCCCCAAACAAACTGCTGTAGAATCAAGACTTTCCTAGTCTTGGGGCAATGTGATGATTAATTCCAGTGCCTGAGACAATGTGGTATTTTGGTGGTGTTGTCATATTGTTCAGGGTGGGACAAGACAAATTTCTCAGGAGATGAGACACACCACGAGACAACAAGACAAGACAAGATTTGTACAAGATTTGTAATAAATAGGTAGCGCAATCCATTTCACAATTTTGGCTTCACTATTTTATCTATTTTATGTAATACTTTGGTGGTCATTGTACTGCTTTTTGGAACTACAGCTTCTTAAATTGTATAACTCTCCAGCTCTTGAGTCTTTTTTGTTTAAGCTAAAGGTAAATTCAGGGGAAAAAGTCTCACAAGATCTTTTTTTTTTATGTGTGCACTATCTTGTACCACTAGATCTTGTCCCATATTGTGATTCTCAGTTTAATACAGTTCAGTGCTCACTATGACCTAACCGATTGCAGTGAATTGTAAATGATACTTAAGATTAAAAAAATTGTGTCCTTATTCAAGGCACTTCACCCACATTGCCTAGTGATGGTAAGGTCGGGGTGATCTGATGATTCATTCTAATACCTGAGACAATATGCTGTTTTAGTGATGTTGAAATAATGTGGATCTCAGTTTCACACAGTTCGATGCTCAGTCTGACTTAACCAATCGCAGTGAAATGTAAAAGAAGAGAAGTGAAAGAACAAGAAACAAAATACTACCCCAAAATAACAAAACATCATACTTAAAATAAATATTGGCTCTGTTCACATGCACACCATAAATTTAATCATCTCATTTCTGGAGTTATCACATCACATAAGAGACATGTCATTGTCACAGTTACATCTGATGTGAGTAATGAGATTTCTTTCTGACTGTTCACACCTGTGCAGATTTGGAGAAGGAAAGGTATGCAAATAAGGGGAAATTTAGGTGTTATGTTAAGACAAAAATGAAACAGAAGAGTTATTTTAAAATTCATTGTATTTCCAAACACTCTAAAAATAGTTTAAAAGGAATTGTTAAATAAAAAAAATGTGAAAATCAAATCTAGCTCATTTTAAACTATTTGCAGTGGTTCAAACTCTTTCCTCTTGTCTTATGCATTCCATAAAGTAATGCATATGAATCCGTGTATCATTCGTTCATTTGTTTTTCAATATAAAACCAAAAATAAGAAAACTAATTAGTTTTTTCTATTTTGGATTTTGTGTTTAAATGAATAATGGAAAAAAATGAATAACGGCCGTTTCCCATTTCCATGACTTAAACTGCGATGCCACACTTTTGGAACCAGACCGGGACTGAGACCAGGACTAAGACCAGGACCAGACCAGGACTGAATCCGGGACCAGGACCGGGACTGAGACCAGGACTGAGATCGTGACCAGACCAGGACTTAGACCGGGCGCAAACTGGAACTGAAACCAGGACTGAGACTGGGACCAGACCAGGACTGAAAATGGTTTAGCATCGCAGTTTAAGTCACGGAAACGGGAAACGGCTGTTATCATTTTTTTTTCCCATTCTTCATTTAAACATAAAATCGAAAACTGAAAAAACAAATCTTTACCCATTTTTTCATTTTGGTTTTGGAGACAAATAATGAAGAAAATTGTTGTTTTTTAATTTTCTTATTTTTGGTTTTATTTTGAAAAACGAATGAACGAATGATACATGGATTCATAAGTCTTCTCTGACAAGGAAATGTTTGCAAAAAAGGGGAACTTGAAAGAGAGGAGTTATTTTTAAATCATTGTGCTTCCAAATACTCTTAAAAAAAACAATGTTTAAAAGGAACAGTAGCAGATATTTTTTATCCTAATTATTCTCATATCCTAATCCTTATCCGAATCATCCTAATTATTCACAGAGATGATGAGTTTATAAGCACTTCTCACAACTTTCAGATAGCAGAGCGGAGTTTTACAACACTTGGCATTGCTAGAACGCACCTTCTATTATCGGGCAATATATTGGTTTATAATTAGAGGCAGACAAAACACAGCTGATTCATTTGGACCTCAGGAGCTGCTTATACAATTTGTCTGTATTGAAGTAATTTTGCTCAGATACATGGGGAAAAAAAATCAGGTGCAAGGCCTTTAACGGACACATGCTACCAGGTGTTTTTGATGATCAGATAGATTTCTTTTGTCTGTGTAAACCATAGACCAGTGTTTCCCAAACTTTTTTTCTGGCGACCAATATTTTAAAAGTCACAAACCTTTGCGACCCAAGTCAATAGACATTATTATTAAATTACAATTAAAGGTGGATATGACCATTATTGAACATTAATGAGGATATCTTATTGTTGACTGAATGATCGTGTCTTAATTAGTATTTTATGTTTAATTCGTATTAAACAATGAAAGTTTTAAACTATGAAACACACTAATTGAATCAGCAATAAAAGGATCCATAAGTCGCCTATTTGGTCATTAAATGTAGCCCATTTCTTTTTCTTTTCAACATTCAATAGAACCAGCAATATTGGAACAAAACAGTCAATAAAATAATTGGAAAAAGATCAGAAATTACACAAAACATGTCTTAACATTTCAACATGTGTCAGAACTGTATATTGCAGACCTACATGCAGACTGTGACAAGGCGACCCAGAAAAATCTCTTGCGACCCACCTGAGGGTCGCGACCCAGCCTTTGGGAAACAATGGACTAGACTGTATAAAGAAGTGGACTAAAGGAGTGTGACGTCACCCACAGCATTCGGCTCCAGTCCAATGAAGCTCACGATGCTAGGAGTCTTAAGGCGAAATTGGAGATGAGCTATATTTTAGGAATAGGAATTTATTTACAGACAAAATATCTAAATAAATACAGCTAGATCACGTAAAGCAGGTTAATATAAACATTTTAAAACCAAAATGATGAGGCTCACTGCAGCAGTTACAGAGAGAGGTTTCACAATACAGGGTACATCCCTAATGGAAACAGATCCACGATTTTAAATGTAATGTTTTATTTTTGTTCTGTTTTCAGGTTGAGCCATACCATTCATTCCCAAAGAGAAGTCATTTTGAGTTTTGGAATAAGCTCGCACAATCACCCAAGACTGTGCAGCCTTGAGTGCAAAATTTGGAAAAACTTCACCAGCTGGCAAACAAAGTCCTATAATAAAAGTATGATATTCAACACCTAAACTCTTCAAATTCATTGAGCTAGACTTTCAAAATAGTAGTTTTCAAGATAATTGCCTTTAAAATTATGTCAGTTTTTTTGGAACACCCTGTATTTCAGTCTAAAGTCAATTGGAAACAGAGTTGATGGAGCCGTAAGCGCCCCTATGCTCACTTCCTATTTGGAACACTAGCGGGTTAGTCATGTCCATTTATATACAGTGTATGATGTAAACATACACCAAAAACAAGATCTAATTATTGGATTTTATCAGAATACTCTAGTTATTTGATTTTGACCATGTACATGCACCCACTGTTAACATAATATCTCTACTGTTCACATGAGTCGCCCCTTTACCTGTAGTGTTGGGATAAGAGCGGAGGCCTCCATGTTCTCCTCCAGCTCCACCTCCTCCCCCCTCAGTCTGCTCAGCTCACTGTGCATCCTCCTCTGGGACAGGGACAGCTCCGCCTGGTTCACATCATCACACACGGTCACATTAAACAAGGGCCGAGGAAAAATAATGTAATGAACTATTCTGTCTGTGCGACTCACCAGCCGACTCTGCACCGCGTTTTGAGACTGGCTGAAGGATTTGTGCAAGTCTTTTAAAAGGGACTCGGAGGCTTTGACCTGAGACTGTAGCTTTGAAACCTGGAAATAAAAGAGCAATAGTATCAGTCACAAAAGTTAGAATGTATCTACAAGATCACACCAGTACTGAAGTCTCCGCACTGGCTTTCTGTGACCTTCAGGATAGATTTTAAAGCTCTTTTAATTGATTTGTAACACTCTTAACGGTCTTAGTCCTATTTATATATCTGATCTGCTTTTATCATATGTGGCATCTCAGACTCTCAGATCCTCAGGTCATCTTTTAACCAACCTAAGACTTCAAACTAAAACTCCCGGTGGGGTGACATTTAGTTTTGCGGCTTCCATTTGGGGAACAGAGGACCTGAGGATCTGAGGTCGGCTGTGAGTGTTTATATTTTTAAAATATAGTCAAAACGTATCTTTTTAATTTAGCTTGAAACTTTTACTTGTTTTAAATTAAATTATTATTATTATTATTATTATTGTTTTAAATTACTATTTTACTTAGTCTCCATCCAATTTTAGATCTCCATTAAATTTTTTTTTTAACCTTTAGGAGCTTTATGTTTTATGTTTCTGTCTAAACTGCTGTATATATGGATGAAAACACTGGGTGGGGGTGAGGTTACTGTTGTTTTTAAAGGGACAGTTCAGAATTTTGGACATAGGGCCCCATTTCCTAGTGAGCCAGAGTGTTGGAGACATGTGGAGATGCTTTTTTAAATATTCCATCCAGTCCTTGTATTTGCAGAGGTCGCTGGTGTTAGACTAGTGCATGTCAATGGTCATAGTTATCCTGCCACTAAAAACTGTCTTACCCACTCCACAAAACACCCGAAGCAAAACAACTGTTACTCCAGACTGTCGATGTGAATGTCTGTCGATAGAAACATTTTAGAAGTAAAACGAACCTTGCATTTGAAGGATTTATGTCTGAGCAGCAGAGAGTGGTACTTTCTGATAGAAAGCTCAGCAGTGGCAGACTGAGAAATGAGAAAATAGTCCCTAAACATGCGACGATTCATGTGATACAAGGTTAGTTTTGTTTCAAACATTATTCTATCAACACAGACATTCACATCGACAGTCTGGCGTGATAATAGATTTACTTCGGGTGTTTTGTGAAGTAGGTAAGACTGTTTATTGTAGCAGGATAACTATGGCCATTGACATGCACTAGCCTAACACCAGTGACCTCTGCAACTACAAGGACTGGATGGAATATTTAAAAAAGTGTCTCTACACGGCTCCAACAACCTGGCTCACTATAAAATGTGTCCAAAATTCCGAACTGTCCCTTTAACCATTGTCATTTACATTTCAAAAGCATGAAAAGTCCTATACAAATAAAGTTTGACTGATTGATTGACACAAGATGTCACAGGAAACAGCCGTAACATTTAAAGACGTGGTATTACACTTCACTGAGATATTAACTGCTAACACATAACATTTAGATCACCATATTACCTTTTATTGTTTTGAAAATGCTATACTGTATTCACCAAAAATCTATCAACATCCAACTAATGAAACTACTGCATCACGTTTGTCAAGTTATAGTGCATTGTTTTGTACTCTGCTCTTGTATATTCAGGAAAAATTGTCGAGTCAGAGTGATTTGCACGGACAGGTTTGTACCATTAACCACATGGAGGGTTCAAAAAGGTTACATGCATGGATTACATAAAATCTCTTCAGGGATATTTTTGATGAGGGAACAACGTTATAACATGATAGAACGCTCCAAAAAGTCAATTTAATGTTCCTCACAATAGGAAACTTGGCAATATTTGTGTACAATTCACAAAAATACATACTTTTCAATTATTATATTTACAAGCAACATGTTTATTTCTGTATTTAGTTGTATGGCAAATATAAAATCCCTATCTAGGCTAATTCTGGGGCCTGCCACCTGCTTTTCTCCATTTTTGCTTCACCGGGAATGTTCCACAGTATGGCATTACGGCATCCACTTTAAATGTATTCAGTTACAAGTGGCAGTGTGCGTGGGGTTGCCTCTCCGCTTGCTAGTTTCCATGGAGATAAATAAATTAAATGCCTTAATGTGGAAATGTCTAGGCAAAGCAATAACATCTCCATGAAGACGAGCTGTTGGCGTATCGTCCAACCAGAAAAGTTACGCACTGTGAGTTTATAGATACCGTATTTTCCGCGCTATAGGGCACACTCAAAAGCCTCCAACCCCATCAAAAAACGACTGTGCGCCCCACAATTCAGAGCGCCCTACACACGAATTCACTCGGGTGTCCCATCGCAACTTCAGTAAACTACAAAGCCGCACCACCCACAGCGCACGCAAACACACACCCGCAGCCACACTCATCACTCCACGTGGATGAGGAACGGAGTGGAGGAACAAACCGAAAAAGCGAGTGCAATGTGTCCCTTCTAGGCACAACTGAACAACTGAGTCACTGCGAACACGGCAACAATCCAGCGGTCCCAGACAGCACCCTCCCTACACGCCGCAACTGAACAAAGCCCAGAGTCACCGTGAACGCTCCAAACAAAGTCTGACTGACCCATCTAACTGCTGAAAAAAAGTTCATAAATAGACCATTCTACGACAGTGCGTCTTATAATCCAGAGCCCCTAATAGTGCGAAAAATACAGTACTTTAAAAAACCATAAAAGAATCACACTTCGCCAACATCTTACATTAGACTTGGGCAGTAATAAAAAGTCAAAATAATGAAATCTTACCTGTTTGTGTGTTTGGTTGGTCTGTGTGTCCAGTTCTTTTTCCAGATTTTCCTTTTCAGACTCCAGCCGGCTCACCTCTGCGCGCAAATCTGACAACTGACAAAACATTTTACACTGACGTTGAGAAATAGAACATTCTGTATAAATGTTGTTGTATCATTTTACATGGTACTTGTCTGTATAAAGCATTAATACTTTTGCAATATGGTTTAGTTTATGAACATATCCCCAAAACCAGTTCAATATCATCTCTGTCAGAATAAATTTGAGTAGAAAAGTTCTATAAATGTTGTTTGTCTTTGTTTAGATATATGTTTGAAACTCAGACAGAGGTGTAGAATGACCTAGGATTGTAAAGTTACCCAGATACTAGTAGGTACTTCTTTGAACAAAAATTAATTGGAAAAGTATCAATACTGAAATATTAATGCCACAAAATTGGGCTTTTACTTAATAGTCTTAAAATGTTTTGACCATCATGGTATATTAAAGAAAGTATTACTATGTTGTGATGAGTAATACATGCCAAATCTCCGAATGCCCCTGCTCGATCTTCTCAGATTTGACTGAAAAAATAGGAGGTTCACACACTTTCCAATAGGAAAAATTTTGCTCCCAACTCCTTATAGTTTTGTCATTAAAAAATATTTTGTCAACTCTGCCCTGACCTGTTTTGAGCAGAGTTTTCCAAGGAGCCACTTTTAGTTTGCTGCATTTAAAAAACTATTTAAGATCGGTCCTTCAAATTTTCAAGGTTTAAACTTTGACAAACGTACTTGTAGAATATGGACTTTTACACATGTGCTTTTGATTTGTCACAGATATCTGGGGGCTTGAATTTGCTCGAAAATTTTACTCTTCAAATATGAGGGCATCTTTGAAGGACTGTGGGAAGTGCAATTTCAAAGACAGAGGTTTGATATTGAACATACACCTTCCCACACATGCTGGGTACTTTGTATTTTAAAACTGACCCTCTGTGATGAACGCTCTAGAAGATATTAAGTGTTAAAATGGAAAAATTATTTGGTGCCATCTTTACCATGTTATACCCAAAAAAATTGTTTATGACATATCTAAAATTTGTGATGGTGTTCTGCCTTATTTTTGAAAATGTGTCCGCATACATGCAGAGCATTCATGGACTATGAAGGCAATTTCAGAAGCTAAGAAAACACTCTGAATATTTGACACACAGCTTAAACTCAACAAAATGTTTAAAAATGTTCAAATAAAAACACCAGGATCATGAAGAGAGGGTTAATACAAACATTTTAAGACCAAAATTATGAGGTTCACTGCAACAGTTACAGAGAGATTTTACAGTTTTTCAATGTAAAGTTAATAGAAACAGTCAATGGAGCAGGAAGCACCCCCATGCTGACTTCCTATGAGGAATACAGCGGCTAGTGGGTTATCTATGTCCATTTATGGTAACAACACTAGAATGAGCATGACGAACACAAGATGAGTGAGTGAAGAGTGAATGTGTGAACTCATTTACTAACATAATCTTAGTTCTGACTGACCTGTGCGTGTAGTGCGTCCCAGTCGCCGTGTGATACCAGCCGGTGTCCAGCAGGGGGCAGGTAGATGGCCTCTGGTACCAAAGTGCCAGTGGACACCAGGGAGTCCGTGTCATCTTGTGCATGTGGTTTCCTGGGCAGTGAAGGCGTGTCCATTGAAAAGGATGAGAGCGACGCAGAGTCACAGTTGCGTAGTGAGAAGAAACTATCTGTGCAGATCAGGGCCTCCTCGGGCTCTGGGGCCAGACCTGCTCTCTCCGGGGGCCCTTGTGGATCACTGGCCGACCTGGGCTTGTTTGTGGCTGGGGGTGATTCTGACTCTTTACGGCCTTTTCTTCCAGAACTCTGAAATACATAATGTTTGGGGTTACTATTAGCAATAGGGCTGTCAAAATAATTTATATCCAATCTGTACTAAAAAGAAAATGTAAACTGGCTGATAGTGTTGTCATGTTAAATTTAAGCTTTATATTTATATCTTTATATTTAGACAGTAGAGTGTGATTTTTAACATTGAATCTTCGTACTTTCTTTTAGATTACCGTGTGTCTTATATGTAAGTTCATGTTGCTATAAATGCCATAACAGCAAAATTCTCAGCTCTTCGTATGGATAGCTGCAGATCTCTCTAGCATAGGGATGTAACAATAACCAAAATCATCAAAAATCTTACAGTAATATCATGGGCTGTCATAATATTATCGAATTACAAGCCTCTTTGTTTAAATGCATGGTTTTATAGTAGCAACAGGTTATAAACATAGGGAACTACATATCCCATGATTGATTTCAGAGCAGACAACTTGAAGAAATATGTTTTTGACTTGAATTCTTGAGATTATGATTGAAATAATTCACCCCAAAATCTTGTCAAGGTATTTTAAAAGCAGAAATGTGTCCTATCTACAAAATATCGCAATAAATATCGTACCATGAGATGCATATCGTGACAATATCATACCTAGAGATTTGGATATAGTTACATCCCTACTCTAGTGAGATGAGTTTTTTTTTTTTTTATTTGAAAAAATCTAAATGACTTTGTGTATCAAAGTAAGTAGAGAGTAATGGGCATGTGCCGGTAACAGTGAATCAAATGAAACAGAAAACACACACCAAAGTTCTTGTAGAGGTGAAAACAGCAAAATAAAAGTGAAAAAATGCAAAGCACTCTCAGATGACCGATGTCCAAAAGCATTTTTAATTTTTAAATAACTTCATTGTCCTTGGTCAGATATTTTTCTTGCTTTGGACCACAGTATAAACAGTGAAAACAGTGAAAACAGGGAACTTTGGGAAGGTAAATAAGAAGGGGAAACAATTATGGGCCTGTTTACACAAGAACGCTTGCAGGAAAAATAACAAAATATTTTATCAGAAGTGCCTTTCATTTAGAGGGTGACTGTGTTTTTGGGGCTTAAAAACGCAAAAATCTGAAACCACCCTCCAGAGTGGCCGTAGTGTTTCTGTCTACACTACCCAAGACACAAAACTCTGGTCAGATCTGCTCACGTTGTGTATGTTTATGTCACATACATCACCACCGAGCCGCCTGGCATCCATACCCATTTGAATTCCCCACACTTTAGCGTCAACGTATGCATGCAGATTTCCTCCTGAAAACGCTCGTCTAAACGCGGAATAAAAAGTGAAGACGCGATGCAACTTTTTCGTCTTCTGTTTAGACCGTCATCATATAAACGTCGCCTATAACATGGTTAAAAGCTCTGAAAAGTCAGTTTTACATAATAGGTCAGCTTTAATACCATACTGCGGACATTTCAGACAAAGCAATCACACCTCGAAAGACACAAACATGTAGCAAACCCCCCACCAGGAAAGTTACATACTGCAAGTTTAAGACAAAGTGCATTATTTCGCTGTAGCATAAAAAATACTATTGATTTTTGGGATTGTGTTTAAAAATCCACTCACGTGCTCCCATCTACCCATTCCTGTGCATTCTCCTCTCCAACACCGCCTGACTTCCTGTTTCACTACACCCTCCACCTCTTTGGTCTTCCTGAATGCCTCCTGTTTCCTGGCATCTCAGACTTCAGCTCCTGTTACCAACATATTTACTCCTCCTCTGTATAAACCATCTCAACCTGCCGTCCGTTATACACTCTATGTCTTTTCACTGCTTTTCCATAAAATAAAATAAAATAAAGTTTCTCACTCACCAGACTGTGTCCACTGGCTCTTCGGGACTCGGAGTGCTGTGACTGCAAAAAGGCGATCCTGGCTTCATACTGAGCAGCAGTTTCTGAAAACCACAATGAAGTAGAGTGGTTTAGACATATGACAGTGGAAAAGACAGCAAGGACATTTTACTTACTTAACTTTATTTTTGCAGTTTAGAAGTAAGAATGTAACTTTTCTAGTGAGGCCTGGGATGTTCCACAGTATGTCTTTAAAGGGATCTACCTTGTATGTATTTATTTTTATTTCTAGGTGTTTTCATCTTTCAAAACATGCATTCTTATTTTGAGCAGAGACATTATACAGTATTAGGGCTGGGTATCATTCAGAAGTTGCCGATACGATACATTCCTCAATACAGTGAGCGTAGGATTCGATATGATTCAGTACGATATATTTCAAATCGATTTGATGCGGTTCAGTAAAAAATAATGGCTTAATCATCGCTGTGATACTAAAAGTCTTTGGTAAACCACTTCTTGTGCAAAGTGAATATGAAACACACACATTTTAATCATCAAAACCATGAAAATGTCAAATGTGTCACGTGAGTTTCCGTTCACTGAACAAACAACAAAACTGTCACACTGTAACAAAATGAATTAGTAAAATATACCAAAAAATACTCTTGGTGATATATCGATACAGCAGCCCATGATATTGATACTGTATCATCATATTAAACGATACGATATACTGATATTTCAATATTTTTGCACGCCCCTACACAGTATGGCATTAAACTGGAAACATTAATGCATTAATTAAAGCGGAAACATTGAGACTGACGAACAATTAGGCCTGTTCCCATAGCAATTAACAATTTAAAACTAAATAATACATCTTTTGAATAGTCCTCAAAATGTTTCATCCAATAAGAATCTGAAAAGTTAAGGTTAATTCTTTTATAAATCTGGTAAAACTGTATGTTAGTACTGATAAAGCCTGTAAACCCAATAATATATTTATAGTAGTACTTACTTAAGCTACAGAAAGCTACAGAAAAAAAACTAATCTGAAAATCTAAACTAAAAGAATATGCTGTAGTCTGTTCTTGTACTACCTACCTCTTAGTGCCTCCTGTAGGGACTGTATTTCTTGGTCACATTGTTTTTGCAGCTCTGCGAGTTCCTCCTGTTTGCTGAGCTCACAGATAGTGGCCACGCCCTGCCAGTGCTCCACCTGCGCCCTGCACTCCTCCAGCTGGGCACGCAGGTCTGACCCTGAGGACAGAGACAGAGACAGAGACTGACAGAGGGAGGGACAGTCACAGCTCCATTAAACACGTATCGACAGCAGCTCATCAGCATTCCCTGGGTGTGTGATCCAACTGAAGGCACTACTCTGTCCGAAGCTCTGTTATAGACTTTAATCTACAACACGTGAGCTGATTTGTGCTGTTAAACAACTCTCTCTCAAATAATATTAGTCAAAAGAAGTCCTGCATTAACCAATAGTTTTTCAATTACACTCTCACCTTGCTTGTATTGATCACAAGCCCCTGAAAATGTGTTGTTTAAATCAGTTTTTCTTGAGTTTTCAGACAATCTTGAAACATCTTTGACAGCATTTGCTAATATGTGCACTGTGTAAATTCATTGTGTAAATCATTGTGTAACTTCTGAACATTTCACCATAGCCATACAGGTAAAAAAGATCAGAACTCTATGGTAGATTTTTCTGTTTTCGGTTTCATATGTTTTTATTCATGTGTAAACAGATACAGATATGCCATTCAAACCACACATGTACACACACTTTTTTTAATTTTTATGCAGATAAAACATAACTTATAAAGTTAACTAACAAAAACAAATCACTCAAGAAATAGGAGTAGCGTCATACAATATAATAATAATAATAATATAATGATAAAAATATACTACTACTAATATTAAATAAATAAATAAATAAATAATAATAATAATAATAATATCAAAACCTACAGCTGTAAAAGTGAAGAAACTGGAGAAATTTATTGACCTAGTTTATGGTTTAATAATGGTTTAATATCTCTGTAATTACTGTCCTTATACACAGGAAACTAAAACTGGCACAGAGTTCAGTGTCTTCCTAGTTATTACAAATAAACTAAAGTGGTTGTTTTTCCACATTAGCGTCATAAACTGGTGCCAGGTTCTTTCCCAGCTGAGTGATTATTGTCAGATTAAAGTACTTTAGGCTATAAGATTAATATGGCAACCTTGTGGAGCCAATCCTCCCAAACAAATAAAGAATGGTTCAACATGTGTGGATCGTAAATGGATATTTCGTGACTTTTAGGTATACCTTGGCTTGTAGGAATCACCATAAATGTTAAATCTCAAGGTCAGGTTTTTATTTTAAGTTACTCTGCTGCTTTCATTGTGGAGCCAAAAGGAGAATCATCGAGAAACTTTAGACCAGAGGTGGGATCAAGTCGTTGTTTTGCAAGTAAGTCTCAAGTCTTTGACCTCAAGACCCAAAGACCCAAAGACAAGCAAGTCCAAGTCGAATCTCAGGCCCGTAAGTCCAAGTCAAGACCAAGTCGTGTCTCGAGTCTCGGGCCCATAAATCCAAGTCAAATCCAAGTCGTCTGCTTTGAGCTTCAAGTCATTAAACCAAAATACCAAATATAACGTAGATTTTTGCTATTTATATGAATTTTAAACTAAATCGTACTTTTAAAAAATCATGGTATATTTATATATGAGTATTTGTATAGTTGTAGAAATGCAAGTTTTTAGTTGACAAAGAGTGAAAGTGAAAGTCCTGATAAAATCTTAGTGTGAATCATAAGGGTCAGAACAGAAATGAAGGATGATAGTACTGTATATTACTGTAGTACATTTGAGGATATTACATCACAGTACTTCAGTTTCATTCAAAGTAACAAATTGAAGTGGGAGGGACATGTTCCAGTTCGTTCCTGTAAAATTAAGCACCGCATGTGTCAACTGTAAAGAGAAAAGTATTTTCTAAAAACATATATATATATTTTTTAGGAGAAGCGTCAACTCTTCTCAAGTCACAGGCCTCAAGTCCAAGTCAAGTCCCAAGTCACTGACCTTCAAGTCCAAGTCGAGCCCCCAAGCTGAGTCCATTTGATCAAGTCAAGTCTCAAGTCATAAAAATAGTGACTCAAGTCTGACTCGAGTCCAAGTCCCACCTCTGCTTAAGACAATTCCTTCATTCAACTTTCAGTGGGTTAATAAATAAGAAGTGAACAAGTAATGAGAGCAAGTAGGTCTTACAATAGTTACAGGATTATCAATAATATCTAAAAGTCAAAGGTGTCAGCCACTAATGCCCACGAGTCCAAATCACGGGTGTAAACTTAAACTAATATACTTCCAAGATAAGCCCAGGAGTGAACTTGGATCTTTCACTTTCAGACTTAACACTGTTGACACATGAGTCCAGAACAGAGACGTGAGCCCCGGGGACAGCAGGTGTGGTGAAAAGCCTGTCTCAGTGCAGAGCCAATCCCGTTAGATCAGGAGATTAGTAAACACAAGCCCGCACTAACATGAAGCCCGCAACAACATGAAGTCCAGACTAAACATGGATCCTACCTGAATCCTCCGTCTTTGAGCTCATCCCGGCGCGCGTACGACTTCGCCTACATCCAGTCTTGAAGGGAAACCAGATTACACCAACTCTGAATAAAGTTGCACAGTCATTTTGTAGAAATGTCAGGGTTTGGCGCAGAAATGATCCGCGGAGAGAGAACTTCAGGAAACAACTTTCCCCCGGTCTCTGCCTTTAGCGGAAGTGACGTGTGCATCCTTCCTGTTCACAGACGCCTCCCGAAGAAAACACGGAGTCCACGGCGCTTATCGTGATGCTCATGTTGAAGGTCCCAGGGACGACTGGACCGGACCGATGGCGGAACGTGGAGGGTTTCTGAGCTGTTAGAAGCAGTGTACGTGTTTAGGCCGGGCCGGACCAGGAGGGACCGGGCCATGGCTCCTGCGGCTCTGCTCGTAGCTCTTTCGCTTTTTCTTCCGTGTATCCTTCGCGCACAAGTGCCGCCGCCAGAGAATCTCACCCTCCAGGCTGTGAACACAGACTATTCTCTCCGATGGACCTGGCCTGGCATGGACGGGCAGACTGCTTCTTTTACGGTCCAATGCGTTTCGAAATACCAATTAGCAAGAAAAAATCCAAAGTGGAAAACTGCGTGTGAGGAAACTTCAGACATGTCATGTGACCTCAACCCTCTGGATCTGCATTACCTGGGTCTCTATACACGGGTCTGTGCCACTGTGAATGGAAACGACTCCGACTGGGTTCCGTTGGATTTCGCCCCAGCTAAAGATGCTGCTGTGGGACCCCCCACCGCAGTGCAGGTGTCTGCTATTGACAGTGGCCTGGAAATATCGATCTTAGAGCCTCAAACTAACAACAATACCTCCATGAAGGAGAAGGTCTCCTCTCTGCGCTATAGATTCACGTACTGGGAAGAAAGCACAGGTTCTAAGAGCGCACAGTTTCTAATCAGCCCCAACACAAGAGTTGTTCAGGAAAACCTGCAGTCCTGGACCAGGTACTGTGTCAGTGTCCAGTCTCTTACCATTGAACCCAACAGAACCAGTACCTTCACAGTCCCAGTCTGCATCGGTACCAATGGTGCATTTAGCTGGGGGAAGATCTGCCTGATCTTTTTCTCATGTTTGTTTTTTGTTTTCCTGCTTGTGTTTGGATTAGTGCTTGGATGTTTTCTTTGCCACAGAATCTACAAAAACAGCTTTAATCCCAAAGTCGATCTACCCAGTTTCCTTGATGAGTTCCTTGCCTCTCCAACTCTCCTGCATTCAGAACAACACTCAGAGCTGCAGTGTGACCTTCTGTCAGTGAGATCTCCCTCCCCTCAGCAGGTGCCCTCTGGTGCGAGAGACAGTATTCACAGCTGCAGTGGGGACTCTGGGGTCTCCAGCAATGACACGAGCACCTCAGCTCAGAGCTCTGTCCGCTCAACTCAGAGCTCAGCACAGAGCCCTGAGCTCAGCTCTGGTCTCACAAACGAACTGGAGGGCTCTTTGGGTCTGATACAAGTGCAAGATATAGACTTGCCTCAAAAACATGCTCTCTTCATTGCAGATGAGGGCTTTGGTGACAGCCCAGAGACAGTACAGTGTCAACAATGAAGAAATAAAAGTTCTATAACAGCACACAGACTTTAATCAGTAAGTACATTTATATGGACTGCAGAGATCAGTATAATCAGAACTCAAATATGATTTGTTGTTTCATCATTAATACTACCAGTGGTGACATGTGTCAGTTAATCAATGGATTCTTGATATAGTCAAAGGCTGTACTTTCAAATATAATTGTTCGTCTTTGCCACATGAGCCCGCCTTTTATGCAGATTTGTTCTTGCCTTTCTTGCATTGCCAAAACCATCACAGGTGTGTGACTAGTCAGAAAGAAATCTGATTACTCAAGTCACTTTACATGACATGTTACAAGAGTCAACCAATAATCTTCCCGTTGTAACCTGATGCTTAAGAGCTTTTCGTCAGCATTTTGCCTACCATGCTTCCTCAGGTGAAATTGAAACACTGAAGAAGAAAGTGTATCTAATAAACTACAACAAGCTCTCTCTAATATTAAACAATGTCTTTATTATTATTGTTGACACTTAATCATTAGTTAAAAACATGGTCTCACATGAAATACAAATATTTGCCCAGACTACCATTAAAACATGAGTAACAGTTGTTCCATTATAAACTGTATGCATTTGAAAACTCAATAGTACCAAAAATACACTACTTGTATTTACGGATCAACAATCTCAAGTACACAGTATAAAAGCTGGTGATCGACAGTTCATTAGTGTTAAACCAGTGCCTTTAACTTAAGTGCCATTCTCATATATTATAATATAAATAGTTGAAACATAAGTGGTTTAACTTGGAAAAAGAGGCACAGACATAATAAAGTTGGGAGAGGCAGTGTGTGTGTAACAGTATCTATGGCAGAGACAGTTCTTACAAAATCAATCATAGTTAAACATTGGTCTAGTGTCTTATTGGGTCCATTGAACCAGTCTGCTTTTAATCTATTATTTACATGCCCATGTCGTGATCACTGACACTCTGACGCAGGTAGTCCTCATAGAGCTTTTTCTGAAGAAGAAAGGGACAAAGAATACATGTTAAAAATGTAAATATAGGTGTCCAGGGAATAATACTGAAAGCCATTTGTGTTTGTTTTTAATACGGCAACATAAAATGAAACTGAAAATTGTAATGGTCCAATATGAGCAGAACCTTTTTTGTCAGCCCTACTTAAATATTCAAAATGGCATAGAATTACACAGAAAAGCACTGACTCACTATGCATTAGACATTTCAGATAAGTAGATCAGCACAGGGTGGGTTATATTGCAATTCTGTTCGACACTGGTGGTTTCAGATTGTAGATTCTAGAAAAAGGAGGTCGTATTTTTTCATTAAGAGATTTTGGCCATTGTTTTTGTTTTCCAATAATGTTTTTTTACAGCCATGTTTGATGACAGAGTAATTAACAATATAAACAAAAAGTAAACTAGATTTGTGGGGACAACTCAATCTGGTAGAACAATTACACTTTTTTTAAATGGACACCAAGTTAAGCATTTAGCATATTAAAATCTCTTTTTCAAGTTTTTATATATTCTTAGTACAGATTGGGATTATGTTGTCACACCTCAGATAAAATAGCATTTTAAATAAACCTCACAAATGTTGTTCCAGATAATTTTTATCGGATGAAACATTTGTGGGTCATAAATCCTGACATTTCTTTCCAAAACAGTGAATTTCCAAGTCATGGGTCAAACTAAATATTTATTGAAAAATTTCAACAACATCTGCATGTTTTCTCTTCTTTCAAGATATGTAATGTTAAATCTTTTCTTATTAAAATAAATGTTTAATAATAATTTTGCTTAAACACTGAATCCAGAACAAGCAATATAAAACAATGACAAAGTTTTAAATAAATAATGCCTCTATAGCCTATCTGTAGCCGACAGGCCAGCTCTAATACATATTTGGTATGATCTCGCGGGCCAAATATAATTATATTGTGGGCCAAATTTGGGCCCAGGCCTGAGGTTGACATGTCTGGTCTAAAATGATAATCTCAAATTTTACAGCGTGAACACAAGCATTTGCACACCTCTAGAATTAATGTTAAGATACTAAAATTTTTAACTGTGGTATTGTGATACTCAGTGTCAATTCCACTGATAATGATAAAAACGAGCATGTCCTTTAGACAACAGACTGTCATTTTCAACATTAAACCATATCAAATCAAATCAAATATCTGTAATCCCCTCAGTCATACATGTAGGTTTCATAGTGGTACATGGGCGTATACTCGTCTATGTGCTCTTATACTCGTTCTGATCCAGCTCAAGATCATCCTAAAGCTGTTTAGGAAAAGTTTATTTCTGTTCTGTTGATGTGTAGTATAATTTCTTCAAAAGAGTATCTACTTTCACTACTAGTTGAAGTATCACTTAGCTTATGATTTTTGATACTTTTGAAACTCCAGCTAGATTTAAACAAACTTACCTTTTTGTTCTTCACCACTTCCTGAATGTATTCGAGCTTTTCCTCCAGCTGCCTTCTCTGTTTGCCTGACATTGTTTGACGGGTCCTGAAGGAGTAAGAAAATGTATACATCTAGGCATCAGGATCAATATCGACTACTAAATAAACAATTACTATATTCAATATATGAAAGCTGGAATAATAGATAACGAGGATAAATATGTATATTTTATTCATTTATTTGGTGCAGCTCATGCCTTTTAATCATGCAGTATATTTAAAAATAGGTTTACTGGGATTATTTTGCATTATTGTTATTGTGTTAGTGGCAGGTGTGTGAAAGTCTTACTTGAAGCAGAAGCGAGAGACGATGAGAAACAGGAAGGAAACCACAATGAGCCCAACACAGAGGTACAGCTGCTGTTCGCCAGTCAGAGAATCAAAGAGACGCACCACAGGGGCCTGGGGATCACAACGACAATGATGTTCTAAATTTTGTTCTAGAAAGCAATGCACTTAACTAATGCTGGCACCCAAGGCAACACATTTCCAATTCTTGCACTAAAAATTACACAAAATTGAACTGTAGTTGAAGAATATATAAAAATAACTAAGACATATCTCACAGTTGAATCCAACTTTTGTTTAATTTGGTTGTCTGTTAGTTAATCTTGTCTTTTATTGACCAATGGCTGTTTCAGTTTTGGTTTTCTAAATTTCTATAGGTGAAATTACCCACCTCTTGTACTGTATATAGTGGAGATATTTTTAATATATTTGTATTACTATATTTCTGTATTTTATTTGTACTTGTACATCTGCACTTGGTATAATAATGCCTTATTTGACACCATTCTCTTGCTGTTTTTGCCATTAATTCATTTATACTGTTACTCTTTGTTATTATAATATTTTGTGATCTGTGACCTACTGTGCCCAAATAAAATCCTTAAAGTTTAAGTCTAAATCAATGTTTTTTGAAGCCCCATGAAGCTCCAGAATTGAAGTTTTATAACTTAAATATGATCCATGGGTTAGTTAAGTTATGTAATATTAGGATTTAGGATCATTTCTGTACTACACATAGAAAAGTTCTTAAAATAGTGACCAGAACAGGTAAAAAACTCTTGTGACTGAAACCCATGTAATTAGATGTAGTATGTGTGCCACAAATCTATTCAATTCATATAAACGAAATAAGTTAGTGCAGGTTGGATATTTTTCCCCTCGAAACTTGGGTCTGCAAGTCTCCAAAACTACAAGTCAAATGTACCTGTCGAGTTTATCATTAGGGGTGCAAAGTTCTAAGTGAAAATTTTATGTATTATTTTTGATACTCACCAGGTACAGTGACAGAGTCTCGGTTCCCTCAGAACCCAAAGTCAATTCCAACAGTTCTTTAGACAGAGCGCCCAGAACCAACAAGGCCATAAGAGCCATCGGTACGCTAAAGCCGAGCAACGTGAGGAAGCAACTCTTACAGCGGGCCCGGCGATTCTCTGAGGTTATCTGTCTGTGAAGAAAGAAAAAAAAATCTACAACATTTAAACACATTTCCAAGCTTGTCTGAATTGACCTTGCTTGACCTTTTTGATTGTAGATTGTTCTTTGTGGGCTGCAGTGATTAGTTTTGGTATTTTCTTAGGTATTAGAAATGACCAAAAGTGAAAACCGCAATGTGTGCCTAGAGCTTTTACTCTAGCAGCGAGTGATTAAATCATCACCGTGAAACTTTCTAGAGGTGGCAAGTCACGTGCATGATTCAACGGAAAGAGAAAGTCATAAACTCATACTATGACTATAACAGGATGCCAAGTAAGTCAAGTTTGAGAGATGCAAGCCCAGTCAGAGTAGGGACACGTTTTTGTAAGTTTTTCAGTGCAATAAAAAAATCCAGTTTTTAGCCAAAAGTTACACATTGGGACTTAAAAAAAATTTACGTTTTTTTTTTTTTTTTTTTTTTTTTTTTTTTTTAAATAGCGCAGTTATCCAACCACAACCACAAAATCAGTGCAAGGCCAATTATAGTAAATGTAAGTGCATTTCACCTATCGTAGGCTAGTGTATCGATGATGGCCTCACTGATAAGTTCACAGTCTTTCTCCAAAGAGTTGAGGGTGTTCTGAACAGTCTGGTTGATGGTTTTCTCGATCGCACGACACACTTCCTCAATCTGGTTCACGCAGCGACTTGGCTAAAGAGGAAATGAAGTTATTTAAAGAGCGAAAATGAGACTAAAGTGGTCAAGGTTGATGGCTGAAACAAATCAGATGTTACCTTATTTGGATTTGGAATGTAAATTGTAGGCATGTCAAAACCACATTTGTTGAGTCCTGGACGCTTGCAAAGTTCCTGCACAATCTGCATCATTACTCGCTGCCAAAAAACAAAAAAGAAATAGCTATTAATTTCTTAAACATAAACAACACTTTTAATCAGTGCCACGCAAAAATAGTCAAACGTTTTCCTCCAAAGTCTAAACTCTGCTCCAAACTAAGTGCTTTTGCTGACAGAGGATTGGCTGTAGATGTCTTAATTAAAAAAGACTCAAGCTGATCACTGAAGTAGAAATGATAATCTTGGTTTTGATTAAAGGGCCCCCATTATATTAATCTTGAGCTTTGGAAATATAAACAGACTAAAAAAAGTTATATGTGAATGAAACAAAAAAAAAAGCAACAAAAAAAAAAGCAACATGGTTTTTGAGGAAGTAACAACATTCTAACATGGCTAAGTGTCAATTTTGCATAATATAGGATCTTTCAAATAATATTAATTGCACAGTCCCATTTTGAAGGTTCACTTGACAATATAATTAGAGAGTTCTGTTCACCTGTCTGTCACATTCTCCTCCTGCTTCATCCGCTTTGCTCAGGAAGAAACGCAGTCGATCTCCATGTTTTTCATTCAAGCTCTCGACAATATTGAGCGTCCTTTTGCAGAGGGCTTGTCCCATGGGGTCAAAGAACACGAGGATCAGGTCACAGAGATCACCTGTGAACAACGAAGAATCACAATTACTGTCATGTAATAAAGTGCAGTTGAATCAATACCCACATACTAATTGATACAAAAAGTAGAATCAAAACAAGATATGCACTGCATCTAAATTATGGCGTGTTTTATTGTTCAGTAATCAGGTAATGGGCGTTAGAATTCATGTTGTTGTGACATGGACAACTAAACTCTGCACAGGTCTGGAGTTGTGAGAAACATTTATATAATCATCAGATTGAACAATTAAGTAAGGAGCCATTGCAAACCATTTAAAATTAACTTTCATTTTTAAGACCATTTAAAAAAATTTATAAATAAATATATCAGGCAGAGCACTTTTAAAGAGACTACGCTTATTTTGAGCTAAACACAGTGTTGTCAGATTGGGTTTAGTGATTTCCGCCCAATCAGGTTCTAAAACCCGTCCTCTTCAGCAAAAAAACGCCCAACAATGTTTTGTCACAGAAAGTATTTAATCTTTTAATAAATGTATGTAATCCATTGTTGGGCTTTTTAAAAACATTGCTAGTATTGAGAAAACATGTTAAATGGAAAACAGTATTTTCATTTATCACAGAAAAAAAAAAGTCATTTAGACTAATATTTGAATAAACATGTTGTAATGTAATCTATTGGCTTTTTAAAAACATTGCCAGGAAACACGTTATGTAAAACCTTTGGTAAAACATAGAACAGTGTTTTCATCACACACAAAAATTTATATTATCAAAAGGTCGACTATAGCCTCGGCTACAGCAAGAACAGCTGGCAAACGTAGTGGACATCCATTCATTTGTGCACAGGCCGGAGTGCACCTTCATAAGACTGGACAGGAGTCAAAGTTCCATACAGTTCCTCGTGTTATTGCATATCGGGTTGATTGGTGTGAAAAGAAAAAACACTCAAACTTGAAAGTAGCTCAAATATTATCTGCCAACCCGACGTAGTCAAAAGAAGCCCAATTGGGCGGGGACCCACCAAATCTGGTTAAAAATTACATTACAGTGTCTAAAATGTGTCAAAATCCGCATCTGGTATCAAATCTTTCCCTTAGTATCGGAATTGAGCATAAAAGCATTAAATCATTTAGTAGTACATTTTTTACCTATAAAAAAGTGTTTGTGTGCAAGTGTGTTCAAAATTCAAATTCAACTTACCGAGCCAAAGGATGACCTCATCTACATCAAATGGATACTTCATGTCTCCGTCCACAAGTCCAGGAGAGTCCACAAACGTCACCAGGCTGAAACGCTTCTGCCGCGATGTACAGATCTCTGTGCTCAAATACTCAGAAACTCCTGAATAGAAATGGTAACAATTGAGTAAAATAATTGTAAACATTAAAAAAATTGTTTTGTTAAAAATGTGTGTAGTTTGTACCTTTAAACTCTTGCAGTGGCTTGAAATGTGGGTACAAGTGGAGAGTGGCATTTCCCTAAATTGCACACAAACAAGAAGCTCTAGATCTCAGTTTTCCAAATTATTATGTGAACAGTGACGTAAACATCATTACAAACCGTGAGTGATTCTCGCTTACGGCCGCTTGTTACAAAACTGAATCCTTGAGTCTCTATGGCCACTCCAGTGCGCTGTATGTGCTCCTCTACATACCTGTTTGCAAAGAGGAATGCAACTTTACAATGAAGCATGATTGCAGAATTTTAAATATATATATATGGTTTTATATTATACAGTTGATAAATATATGTATATCCCTTTGTGTATTAATGGAAATGTACTGTAATTGTCCAAGTTAGTAAAATTATGTCCATCCATTTTCTTCCGCTTAGTCGTGGGGGCAGCAGTCTAAGCGGAAACTCACAGTCTTTCTTCAAATTATGTGATGTGCAAAATTTACTGTATTACAAGAATGCACCATAGATAAGACTAGCCAGGTTTCGTGTGAATGAAGGTCACATGCAGATAAAATGAGCCTGTAAAAACCAATCAGCTTCTTCCTTCTATCAAAACAAAACTCCTCAGTACCATGCTGGAGCTGGACAGTGCAAACAGGAACTTCTGCTTGTATGTCCCCCTTTGATCAAACTAAACTTTTACCTGGAAGGCTGACTGGGTTTTTGACTTTATATTATATTGAATGTTAGATGAAACCTACTAAAACTAAAACTGACCTAACAACAGTGTAATTTTGTAGTTATAACTATCCATTCAGTTTTGTAAGTTTTGTGCCCTTTTGCTTGAGGAGGTTTGTAACTCACATAATATAAAATAAGCATTCGCTGAGATCCAGTATTTGCCTTTATGAATTTATTTTTAAAGAACAAAAATATTATATTCTTCATGGTTGACTTTCAATAGATTTTTAAGTAGTTTCTTTCCTCCTCTCTAGCTGCTGGCACTGCTTCCCCTGACCTGCTGCTACAGGTGACTAGATAAAGCTGATTGCATTTTAACAATAAAGAAAAGTGCATTTTAATATTACATAAATTCATCAAATAAAGAGTTTCTTAAATAATATAAACTTGTTCGGACAGGAAGTATTCTATCCTTATTGGAAAGACTGCTTTGTGTACGCTGCCATGGTTGACTGAAAGAGGTATGCAAGTCACATGTTTCTGATTATTAGGCTAAGCATAGTGGTTTTCTATGTACTTATCGGAAGATTTCATTTACCAGTTGATAAAGGAGCTTTTCCCAGCAGAGTGGTTACCCATCAGCATCACAGTGATCTTTTTTCTGGGCGGCAACAGCTTCACACCAACAGATTCTGCAACTGCGATCAGACCTGACAAAAACAAAGCATAAATGCATAAATGATTATACGTATCTAAAAGATGCTGAAAAAAAAAATAAAAAATTTAATATGATACAGTATCGATATTGTGGGCTGTTGTATCGATATATCGACAAGAGTATTTTTTGGTATATTTTACTAAATAATTTTGTTACAGTGTTGCAGTTTTGTTGCTTGTTCAGAGGAAGGAAACTCATTCATGCAAAAAACATTTGACATTTTCACAGTTTTGAGGTTTAAAATGGGTGTGTTGCATATTCACTTTGCACAAGGAGTGGTTTAACAAAGACATTTAATACCACAGCCATGAGTTAGCCATTATAGTTTACTGAACCGTTTCAAATCGATTTGAAATATATTGTATTGAATCATATTGAATAAAAAAGCTCACTGTATCGAGATATGTATCGTATCGTTGCCTATGTATTGTATCGGCAACTTCTGAATGATACTCAGCCCTAATTTCTACAAGAGACAGTAGAGAGACATTTCAATCTGAAAAGTTACACAGCGCATCTTTAATTATGATTAGGGAGAAGTGATAGACGTATATGAACAACTGCAGTTGAGAAAGAAATCACTTAAAAATACAGACAGGTGCTACTGAGAGCTTATTTGAGTTTATTTAAATGTGCAGAACTCAAAATTTACATAAGAAAATGAATTAACTTATCTAAATCGTACATCAAGAGATTAGACTAAAATATAAATATAATATAGTAGAGCAAAACTAACTTAATTGTGTAAAGTTTCATCTTTTACGCAAGATTATGTAAGATTGAAGTGCTTAGTTGGCAAATCATTAGGATTTGAATGATTAGCAAGCTAGTCGTTAGCCTTTTGCAGAGTATCTAATCTAACACGTGTGCATGGATTTCTATTAGTTTGTTAGCTCAGATTGCATGAGTTTGTGAAGACTATTGTAAGGGAAGTTAGTCTATTTGTGTGTGTAGCTTTGTAGCGGGATGATCAACTAACCACTCTCAGGATCCGTGTACAGCTGATGACAATCCCGCAAGATTCGTTCGTCGCAGGACACACCGCCGCTTATCGTGTCGGCGTTTGCGGCATTTCGGCTTTTGATTTTTCCAGACATGATTGGAAATCGGGGTAAAAACTTTTCGTGTTCAAACAGGCAAAGTCCAAAATACCGGTGTGCCTCGTTTGAATCGCCCCGGTCCGCTAAAAAAGACGCAGCACGGCCACGTCGTCAGCCGGAAAGCAGTTTGGCAGCAGAGGATTGTGGGTAATGTAGTTCGTTCCCTGCACGGCATTTTTTTTCATGCAGACATTTGACACCTGCTTGTTTTCGTGGAGATGATGTCTAAAATGTTACACAGTTTGACAATTTGATGGGAAATCTCTTCCCATTAATCCCTTCATCTTGCTTCCTTATTCTCCTCTGGCATTTCCACCTCAGCAGTTTAACCCATGATCAGTGTTGGGGAGTAACAGATTACATGTACCTGAGTTACGTAATCAGAGTACAAATTATGAGTAACTGTATTCGGTTACAGTTACTGTTTCAGTGAGTGGTAATTAGATTACAGTCACTTGGTTGAAATAAATGGATTACACAACGGTATTTTCCTGTTTTCACATTTTGGGCTATATCCCTTTTTTTTTTTTTTTTTTTTTTTTTTTTTAGTAATTCCTCTGCCGGACACTAAACCAGGTCTAAAACCAGGTCTAAACCCAGATCTAACCCAGGTCTAAACCAGGTCTAAACCAGGTCTAAAACCAGGACTAAACCAGGTCTAAACCAGGTCTAAAACCAGGTCTAAACCAGGTCTAAAACCAGGACTAAACCAGGTCTAAACCAGGTCTAAAACCAGATCTAAACCAGGACTAAACCAGGTCTAAACCAGGTCTAAACCAGGTCTAAACCAGGTCTAAAACCAGGTCTAAAACCAGGTCTAAACCAGGTCTAAAACCAGGTCTAAACCAGGTCTAAAACCAGGATTAAACCAGGTCTAAACCAGGTCTAAAACCAGGTCTAAACCAGGTCTAAAACCAGGACTAAATCAGTTCTAAACTAGGTCTAAAATCAGGTCTAAACCAGGTCTAAACTAGGACTAAACCAGGACTAAAACCAAGTCTAAACCAGATCTAAACCAGGACTAAACCAAGACTAAAACAGGACTAAAACAGGACTAAACCAGGACTAAAACCAGGTCTAAACTATGTTTCAAACTGAATTTAACAGGACTAAACCATGCTGTGCGCCTCTATCAATAATATTTTTTAATACGGTTAAGTATAGTCTGGACTTTTTTATTTTCTTTTAGCAGATAAAACATCTTATGTGAAGATATCTTCGTCTTTGCTTCTCTACAGCAAATCAAGTAATACAAAGTATTCAGATTACGTTACTCACTTTAAGTAATTTAATGGATTCCGTTACAAACTACATTTTGCGGCATGTAATCTGTAATCTGTAGGGGAATACACTTTAAAAGTAACCTTCCCAACACTGCCCATGATCCACTACATCCCAATTTAAGGCCTGTTCAAACTTTATTATGTGTCGGAGTCATGCATGTCTTTTCTCTGTGCTTATACCCACCTGCCTGTTTGCAAATAGATTAATCCCACGCAGTCTTTAAATTACTAATCATATGAATCTTTTTACCATACAGCTAGAACCACACACTTTGATAAAACTTTACGAAGACGAGTGGATCTGGAGCCTTATTCTTTTTCAGAGGACGTGATTGACAGGTGAATTAACCAATCAGAGAGATAAATGCTTTGTTTATGGCTGTAAAGCAGGGGTGTCCAAACTTTTTTCATCAAGGGCCACATATCTAAACACAGATGAAGCAGAGGGCCGATCGAGGACCGTAGACTGGTGCTCAATAAAGTGAACAATTGAAATGTGTGCATGTTTAAGACGTTAGAATGAGCCATCAGTCTTTATTCATACTAAGATCCTTAAAACCACACACTAAATATTAAAGATTAGCTTTATCAAGGTAGATTAAAAAAAAAAAAAAAACTTGCAGTAAAAAATAAATTTTTAACTGATGCAAGGTAATTTGGGTCATTTCACCTGGAAGCCTGAGGGCCAAGAAAAATTTGTCTGAGGGCCGCATTTGGCCCCCAGGCCATAGTTTGGGCATGCCTGCTGTAAAGTAACAAAAAGGACTGAGAAACAGCAAGGATTTTCTCAGAATCAACAACTGAAGCACCAAACTATTACTCATCTCAGGTAAAGTTATATATTTTGTTCTGAATTTTCGAACAATGTCTTCTTCATTTAAGTCCCTTCTGGATTCAAATAGAATATAGAAGAGCCTGGCTGTTCAAGATGTTCAAGCAATGAATCTTTCATATTATGCTTAGTCTATTTTACTTTTTATTTATTCAGATTATTTATTGCACAAACAAACAACAAAAAAAACAACAACAAGCATTCTTACTTACTAATCACCATGTATCCCAACCATAAGCCATGGCTAAATGTTGAGGTGCGATCCCTGATAAGAGCCAGGAATACTGCTTTTCTGTCTGGAGATGAAACTGGACTTAGAGCTGCAAGGAGGAAATTAGATGCTGGTATAAAGAGAGCAAAAAAGAACTATGCTATGAAGATTCAGGGTCATTTTTCAACCAATGACCCTCGGCAAATGTGGGCAGGCATCAGAGAAATAACGGACTATAAAAAGAAGGAGACAGAATGCCCAGGGGACCCTTCTCTCCCTGATGCCCTCAACAACTTTAATGCACGGTTTGAAGCTCTAAATACATCCTCTCCTTCCAGGTTCACTGTAACATCTAGTGACCCCACTCTCATTTTAACAACCTCGGAGGTGAGGAGAGTCCTGCAGCAGGTGAATCCCCGCAAAGCTGCAGGTCCAGATAAGGTGCCCGGGCGAGCTCTTAAAACGTGTGCCCATGAACTCTCTGAGGTACTAACTGACATTTTTAACACCTCCTTAAGACAGCAAGTAGTGCCAAAGTGCTTCAAGACAGCTACCATCATACCTATCCCAAAGTGCAGCACAGTGTCAACCTTGAATGATTACCGTCCTGTGGCTTTGACTTCGACTATTATGAAATGTTTTGAAAGGCTGGTTATGACAGAAATAAGGAGGTCCATAAACGTGGCTGAGGACATACATCAGTATGCCTATCGTGAAAATCGTTCAACAGCTGATGCTATATCTGGACTGGTTCACATAGCTCTAACTCATCTTGAAAAAAGGGATTCTTATGTTAGACTCCTTTTTTTGGATTTCAGTTCTGCTTTTAACACCATAATCCCACAGATACTGGTAGACAAACTCATTCTCCTGGGCTTAAGCAGGACACTGTGCAACTGGATTTTGGATTTCCTCACCAACAGGTCACAAGCTGTAAAGATCCACAACATCACATCTTCCTCCATCTGCATCAGCACTGGCTCACCCCAGGGCTGTGTTTTAAGCCCCCTTCTGTATACACTGCTCACTTACGACTGTGTCACTCACTATTCTTTCAATCATATAGTGAAGTTTGCTGATGACACAGCAGTGGTGGGGCTCATCATGAACAACGATGAGTCCAATTACAGGAGGGAGGTCTGTCAGCTGGAGGCTTGGTGCAAAACCAACAATCTGTGCATCAATATAAAGAAAACAAAGGAGATGATTGTTGATTTCCGCAGGAAACCTAATGCCCCCCTCTCCTCTGTACATCAATGGAGATGCGGTGGAGATTGTTTCCTGTCTTAAATACCTGGGAGTCCAAATCATGAATAGTCTCAGCTGGTCTAATAACACCAGTTGCATTGTGAAAAAGGGACACCAACGCCTACACTTTCTTAGGCGCCTAAAAAAAGCAGGTGTGGGCCCCTCTGTCCTGAAGGCCTTTTACAGGTGTGCGGTGGAGAGCATCCTCACCACCAACATGACTGTGTGGTTCAGCAGCAGCACCAAGGCAGAGAGGAAAGCTCTGCAGAGGATAGTTAGAGCTGCGGAGCACATCTGTGGCTGTAGCCTACCCTGCATTGAAGATATTTACATCAGCAGGTGCAGGACAAAAGCCCACAGCATCATGGAAGACTCCACCCATCCAGCACATGAACTTTTTACAGCTCTCCCATCAGGCAGAAGATTGCGCCACCTACAGGCCAGGACCACGAGACTACGGAACAGTTTTTATCCTGATGCCGTGAGACAGATTAATTCTGTCAGAAAAAACACTACAAAACAGCACTGACTTGGAACGCACTTTAGAAAATGGGGGCGGGTTGACATACAATATTTTTAACTATTTTATTCTTGTTATAACTATTTATTCTTATTATAACTATTTGTTCTTATTGTTATCTGTGCTGCTGTTGACCTGGACCTGAGTGCATTGTTTCGTTTCTGTGTATTTTATACTGGAATGACAAATAAATTTGATTCTATTCTATTCTGATTCTATTACTTTGAGTGGAGTTGCCTCACCGTAAATCTGACCTGTACATTTGGCCCGGTGGCATAACCTGCTTACCTCCAGAGATATATGTTTCACAGTGTGTACAGATAAATATGACAAGGCGACAGGCACTTCACCAGAGAAATTACATAATGCACCCAACATTTTACTCCAATTTTAAAGAATATTTATTTAAAATCAGAGGCACATGGCAAGAAATTTATGCTATACAATTAGTGCAAATAATGGTTGGATGGATTCATGGCATGCATCAGAGACGGATATACAGAGATGTGAATTTAAATATAACTTCAGCAAGTGCTTAGTAAAGCTTACAATTTGACTGATAATTATATACAATGTCTTCCTCAGAATCTTATACAGTGCGATTGATAGGCTATACCCGCATCAGAACAAATTATCTGAACGGCCAATACTTGTACAGTGCATTGGTAAATGGTTAAACTGTGATTTTTTTTTTTTTACAATTAATAATATATTGCACGCTTGGTGAAAAAAAAACAAAAAAACAAACAAAACAGTGCTTCCAAACTGGACAGTGATTTAGCAGTCACCAAGTCAAGTCTGTTTCAGTGCTAATGAACTTGCTTTTTTACTGAGGTAATTGAAAATGAAAGAAACTTCATTTAGAATTGAAATTAACTTGAGAACAACATATACATATATTTGGGTAAATGTAAAAACATCATTCAACTAAATCAGCTACCAGTGAGCCTTCCTCTCTTTTGCCACTCGCTCCAGGAAAGAAGAATGGCTGGCATAGAGTGGGAAGGACGAGTCAACATCCACCCACTGCACTTGTCCAGCATCGTCCCCCGCCTGTAGGGGCAGCTCACTCACACTATTACCTACAACACACAAAAAATAGCTTTTCAAGTGGCACTTCATGTGTTTCTGTCAGTAGAGATTAAAAAGTGCACTATTTAACTTCTCAGGTGGATAGTCAGGCATCTCCATGTCTCCATGGAGATGTTATTGCCTTGCCTGGAATGTACCACAGTATGGCCTAAAACCTATTTATGTCCATAGTAAGGTTGGTAAAAGTATCGAAAATCAGATACTAATCAATACTAAAACTAGTATTTAGTAGTAGTAATTAGATACTTATTGGAGCACGTACTGATCCAAAAAAGCCACATTTACAGAACAGGAATAAACCTTTCCTGAATAACTTTAGAATGATTTTGAGCTGTATCAGAGCAAGTATAAGAGCAAATAGACTAATATATGCAAAAAATGGACCACTATGGAATCTACCTGGACCACTGAGGGATTACACAGATATAAGACCACATGCAAATACAGAAAAAAGTACTATTATTTAATTTTGATAATGACATTTGATTGAACGGCTTTGAGTACTGAGTCTACCTTAGTAACAAAATCACATTTTTGTATCGTAATAACACTAGTTCATGAAGACAAGCAGGTTTTGACACCAGGTCAAATTACAAATTAGATCTGTGGAGAGGCAACCACAGTAAAAATGCATGTTTTTAAGATAATTCTGGAGCAATAGTACCTTTAACTACCTTCAAATTAATAAAAGCTAATTAAGTGTCATATCATTCTGTGAGACATTCCAGGCAGAGTGATAACATCTCCATGGACCCAAGCAGGACAACAGAGAAGTTACATAGCGCAGCTTTATTTTTAATCAGTCACGTTTTTTTTTGTGACATTTTCTTTTTACCTGACTCATCATGGAAGCTGACCGCTACAGTTTCCATCCAGGCGTTGTCTGTGTTTCTTGGATCATCTACATAGCCTTTGTAAACCTAAAAAAACAAAAATAGTTACAAACTGCAATAGACCATAGCATTACATGTTTTATGAAGAATTAGTTCACCTCAAGTCCGGCTGAGCTAAAGAGCTTGGTTATACGCTCATGCAGTCCAGTCTTGTCTGATGGTGAGATTTCCAGGGAGTTTAGAGCTTCTTCAGAGAATTCTCGCTGCAATGTGAGTGAAATCTGCTCCCCTGGGTCGACCATACCCTATAAAGAGAACACATTTTTACACATAATTTTACAGTCAAACTTGGCTGAACAAATAAGGGTAATGGAAAAAAATAGTCTATACAAGTTAAAACAAGCTGAATATAGAGACAGTTTATCAGAAGATATTTTGTTTTTATTTATTTTTTTAGTTTTCAATAATTTTTATCTATCTGCAGGGTGAAAACTGCCCTTGATAATTAACTTAATAATACCCAATTTGCATATTCTCTAACCTGAAATAAAAAAAAAATATATTGAAAACACAACAAAACAAGTCAGATAATCTAGGCCTAATAAGTAAATAAATATAAATTTGCAAAAAACAAAAATTCCACCTATTTGCTGTTGTTTATATTTTACAGTTTTTACTATTTTATCAGTTGTTTAGTCGATTAATAGGTTGATGGTGTTTTAGTTGACTATTAGTTTATTTATATGGACTACTGTAGCAGAAAGGAAAAGTTAGAGAGTGAGTTAGCTGAAGATTTGGTATTTTTTGGTATTCATAGGCAAATTAAACTCATGATTCACATGTTTAATTTGTCTTAATATAAATCCAAAAACAATACATGCCGTAAATTCGGGACTACAAGCCGGTACTTTTTTCTCACACTTTGAACCCTGCGGCTAATAAACGATGCAGCGAATATATGGATGGGTTATTTGTTTGGCACACTGTAAATTTATATAGTTTGGCAAAACAGTGGATGCAAGCGGATCCCACCTCTGTGACAAACTGACTAAAAAAAGACGTCAAAAGCTTTCAGAGGAGATAAAAGCAGATGACCCAAACTTGAAAACATTCTTGAAGTCGTGGACACCTGCGGTTTATATTCAGATGCGGCCTATACATGTACAATTTTAAAATTTTGTTAAAATTTAGTTGATGTGGCTTATATTCAGGTGAGCTCAATAGTCCGGAAAATATGGTAGTTTCCTAGTACTGCATAAATAGTTGTTTTAGAATAAACTCGTTCAGGTGAAGTCTTGTGATTGCAGTTTGGGTCAGAGACATAATACTTGGATAGCTCTTGCCAAGCCCCCTTTTTAGTGTGTGAAGAGAAATCACAAACCCCAGGTACGGCCCACTCGCCACAGTCCTTCCTCTTGATTGACACAAACTGCAGAATGGGACGTTTGGAAACTGCATGTGTCATTTTGGCTCCTTTTGCATCCACTTTCCATCTGCCAAAGAGTTAAATCAGATATTTAGGCTAAAAAAATGTAGTATTGTCTAAAGGACTTGTTGAATTGGTTACCTTGTGACGATGGGGTCTGCAGCATGATTTGGCCCCCAGCGCCCAAGCAGACCTCTGCCTGTTACCCCTGTGCGCCCTCTGGGGTTTCTGAAAATTATAACAAGATAGTTAAACAAAACACTTGCTAATAAACCTGTCACAATAATTACTATATTGATTTCTTTGAGCTATTTTCTTGTGCTCAGTCTTCAAATTATTCTCACTAATGAGCAGAGGTGGGAAGACTGGCCAAAAATTTTACTAGAGTAAGAGTAACATTATTTCAAAATAATATTACTCAAGAAGTGCAAAGTAGTGGTCCAGAAATTACTCAAGTATTGTTCAAGTAAGATTGAAAGAAGAACTGTCAGGCTGTAACATTTGATTTAGAATTTGAAGTCAGTTTAAAGGAATGACACAAAAATGAAAAAGCAAAATCATATCTGAAGAAACACAAATGACAAATTGTCAACATAAATCTTTTATCACTTTTAGAAGTAAGAGTACTGTTATTTTAAATACTACTTAAGTAGGAGAATAGTAAAAGTATGGTCTCTAAAAAAAAACAAAAAACTACTACTTTCTTTAAAGTTATTCAAATAAATATAACTGTGTACGACCCAAGTCTGCTTTTTCTTACAAGTGTTGTAAAGGGCTAAATAATTAACATCTCTATAATTATAGATACTGAAAAATTACTAGTTATAATTATTAGATTTTCATTGTGCTAAAACATGAATATTATTGCATCTAAGAATATATTATAGATCACTGTATTGATGCATTCAACATAATTATTCTAATAGAATGCACAATAAAAATATTTTGGACATAATTATTTTAGTAGGGCCGTAACAAATGTTTTTTTTAAATAATCGATTAAGTTAACAATGATCATTCTTTTAACAATTTAATTTGTTGTTTAGATTGCGAGAATCCTGTGAATATGAGATAGTTACTAAATTTGGAGCAGATGAAATGCTGCCAGGAAAAAAAGAAAAAAAATCAATGTGTCCTGTGTCACATGCCTTCCTGAGTCATAAAAGCACTTCTCTCAGAACATAGCATGTTTTGGAGTGTGTGTTTAGTCCAGATAATGATTGTTCAGTATCTGAATTAGTTTAGTAATCATTTAACTTGTTTCAGCCTTAAATTCATGTTGCATGTTAGGCTAATAAACCAACTATATTACTTTTCTATTAAGTGAGAGATATTAACAATGAATTATGACAGAAAACAAGACCACCACCCTTTAGAATGACACACATAAAACAAGCCTATCTCTGGATTTCACAACAGGCCTGAGGTATTTCACTTAGACAGAGGGTAGGTAAATATAGTACAAATAGAGTACAAAATGTGGGTTTGTATACTCACAGAGGCTTTCCACTTTCCACTCTGTAGTTTCCTTCAAAACTTCTGCGGTCAACATCACCATCCAAGGCATTGAATTTAGGGGAAAACGTCCTGCAAATGCGTAAACGCAACTCAATCAGGAATCTAGACTGACTTGTATAACAGCATACAAGCAAGTAAATATTTGCTTTAGGATTGTCAAAAGCATGGAAAATCAGATAATAATCGATACTGAAACTATGAACTAAACTAAACTATGAACTTTGGAGCATGTATCGATACTAAAAAAGTCACATTCACTGGACAGAAATTAACTAAAAGTATAAGAGCAGATAGACTAGTTTACACCCATGGACCACTATGGAACCTACCGATACATATATAAAGCCACACTGATTTAATGTTGAAAATCACATTCTATAGTCTAAAGAAAGACTGTTTCTAATTATCATGGTGGTATCTGTATTGAGTCTACTCCTTAATATAAAATGTATGTCTTACCCAATTTCAGGATCTGCCCATTTTGGCTTTTTGGTGACAGCAGGATTGGTGTGGCTGACAGGGCTGTACTCTGGCCAGTTCTGACTCCACTGCACCTTGTCATCTGGCACTGGGAATCGCTTCACCTGAGACCCTGGGTACTGGGGGCATCTGGATTTCACATGAGGCACACCTGAAGATGTCATGATGATAGGATGCCCGGTGGTGTAACAGTGATATTTTGGGGTAGAATAAAACTGACAAGCTCTGTAGCGATTGTCAAGTGAGTAGGAGATGGCTGATGGTCTGCAAAAAATAAAAAAAAAAACACAAAATTCAGTATGAGCCTATAGTTATATAGCCTATTACAACTTCGCAACGCAACAACTAAATGTAAGAAATACCAAAATGTTTTGTTTTGGTATGCAGTAGTCATTGCAAAGACGCTTAAATGTGTATTGAGTAACATTTCTTGCTGGTGTTACCTAAATTGAGATGTTATTGGCATTTTATTTATTTACATCTTGTGTTTGTTTAATTTGTTTTTACTGCACAAATACAAGTTGTGCTCATAAACATGCATTATTACTGAGAGTGGGTCATCTCTCCGCAGATCTTATACTGGTGCTGTCACTTGCTTGTCTTCATGAAGACTGACTTATTTAATCAACATTCCAGGAAAAGTAAAGACATCTTCATGAAGACAAGACCCTCCAGCAGACAAAAGTGAAAAAATGAATAGCACACTCAGATGGCCAATATCCAAAAGCCCTTTATTTTTAAAAGCACAAAAAAAAAAGGCTTTTTTTGCCGAAACATTATTTAAAAATAAAGGGCTTTTGGACATCACCCATCTGAGTGTCCTATGCATTTTTTCACTTTTGCCTTCCTGCTTTTTGCATTTGCACCTCTACAAGAACTTTGGTGAGCGTTTTCTGTTTCAATTGAGACTCTCCAGCATAAACATTAAAATGTCTATTTTATTTATGTTTGTTATAATGTTTAGACTTAGACTTAGACTAGAAAAACTTTATTGATCCACAAGGGAAATTATTTGGACACAGTAGCTTACACATCACAATATAATATAATAACAAAGAGTAAAAAATAGAAATTGTCGTAATAAATTCAAAATAAGCAGCACAAAAAGATAGCAAGAGACAGGTGTCAAATAAGGCATAATTATATAAACGTGTATGTACAAGTCAAAATAAAATAGAAATAGAAGTAAAAAAATATAAAATCTCAGCTATATACAAGAGGTCATAGGAAAACAGTGCAACAATGATATGATTATTGACAGGACAAAGTGTTCTCTGTTACATTAAGGTGAGTTGTTGTACATTTGTAAGGAGTATGGATGAATAGTTTGCAGCTACTCTCTGTAATAGCATGAACATAATTAAGCAAAGTGGGAAATAACTGGGGAAAAAAGCTCGCAACAATAAGGCTAAAAGACTCACTTTGAAGGAAAATCATCATTATCAACTAAACAGCCTTGTCTTAAGACCAATAACACAACATACCGAACTTCCACCGCGCAAATGTGACGAGGCAATCCGAAGAGAGCGAGTGCTAGACGAATGTGGCCGATCCAGAAGCGCCGCAGTGACAAGTGGATCATTCCTGGGTCAAAAAAATGAATCAATAAACTGCCCAGCCCTCTGTGAAGCAGCAGAGTCTGCAGACAGAAACAGGCCCTCATGGAGCAAACAGCACCGTAACCAGGAAGTACGCGGGGCACGGCGTCATGACGAAAGCCGCAGGGGGCGTGGTCAGTACGTTTCAAAATGTTGCTGACAATATCTCAATATCTGATAGATAAAAATAGAGCTAATTATCTGACAGATCTGCTTTTCAGGAATGTTAATCGTGTTAAAATATGAATATAATAGAGTCAAAATGTTGAATATGCAGCCCTTCCCCTCACTGAGTTGGATCTAAAGTTCAGTTAAAGCCTCAATATATGGATCTAGGTCAGACCTGGGTATTGTTTTTTTTTATTTAATTTTATTTGTTTTATTTCTTTTATTTTTATTTTTTTTCATAAAGTATAAAAATACATCAACAGTGTCTCAACATCAGACATACAAGAAATGAATGAAAGGGAGTAGAAAGAAGAGTCATCTTATGTTACCTCCCCCCTTTTCCCTTTTCAATAAACAATAAACATCAACACCTATAGTTACTTTAAAACATTTCAAAACAGTGTGAAGAATCCCTCAGTCGTCCAGGAAGAATCCATAGCGAGGAGAAAATTCAGTTTGTCGATTGGACAAAAGTTAGTTTGATTGAAGACGTTTCGCAGCTCATCCAAGCTGCTTCTTCAGTTCTGGTCAGATGCTGGTGGACAGTTTCTTATATCTGTCTGCAGGGAACTAACTACTCTGAAACTAACATATCTACTTGTTTTCTGTTAGTTAGTTAGTTAGACCTATTGACCTGTACTAGGTGTGGGTCTAATTAGCATAACAATTCAGGGCCATAATGGGTGCTCCCTCACCTCTGGACCTGACCTGGCTACACCCGTTGTTCTCTTGTTTGTTTTGACTTAGGTTTGAGGATGGAGTTGTAAATAGGAGATAGATGGGGTCTGAGGCCTCCATTTCTGTTTAGAGAAAGATTCTCTTCCATAACAAAAATGGCTTCTTTCACTTCCCTCTCAAACCAATTATTTTCTCTGGCTAAAATCTGCACCTTGCTGTCCTCAAATGAGTGGCCCGTGGCTTTTAAGTGGAGATGTACAGCAGACTGAGGTCTGCTGCTCTCTCGTCCGTGTTGGTACATCCTCTTGTGAAGTAGCTGTTTAGTTTCTCCATTGTTGCATTCACTGCAGTCTTCACTGCACTGAATGGAGTAGACCACATTGCTTTGTTTGTGGTTCAGTGTTTCGTCCTTTGGGTGGACCAGTTTCTGTCTTAAAGTAGGTTTGAAATAGACTGGGATCTCATGTTGTCTAACTTTTTTCCAGTCGACAAACTGAATTTTCTCCTCACCATTTCTCCAGTACATTTCAGTTCAGGCACAATTATTAATCAATTGCAAACAGAATCTTCCCTATTATGCACAACAAGTTAGTATTCTTTTTCATACATACACAATGCATTCAATTTTATGTGTTTTTAAATGCCATAATTGTACTTGATTCTTTTATATCTTTGTTGAGACTATTCCATAATTTGACTAATTTCAAAGCGATACTTCGCTCCATAACCTTGGTTCTGAATCTGTGTTTTTTAAACATGTAGATTTCTTTTAAATTGTAGTGTTTTGTTCTCATCTCAAACAGTCTTTAAATATTTACAGGTAATACATTGCACTTTGCTTTATACATGACTTAAGTAAACAATATCATGCATTTTCAACACTTTAAGTTGAACAAATAATGGGTTGGATTGCTACCCAGCCCTAATCAATGCCACATACAGAACTTTGGTTGACTCTGACCGGCCCATTTAAGTTCATTTGGAATTACAAAATAAACATATTTTATCATTTTACCTCATGCATGGACTAAAGCTGCATTGCTTTTATATTAGAGGTGTTTTTAAATGACATTTTTTGTAAGGCAACCTCACTTTTTCATTGTTTAGTCATAACATAAACCAGTCTTACCAGCTTGTCAAAATAATGCTATTTACTGCTTCTTCTTTTTTTTAATAAAGAAATGCAATTAATATTATGCAGAAGAAGTATTTTGGCCTGGCCCTCCATATTATTTTCTGTTTCTTATGTGGCCCTATGGAAAAAATAATTGCCCACCTCTGATCTAGGGTCTATAGTCCAAAGTATATGTCAGTGGGTGACAAACACAGGGGCAGTAAATATTACAGCTGCAATGGGGAGTTGAGGCCACTAGGAGGCGGTGAAGACCCCACAACATACATTGGCTCCATCGGTTTCTCCTCTTAGCTTAGTCTAGGTCAATATAAACTAGAAGAATGTCAGTTAAAGTATTAGAATAATTGTGGACCTTTAAATGTAATAAAACATTTATACGGTTGAAACTTTAAATTAAAGTAACAATGTAGGTCCACTATAAGTATTACGCTGAGTGCTTCACAGTATGTATGACATAACATGTGGCACCCCAAGCAAGTGGCAGCAGCGATGACCAGTAAGTGAATAAATGAAAAATAAACAAGTTTAATATCATAATGTGTGGAGCATTCCAGGCAAATAAATATCAATGTCAGGTGGCAGATTATTAATTTGAAAAGTTACATAGTGCACATTTAAACCCACTGAGAAAAAGAAAAAAAAAACACATTTCAATCCACAGGCAAGTCTATTCTTTCAACAATAACTCTGACATAAATGTTTTGAACTTTCATTTTCTGTTTCTTTCCATGGCTGTTATGCAAGAACAAAAACACGTTCATCAGTTGTCAAGATATAAAAAGTCCAATTGTGTCTTTTTGTCTTATGAAGAGTCTTCCTCAAACGTCTAAGACGTTTTGACACGCCCACTCATGCTCTCTGCATGTTTATCGCGTAGGCTGCGCTTGTTTTGCTCATATTTTGCTGTTATAAGTGGGAGAATAAGCGGCGGCGTGGTCTAATGACGTGACACCGCCCTAACAAGTCACGCTAATAATCAAATCTAACGCACCACTGTTACCGTAGTGTGGCACGCGCATTTACGCTCGTTGCTGCAACCAAATCCGCTCTTACGTAGAAAATCCACTTTATTCTTGTGTCGGGAAAATAAAGGCCCATCTTAGCCCGTCCTCTCGCCCAGCAGCAGCTGTCTGATCGCCCTCAGGGACGGTGACTCCGGTAAGAGCGGCAGAGGTCCTCGGTGAGAAGCGAGAGGAAGAATGGCGGATCCGAGCAGCACAGCGGCGGTGGGGGCCGCAGGCTCCAACAGCGCTGCTGCCGAGGCGGGCACCGTGGCGCAGGATGGGGCCCCTGGAGCTGCGGGAACCAAACCTGTTTGCGAGACTGTTAAGGGCCAGATTTTTGACGTGGGTCCCCGCTACACCAACCTGTCGTACATCGGAGAGGGGGCTTATGGGATGGTGTGGTAAGTGGTTGTTTTTGTGACCATAGTAGATGTCTTCACAAATACTAAAAGAGCAAATGTTACAGGGCCACTATAAGGTAAAACACATGTCAGGAGTATACTTCATGTGTAGTGTATAGGCGGACAGTATTTGACAGTGTATAAGTAGTGGCTGGAGTAAATCTGGTTAGCAGACTACAGGCGTGGCTATGGGCTTACAGGAAACAAGATCGATGCTGATTCCTCACAGCCTGGTTTGCAAAGCACGGGGTTTTGCATAAAGCCGCTAATTCTACTGCTCACGTCGTGTAACATAACGGTCTGTGTTGCTGTCCAGTGAGAATGCAATAATACGCGTTATTGTAAATCTTGTGTCTAAAATGTAGATTCTGCGGAAAGTCCGCTGCAGATGAAGCGAGGCCTTTCTCCATATCTGTCTCTGTCATCTGCGGCCGTGTGTGAACACGTCCTGTTGTTCCACACACTTAATGCTAGAGCCAAGTCATAATTATTTGGACGGAAAACTTTAGTTTCTTGCCATTCTCTGTAGAGCATTGCATGCCCAGGTTTAAGTTCCATTATGAAGCCTTATCTAAACCATCACAGCTACCTGTAAACCTGTCAGAAATAACTGTTGAAGTCCCTGTACTTCAATAAAGTAGTAGTACTTTTTGCTATGGGCAGTGCACATTTAAAGGGGAAGTAAAAAGAGCCCACAAAACTAAACCTTACATAATCTAGCAGATTATATCTGTCCCATGTTCTTCTTCGTTCTCTTTAATAACTACAGAACTAGTTTTACTGCAGCTTGGCAGAAGCAACAATCTGCAACGCCCTCTGAGCGCTCATTTTCTGATATCAACACTACTGAGTGAAGAGTGCGCCATGTAATATGAGCCCTGTTTCTTGGTTGTTCCTCCCCACACAGCTCTGCCATGGACAACCTGACAAACCAGCGTGTAGCCATAAAAAAGATCAGCCCCTTTGAGCACCAGACGTACTGCCAGCGCACCCTGAGAGAGATCAAGATCCTGCTGCGTTTCCACCATGAGAACATCATTGGCATCAATGACATCCTCAGGGCACGGCACATTGACAACATGAGAGATGTGTATCCTTTCATGAACTGTTTTGTCATCGCTATCATATATAGGTTGCATTCACGTGAAATAATGACACTATAGAATTCATATCTTACATATTTGCTGACCTGATTTATAGTTAATATTTCTTTAAATATCTCTGTGTTAATGCAGATAACAAAAAATGGCTCCTCTCTTTTACCATAAATACACAAAAGTGATTTTTTTTCACAGTTGTTTTAGAAAGTGATGTCTTAATTGAAGATTGCGGTCAGTTGAAATAACTTTAAACCATAAGATTATTATAACAAATAATGACAAGGGGCAATAATTGTGGATCATAACAGATTTCTTTTAAAAATCTCCCAGAGAGTAATAGAGGCCCCTCCCCTCCATCTGAAAATATGACGTCATCAAATTCTTGAATGCCGCCTGTATATTGATACTTTGCATCACTCTGGGGGTGATTTACATGTATCTCTAAGGTTAGAATCTGTAGGAGTTACCATGGTGACACAATGCACAAACCGCAAATGGAGTCAAAAAGTTTTAAGATGGTCTGAAAACTCAAGAAACAATGGATGTAAACAACACATTATTAGGGACTTGTGATCAGTGCGGTACATTCATGATCCTGTTTCGATATGATTTTCATCAGTTATGTTGCGTGAGAAGGATTTGTTTAACAGCACAAACTATCTCTCCTGTTGTAGTTCCCGATGAGTCTGTTCTTTATGGTCAGATTGTGTTAAAATCAATCAAGTATCAATATTAGGAGTGTGCAAAAATATTGAAATATCAATATATTGTATCGTTAATTTGATGATATAGTATCGATATCGTGGGTTGCTTTATCGATATATTGCCAAGAGTATTTTTATGTATATTTTACTACATTATTTTGTGTAAGAGCTGCAGTTGTGTTTGGTAAAATGGGTGTTTTTTTTTTTTATTAACTCTGCACAAACTTAGTAGACTTAGTAAACTTTTAGTATCACAGCCATGATTTAGTCTTTGTTTTCTATTGAACCATATCAAATAGGATCAAATATTATATATTGTGATATCGTATCGTTAGAGTTCTCACAATAATATCGTGGACCATCACAATATAGCAAATTACAAGTCTCTTTGCTTAAATTCAGAGTTATGGTGCAGCAATGGCTAAAAAAGATAGAGGGAGCTACATAGACCTTGATCCTTTGCTCTATTTCAGTGCAGACTACAAGAAGAAATAACAGTTCTAAGCACTTTTAAGTCTTAGTTCTTTGGATTAAGTCTTGTCAAGGCATTTTAAGAGGAAACAGTAGAATATTAACAGTTTTGTTAAACTCCACGAAATATCGCATTAAATATCGTACTATGAGATGTATATCGTGACACGATATACATATTGTATACGATATGTACTGAGAGATTTGGATATTGTTACATCCCTAATCGTGAGCTTTCCTACGATATCGCAATAAATATTGTACCGTGTGGTTCATACCGTGACGTGGATATCGTTAAACCCTTAGTATCGAATCAATCTGAAATATATCTTATCAAATTGTATGGAATCAAAAGAGCACTGTATTGAAAAACATATCTCATCATGGCCTATGTATCGTATCGCCAACTTCTTAATGATACCCAGCCCTAATCAATATTGTATTTATTTGTGTTTATTAAGCAGTTTGTATTTCTTGGACAGTCACTCAGTCACTTTTAAAAGTAGGTAATAAACAGAGTCATTGTTATTGTTGTTTTCAGCGCAGTATTTATGTGTCAGTAGTGTTGTAGTGGTTTACGGGGCAACTATCAGTACACAGTCGACACAGCAGTCAGCTATTTGTGTAGAAATGTCCATTGTCCTCGCCCATCCTCTTTCAGACATTGCTTTGTCAACAGGCAGAGAAGATTTAGACTTCTCTTCAGGTTTTAAATCTCCTTCAAGAAGCTATTGTCACAGTTACGTTTTATTTTATTTGTTTCGTTCCTTTGCTGACTGTATATTTTAAGGAGTGGTCATTTTTAATATGCAGGTCAGCCCTTTTCCACATTACTATTGCACTTCTCTTCCAAATGTAGGCTGCATACTTTAGTCTTTAAAAACTGAATTCTTGTTTTGGCTTAATCATTTGCTTAATTATCTGTTTGTGAAGTGAAAAATGCAACAGTTATTTCTTCTTAGAATCAGAAGATTGGTCCATCTTTTAGTTTTAATTTAATTTTAATTTATAAATACATCAATTAAAGTATTAATTTCCTGAACATTATATTTAATCACTACCATTTAACACAAAAAAATTTAATTTCTTCTTCCAAAGCCTGAACTCGGCTCTAGACTTCCATTAAAAAGACCCAAGTATATCACCAAAAAATCAGGTTATTGAAAAGGCATGTAAACAGTTACATCTGATGTGAGTAATCTGATTTTTTTCTGTTCACATCTGTGTTAGTTTTGGAAAGTTACACAAAAAGGGTAAATTAATGGACAAAGATAAAAATGATAAAAAATTAAGAGAAATTTAGTTGTACTTTCTATTCCAGATATAAGAGTTACTCTAAAACCCACTGATGAACCGACACGTTACCAGATGATCAAATTAGAAAAAACTGAATCTCTATCTCGATTAAAAATTCAGTAAATTCTTTTCGAGTAATGCCAACGCACATTTTTGCTGTGAAAAACATACCACCTCACCTTATTTGTGTCATGACCTGTTTTCCTTAACCCAAAGTGCTGTGTAGCTACATCGTGCAGACTTTGATGGAGACCGACCTGTACAAGCTGCTGAAGAGCCAGAGACTGAGCAATGACCACGTCTGCTACTTCCTGTACCAGATCCTGCGGGGCCTCAAGTACATCCACTCCGCTAACGTGCTGCACCGCGATCTCAAGCCCTCCAACCTGCTCATCAATACCACCTGTGACCTAAAGGTGAGCCCCAAAAGCATGTTATAACACTGTAATTAAAAAAAATACAACAAAATACTATAAGATACGCTCTCAACATGTCTGAAAAGGGGGTAGTTTGTGTTCACGTGATATCACAACTAGGGATGTAACAATAACCGAAATATTGTGATATCGTATCGTCAAAAGTCTTTAGTAGGAACAGTTTATAAGCATGGGGAACTACATATCCCATGATTCATTTCAGTGCACACAACATGAAGAAATAGGTTTTTTACTTGAATTCTCGGGACTATGACAGGAATACTTCACACACAAAATCTTGTCAAGGTATTTTAAAAGCAAAAAACATGTCCTGTCTAGGGGTGTAACGATATCCAAATCTCACGATACGATATGGTCACGGTATGAACCTCACGATACGATATTTATTGCAGTATCGTGGGAAAGCTCACGATATGATGGGGGCGCTCACGATAAAAAATTTAACAATATCCAAATCTTTAGGTACGGTATTTTGTCGATATTTTGTGGAGGCAAAACTGTTACTATGCTACTTTTTTCTCTTAAAATGCCTTGACAAGACTTAATCCAAAGAACTAAGACTTAGAACTGTTATTTCTTCTTGTAGTCTACACTGAAATGGAGCAAAGGATCATGGTCTATGTAGTTCCCTCTATCTTTTTTTTTTTAGCTATTGCTAAAAAGAGTTAAAAGATTAAAAATTAGCTGGAGGGTAAGAATTGTACCTTTTGAATTTCTTGTTGTTTTGACCTGTTTTGTGGTGAATATCTTTCTAATTGTTCCCATCCACGTGAGCCAAAAATTGTCACAAATTTCATTATCTTGTCTTCCTTTAAATTAAACTAAAATGCAATATTATTTTTCACTATGATGGATAGAAATGCTTGTCCTGATTATTGCTATTGTTGCTTAAAGCCATACATACATCTTAGACTTAGACTTAGACAAACTTTATTGGACACAGTAGCTCACACATCACAATAAATAAAATAAAGAGCAAAAATATAAATGGTAATAATAAATTCTAAATAAGTAGCAAAAAAGTTAGCAAGAGACGGGTGTCAAAAAAGACATAATTATATAAATGTAAATCAACAAGTAAAAATAAAATAGATAAGTAATAAAATATAAAATCATATCAACATGACAAATTTGTGGATCCAATTTCAAACAAATTATAATGTGAAATCCTAGAATGTTGAACTGGATGAAAACATAAACAACATTTTTTTTTTTTTTTACATATTAAAGTGAAAATCTCAGGAATGTTGAATATATATGTTAAATTGACACAGGCCATAGCAGTGTTGTTGTATTTTCCATGAAGCATTTACTTTAAGGGCATTTTCAAAATATTTCAAACTGAAAAATACAATATAAAGCAGTGGGTTTATGTATATTTTTTAGTAACACTGAGATTTATTTCAACATATTTGGCCATAGGGGTCACAAGCCAGTGCACTCTTCATTCGCAACATGTAATTACAGCATGTGCAGCAAATAATAGTAATAATTTGTGGGCAAAAGACAATCTATAATTTAAACTACCACACCAACAGAGACATTTTCTTGTAAAATGAACAACAAGATTTATTAGTTTTTATTTCTTGACTCTTGTGAGCTTTAAATCTTGTTAAAATGTTGTTTCCTTATCAAAAACATACCCGGAGTTGTGTTTTGTATGCTTGTAATGAGAAATTGTAACGTTGATCTGAAAGTGGAGTATTTTATGGCCTCTGTAAGTTGTTTTTTTCTGGGTTAGTGTGAGCTGGAGTCATAAACAGTCCCAGGATTAGGTGATCATGTGGAAACAAAGCAGGCACATATTACAGTCTCTCACACTCGCATTCCTCAAAGTGCATTTCTTTTGTTCAGCTGCTACTGGTTTGCCTCAGGTTGCATTCACACATATGTACTATGAATTGTAATCGTTTTTGTCCACGGTACTTGGAACTAAATTAGGACTAAACCAAGAACTAAGCCAGGACTAGAACATGACCAAACCCACACTCAAACTCTTTTTCTTCTACCTGCAACTGTAACTCCTCGAGTGAAAACCTTTGTTCCCTTTACTTTCGTCCAGTTACCGCCAACATTTAAAAGTTAAAGTCTGATACAAGAACGTGCACCAACACAACTAACTAAAGAACCTCACGAATCTGTTTCTGTCTTCTCAGATTTGTGACTTCGGCTTGGCTAGGATAGCAGATCCCGAACATGATCACACAGGTTTTCTGACCGAGTACGTGGCTACGCGTTGGTACAGAGCACCAGAGATTATGCTCAACTCAAAGGTATTCAAACACTATAACAACTATACAATCACGTTCATTATGAAGCTGTTTTGCTCATCTTTGGCGACTATGTTTTCGTCCAGGGTTACTCAAAATCCATTGACATCTGGTCTGTGGGTTGCATCCTGGCTGAGATGTTGTCCAACAAGCCCATTTTCCCCGGGAAACACTACTTGGACCAGCTCAATCATATACTGGGTATGTTACTGTATGTGTGGCTAAGGACAGATTGTCAATATGAATGTTAGAGCTGTACCAGAAGGAGATGGATGAATTGGACATGAATAGACCTCATGCATTAGTTGCCATCATAGACTGTATATATAAATGGACGTGGCTAGCCGAACGCTCCAGTCAAATGATACACAGTGATACACACACTCCTTTAGTCCACTTCTTTTTGCAGTCTATAGTCGTCACTCAGCCCTACATTGCTTTTCTTAGCACAGCATCCATTTTGGTGCTAACTTAAAGTGACCAGACTTCCCTTTTTACCTGGGACAGTCCCACTTTTAAGCTCTGTCTCCCCTGTCCCACCAGATTTATCCAAAACCACTGATTTGTCCCAGTTTTATACAAGAAATGTATAAAAATGTTTTGCTCAATCTGATACCTGCCAACAGTAAAAAGAGTCATACATTGTCATTTTTATAAGTAAAATACAGAAAAGCTGCATAAAAAGGACCAAAACACAAATAAAATGTGACTATACTGACACATGTTAGTCATGAATGGGCCGTGTGCGTAACAGTTTTCCTTAATTACACACTCATTTCACAGTTTTATTATTACTAACCACTACAAACTGGGGGAGTCCCAGTTTTTTATTTAGAAAATCTTGTCACCCTATGCTAACCCCAAGTTGTGACCTTTCTAGAAAGAATCAACTTTTTCCTGTTGCTAAGCAAGTTCTAAAACATGACTTCAACATACCACTGACCACTCATTTACAAGGGAAATGGAAAGACAGATTTCTTCAACAGTAGTAGTTTATTTATTTAGTATCCATGGGTTTCAGAATGATGAAAAATCTGGATAGCTGCCGTAGCGGTTAGCAACTTAAAACTAAATAGTATACATTTTGAATGGGGAAAAGCCCTCAAAATGTTGCCTCTCACCTTTGAATGAATGTATCTGTAAGTGGCAGACTTATTTTCACAGACTCCAAATACAGCGTGATGAGATTTTCAAAATAAAAAAACTGGGACATCCCCGTTTTTTGTGGTTGGTAATAATACATTTGTAAAACGAGTGCGTAATGAAGGAAAATTGTTATGCACTCGGCCCATTAGTCGCATTTTCTTTGTGTTTTGGTCATTTTTAAGTAGCTTTTTTGTATTTTACCTAAACAAATGACAATTTATGCCTCTCTTTACTGTTGGGAGGTATCAAATTGGTCAAAAATAGGGACATGGGGGACATTTTTGGTATAAAATTGGGACAAATTAATGGTTTTGGATAAATCTGCTGGGACAGGGAACACCGGGCTCAAAACTGGGACTGTCCCTGGTCACCCTATCCAAACAGCTAGTTAGTGTTAACAACTCTTAGTTTACTTTTTTACTGTAGCTGCTTGTTTTCCTTGGCACGACAGTTGACTCCGCTGAAAAAAAAAAAGCTTTATTTGTTGAAGCAGTATTTTTCCTGTTCATCTTGTGACCTTCTGCCCTCTGTAGATTTTTTTTTTGGTTGAAATGGTTAAAATACCACACAGCAAACATAATACAAGTGACCTTAAAACTTGTTGTTCAGGTTTTGGGTCGCTATGAGTCCACCAGTTTAAATTATAGTAAAGAGGGGTACCATATTGATTAGGGTGACCAAATTTACCCAGGGACAGTCCCAGTTTTGAGCCCTGTATCCCCTGTCTCAGCAGATTTATCCAAAACCAGTAATTTGTCCGTTGTCCCTATTTTTGACCAATCTGATCCCTGTCAACAGTAAAAAAAAAAGGCATCAATTGTTATGTGTTTAGGTAAAATGCAGAAAAGCTGCTTAAAAATGACCAAAAAACAAAGAAAATGCGACTATACTGACTCACATTAGTGCCGAGGGCCAAGTTAGGTCTTATGGAGACAATGAAAATGTACTGCAGACAGATATAAATATGTAATGTCTTTTTCCAGGTGTTCTCGGATCACCATCCCAAGAAGATTTGAACTGCATCATCAACATGAAGGCCCGGAGCTATCTGCAGTCCCTTCCCGAAAAACCCAAGATCCCCTGGGAGAAGCTCTTCTACAAGGCCGACTCTAAAGGTATGCTGACAATTTATACGCATTTCTGTAACTAATCCCACCAACGAAACATGAGCATGACGATGTGTCCTTTAACCCAAACAGCCCTGGACCTCCTTGGCCGGATGTTGACCTTTAACCCCAACAAGCGCATCACTGTTGAGGAGGCACTGGCACATCCTTACCTGGAGCAGTACTATGATCCAACAGATGAGGTAATTTACAGTAAAGAGGAGCTGTCACCATTCAATTGTGTCATTGTGTGGTCATAGTTGGACAATAAGAGTAAAAAAAAAGCAATGACTCAATAATTAGTCTTTACACCCCTGGCAACGGCACAAAGCTAAGATGGATTATTCTCTATTAATATTTATTACATGATTGCTCGGGCAACTGTTTCTAGGCTGAACAATTTTAGAAAAATATCCATGTTGCAATTTTTTGGACTAACATTGAGATTTTGATTAGATTTGTGATTTATGTTTTAATATTGGTGTTCTGCTTAAAATTCACATTTTAAACTCTAGAAGAATTGGCAGGACTGCAACGTAAACTGACAAGCTAATACTAGAATTACATTTCAGAACGTGTTTGTGCAGATCTAAACTACTAAAATTGCAGCCTTTGCAGTTTGCTAATTGCACCTATTCACATTGTGGTTTTGATTCGATTGCTATTAATCTTGTAGCCCTACCTAATGCCATGCTGCTTGATCGCCTCTTCACATTGATGAAGAATATGAAGAATGAACTTTGGTCTGGTTTTATGTTTGCTTATAGGGAAAGGTGAAAACATACTCTTGATAGTTGTGTTTTCTTAAAGGCCCTGCAATCAATTTCCATGTATTTGAGCAAAATGTCTGCATGGATGCATAAGACAAGTGAGGAAACTCTTTAGGCCACTGCTGACTGTTAAATGAACCAGTTCTGTTTGTCATGTGTTTAAGACGGTAAAAATCTGGTACAGCGTCTTTTTAATTTCTTGATGATGACACCGGTAGAAGGTCTTCGATACTGTTGTAAAAATAACACTATTTGTTCATGCAGCCGGTGGCAGAGGAGCCCTTCACTTTCTCCATGGAGCTGGATGATCTTCCCAAGGAGAGGCTGAAGGAGCTGATCTTTGAAGAAACCGCTCGTTTCCAGGAGAACTACCAAGGGTCCTGAGGCTCCCAGGTACAAAGTCCACAAAGCACTGTTAGGACAGACTCTAAATTTAGCAAACATGTCAAGTGAAAGAAGGCCACTAGATGTCAGTCTGCCTTAGACAAAGATGCACCTGCAGTCAAAGACAAATATGTCCTAACAGGATATATAGGGTTGACAGTTTATGTTGTCATCAAGAATACAGAAAGTTGTGTAATGTTTAACAAGAAACTGTAGAACTGAAACTGTAAAAGAGCTCTATTGTAAATGCTTTGTTTTTATTTTGTACAATTTTAAACAAGACAAAATTTGATAGAATTATTGAAATAAAAAAAAAAAAACATTCTCCTTAAATGTGCAAGGAATGTTTCACAGTATGGTGTATATAAAACAGTTACCGTATTTTCTGGACTATTGAGCGCACCTGAATATAAACTGCATCAACTAAATTTTAACTAAATTTTAAAATTGTACATATGTAGGCCACATTTGAATATAAGCTGCAAAATAACTGTTCAAAACACAATCAAACTAGAATCTTCCTCGGTGCATCACCCCCATCTCTCGCCATGCTTTACCGTGCATGTCTCCTGCAGAAAGAGCCTCTGTCCTGTCTGTATCATGTCAGTGTCTTGTAGGATTTTAGTAGATTTTAGGCTTTCCCAGGGGTGGGGTTAGTTGTGTTGATCAGATATGAGTGGATGTCCAGCTACTGAAGTTTGAGACGTTTCTTCTCGTCATTTACACATACGGGTCATTAAGACGTATCCTCCTCACTAATGTAAATTTAGCATCATAACTTATTTTATCACACGGCAATAAACTATTTGAGGGCACTGACAATATCGTTAACTAGTGTAGCAACTTCATGTGAACCTTAGATTCATGTGTAACCGTACAGACAGCGGTGTTTTTTGCACTCAGGCCGCGTGAATCCACTGTGTTGCCAAACCATAGACCGTAAATATGAATGGACAATGTGCAAAACAAAGAATTCGTCCATATATTCACAGCATCGTTTTATTAGATACAGCACTCAAAGTAGCAGCTTATAGTCCGGAATTTACGGTATTTAATTGTGAGTGTCTTTATTGCTCAAAAATACACTGAAAAACATACATTGGAGAAAGAAAAGTTTAATGTAATGAGTAACATTATTATAATCCTCTTACCCAGCTCCTAAATTGTAGTTTGTATTCGATCCTAAAGTTGCATCACCATTTTCCTACCTGTTTAGCCAGTTCTTTTAATACTTTTTTATGTTTTCTTCCAGCTCTAAATGTGGCACACCAACAGAGTCCTGGAACAAGATGCCCCTGACCCCACCCACACGCTACTACAAAAGAACGACGCATCAAGAAACCGAAAACAAGCGAGACATATGAACATTTAAGTGCTTATCTTTCCATTCCGACTGCAGGAGAGCTCTGTGTCCTCTGTGGATGACTGAGGCGGGACCGTACTGACCCCCTCACATGCTAATCTGGTTTCTCTTGCATCCAGTGGTAATCTTTTCCTCACCTGCCATCCTCCATTAGCCAATCCCATCTCCCTGACCTCCCTCGTCATAGAAACCGACTCCTCTTATAACCTTTACCATAACCAGAAAATCAGAGGGCTAACAGTGTAGGGATGTACATATGTTCTAAGGGTCGTCTGCTCTTTTTAGTGTGCTTGTTGCCGATTCGGTTTATTCCTCAAATGGGTGTTCTAATCAGTTTCGCGTCGTGTTTTTGTATGTTTTCGAGCTTTATATTCGCGTTTTCAAACACTTGATTTTGAAATGGACCGTTGGTGTTTTAACAGGAATGTTGACGGGTTTAGAGGTTTATTTAGTACTTGTCGCTACTTTACTTTTTTCTTTTTTTTTAAAATGAAAACTTGTATGACGTTCATTTGAATGCATGCATTCCTAAAACGTACCAAAGTGGCATAGGAAGCGAGGAACTTGGCATAGGAGGAGGAACTACTAGTGCATTAATTGACACATTTTAACACCATTATTTAAATTTTACATTTCTTTGAATAGTGCCATCATCAGCCTATGAACTAGTACGCTGGCTTAGAACACTGCCTGCTATACTAGACGATTTGAAGTTTGACGCTTCTGTTGTTTTGTCCTTCATTTCAAGCCAGGCTTTGTTAGCGACACATTCCCAGTTGACATTCCCTAAAAGGGCACTACGTAACTTTTCTAGTGGAGGTTCTGCCATCGTCTTGTCTCCATGGAGGTGTTATTGCTTTCTTTTCCTGGAATATTCAACAGCATGGCATTAAACGTATCCATTTATATTAGGGCTACGATACGATACATACCTCGATACATAGGCCACGATACGATACATACCTCGATACAGTGAGCTTACGATTCGATACAATATATTTCAAGACGATTTGATATGATTCAGTAAAAAATACTGGCTAAATCATTGCTGTGACACTAAAAGTCTTTGTTAAACCACTTCTTGTGCAAAGTGAATATGAAACACAAACATTTTAATCATCCAGAAATGTCAAATGAAATGAAAATTAAATGAAAATGTCAAATGTGTTGCATAAATGAGTTTCCGTTCACTGAACAATCAACAAAACTGTTAACCTGATTCATCAGCCTGTTTCACTTCATAGAAACTATCTGACCTCGCTGCATTAGAATTCGTTCGCTCGATGGTAGGCAGGTACCTTTTTTATTTAACCAGTCGCTGCTATTTGGTCGCGATGTATCTTATACGCCGCTGACGGGGCTAACTGGTATATTAAGCTTTTCCCAAATCCTGTAGGAAGAAGAGCAATAATGTCTTCCCCCTCGATGAAATTGACCATTCTCTTTGTTCCTGCTTTAAAACCTCGATCTCAGGAATCGTTGCCAACACAGAATATGTGGCTCTTCGCCCAAACTCACACTTGCGGGGTTTTTGCGAACCGTCTAATGTATTCCGATTCCTGACCTAGTCGTTGGAGAGAAATTAAATTGAGCAGAGGCACTACAAAACTGTAGCGCTGTAACAAAACAATTGAGTAAAATATTCCAAAAAAATACTCTAGGCGATATATCGATACAGCAGCCCATGATATCGATACTGTATCATCACATTAAACGATACAGTATATCGATATTTCAATATTTTTACACACCCCAAGTCTATATTCTATTACACATGATTTTCTCGCTAAAAATACACGTGCGTAGGTTCGTTTCTCCATAGATCTGACTTCTAACTAACATTCCAGGCAAAGCGATGACATCTCCACACAAAGACGAGCAATGAGTCACACCCTCCTTCAGAAAAGTTCCGCGGTGCCCCTTTAAACTCGCCTGTCTTTGCACTGTGTTCCTCTGCTGCTGTTTGCCCCGGGAGCCAGACACGCATGCAGACCAGGGCTATCCCATTTAAGCCACTGCAATTTCCTCCAGCCTCCACCGCAACAACAGCTCATTCCCATCACCACGACAACGGCATTCCCTATGACTACTGTACATTAAATTACAACGCGACCTCGCCGTTGTAAACTCCAGCTTTTTGGGCTCCTCTTAACTGTTGCCTGTGCGCGCTTTTTTTTTTTGTATTCGTTGGATATTGTCGGTGAACTGCATGATTGTACTGTTTTCCTTTCCCTATCCGTCCATTTTCTTTCCGAGGATCCGTTAAGTGACTGTATTACTCGCTGCTTGTTCACATGGCAGCTCGGGATGCACTACATGTTGCGCTGGGAAAACAAAAAAAAAAAAAAAAAACAACAATTCCTAGATCAACAAATGCACTGGAACCTATAGTCTCCGGACAGCACTCGTATCTCTCTCTGTATCTTTCTCTCTTCCCCCAAAGCCATATTGTTTTGGTGACCGCATTTTCATCCTCCCCGAATCTCGCTTTACTCAAAAGGGCTGCCCCCCTCCTCCTCTTATCTATCTGTCTTATCTCCCTCTTTACCTCCTCTTTCTTCTTTGTTGTACTACTACTTCTACTACTACTTCTTCTCCGTATTTCGTTTGACTTTGGCCAGTGAACTTGCACCAATCAACAACTCAATCGGCACGCCTGCACTTTGTCTCTCTCCAGCCACGCTCTCTGTATCCCCTCTTATGGAGATAGTTTTTAACCTCCTTGTGTTGTTCGGATTTAAAGGAGACATATTGCGCGAAATCGACTCAAGAGCTTTTAGCCAAGTTATAGCTGTTTGTACGCACTTGAAGCTGTATTTTTGAGTAATTCATGCATCCAGTTTTCATCACCACTGGTACACGCCCACTCCTCTGTACTTCATTCTCCAATTTTATTCTCTTAATTCTCATTGAGTGACCATTTTGGCGCTTTTTTAAATCCACTGTAGCTGTTTAGAGTGGGAAACACTACAGCATGCGGCGCTTTGTGGTAGTAATGTGTACGGTTTACTGTAAAGGGGCAGGCTCCCGTTGGGTTCTGCAATTTACCAACCCGTAATTTAATAGACTAGTCGTTTTAGATCAAAATTGCGATTTTAAAATGTCCAAAATGCAACCTGTGGATCGTTTTTGTTGTATTTTGGCCACTTATTTAGCAGACAAAAGCGCAATATGTCTTCTTTAAGCTCCCCCCTGCTTTGTGTGTGTATGTGTGTGTACGTGTGTGTTGCTTTTTTCTGGTCTGTCTGCAGTAATCTTGTTTGTGTAAAAGTATTTGTAAATTTTGCGAATGACAGCAACAAAACGCCAAGATTCTTTCTACGTGTGTTTTTTGGAAAACTGTATTTTTTTTGTCTCTTGTTCTTCATTTGCTTTCCACATATCGTATTTTCGATTTGGTCGACTTAAAACTGGCCAAATCCCGTTTTTTTTTTTTTCAACCAGGCCCCGCTTGCTTCATTTCTAATCTGCGACTAAATCAACATCATACTGGGTAACCACGGCAACGGACGGAGCGAGATCTTGCACTTAACACGCACCACATTTTGTTCGTTGAGTAACTTCAAGTCTAGAGGCCTGTTTCTTTTTAAAATGGCTGTTTCTTATTATTATTGCTATTGTCGTTAAAATGGTGAACTGTTGTAATTTTTTTTTTTTTTTACATAAAGGGAGTTAATTTTTTAATCGTCAGGATAATTTTATTTGTAATATTTTATTCCTTTTTTTCTCTTAATGGGCGTGATTATAATTTTAGGCTGTGTTTTCAAATTTAAAATCTTTTATTTGATTTTTCTTATGGTTAATTTTAAAATGATATTTGTAGATTGTCTAAGAGATATGAGTTATCGAGGGTTATAGTCTGTATATTCTATTGATATTCTGAACGATTAACAAATACAGTTATATAAATATTTAATAAAATTTCCTGATACTGGTCAAATCTGTTCATTTCTTGTTTACAAATGATTGGTGTACCTGCTTTGAGGCTTATTAAAATTATATAAAAATATGACAAGTGCCTGTTTTACCTTTATTCAAATTTCAGTGTTAGTAACTGTTAAGATATTTTAATTTTGAGCAGAGTTTGCAGCTGGATCCAGTGTTGACTTTTATTTGAATTTTTAGCAGGATGTGGAGAGAGGAAGGAATTGCAACATTTACAATGAGAATCTACAAAGAATCATGCAACCTAATGTGGACGACGGCAGCTCAGTAGAGTTTGTCCTCTGGTGTGAAGGTTGGTGGGTTGAAACCTGCTCTCGGCAGTGTGATTCCAGCCCCTACTGCTGCTGTTGTTGTGTCCTTGGGAAAGACACTTAACCCACGCAGACCCTCCTTTCTATGTATAGGTGAATGGTTCCTTGGGAGTAAAGTGCTTTGAGTGCCTTGAAGGTGGAAAAACCGCTATATAAAAATGTGACCATTACCATTTACTCTATATGCGCTAGAATCTAAAGCCTTATCGTGCAATGATTAAAATTATATATAAATACAGGCTGATTTTGCTGCCAAAGAAGCAAAATACTTATAGCTACAGAGGAGGATAGAGTATCCTATATTTGTACTTAAGTAAAAGTATAAAGTAGTGGTCCAAGGAATTATCTAAACCAGACCTGGGCATTGTACAGCTCTTAATTTGACCAGCCTGTTTAAGATTTGGAACTACAAAATAAACATTTGTTTTTTTATGACATTTTTTGTAAGGCAACCTCACTTTTTCATTGTTTAGTCATAACATAGACTCTTACCAGTCTTACTAGCTCATCTAAACAATGCTATTTAATGCTTTTTTATAAAGAAATACAATTCATTATTTCATCATTATGCAGAACTGAGTGAAGCATTTTGGCCTGGCCCTCCACAATATTTTCTGTTTCTCATGTGGCCCCATGGAAAAAATAATTGCTCACCCCTGATCTAAATGCTCTAAAATCTAAAGCCTTATCTTGCAGTGATTACAACAATGGAAAGTACAGGCTGATTTTGCTGCCAAAGAAGCAATATACTTATATCTTCAGAGGAGGATAGAGTAGCCTATATTTGTACTTAAGTAAAAGTATCATAAAAGCACACAGTAGTGGTTCAAGAAATTACTTAAGTATGACTTAATCCAGACCTGGCCATTGTACAGCCACATACGGCTCTTTGGTTGACTCTGACTGGCCTCTTTAAGATAATTTGGAATTACCGAATAAATGTATTTTATAATTTTACCTCATGCATGGACTAAAATTGCATTGCTTTTATTTAATGTGTTTTTAGTGATATTTTTTGTAAGGCAGACATGTGAAACTTAGGCCCAGGAGCAATATAATTATGTTTGGCCTGTAAGATCATATCAAATATTAAGTAGATCTGCCCCCTGGCTACAGATCGCCTATAGAGACATTATTTATTTAAAATGTTGTTATTATTTTATATTATGTTTGTTCTGGATTCAATGTTTAAACAAAACTATTATCAAACATTTATTTTAATTTAAAAAAAAAAAAAGGTTTAACATTACATATCTCGAAAGAAGCAAAAACATGCAGATGCTGTTGAAATTTTTCAATAAATATTTAGTTTGGCCCACGACTTAGTGCCAGTTTTTAATTTTGGCCCTCTGTGAATTTGAGTTTGACGCTCCTGTTGTAACGCAATCTCGCTTTTTCATTGCTTAGTCATAATATAAACTCTTAACAGTCTCACCATCTTATCAAAACTATGAAATACAATTAATATAATGCAGAACTGAGTTTGGCCCAGCCCTCCACAATATTTTCTGTTTCTCATGTGGAAAAAATAATTGCCCAAACCTGCTCTATACGCTCTAAAATCTAAAGCTTTATCTTGCAATGATTACAATAATATATAAATTCTGGCTGATTTTGCTGCCAAAGAAGCAAAATACTCAGATCTTTAGAGGCGTGTGGAGTAGCCAATATTTGTACTTAAGTAAAAGCATCTTAAAAGTACAAAGTAGTGGTCCAAGAAATTACTTAAGTACGACTTAAACATATTTGGGGAAACTATTACTCCAAGAACAACTGTAAGTTTTTAAGAGGAACTAAACTTTTACTCAAGTAAGATGATTGTTTCACTGTATTACTCAAGTAGGGAGGAAATATTGTGCAAAGTAAACTTCTCAGTAACTACAAATACAATTCTTATTTAAAATGATTTATTATTCAGCTAATTATATTTATAGTCTTAACTTTAACTTTTACTCAAGATTCCTGTTACACTGTATTACTCAAGTACAAGAAAAGGAGTTGTGATTGGAAATTATACTCTACAAATAAATACAATTCTAACAGCTATTATAATACAATATAGTATACAGTAACCAAATGATAGTTTAATATGTATTGTCAGCCCAAAATACTTTTAGTAGATGTGTCTTATGACTCCGACACACATGCTCAAGTGCCTTTTACATTGCTTCATGTTGTTATTCATGGCCGGCTCTGGATGAACTCATACTTGTCAAATAGTTCAACAAATAGTGATCATGTTTTGTGTGGTCCCATCGTGTGATTCAAACCAGTCTTGTATGGTACATTAAAAAGTATTATTATGAAAAGTGCTATTCAAGCCAAATATTACAGGTGCACTATGTCACTTTTCAGTTACGGGTCCGACACCTGTTTTTTTTCTATGAATATGTCATTGCTTTGCTTTGAATGTTCCACAGTATGAGATTAAACAGCTTTACTTTACATTTGTTCAATTACAGGTGGTTTTATGGCTCAGAAATACTCAGAAAAAGAAGCATTTTAACTGTGAGCAAGGTCGCCTCTCCGCAGATCTAACCTGTAACTTGGCCTTTTTTAGCTCCAAGAAGCCAGAAAGGTTTAATACCATACCATGAAACATTTCAGACAAAGCAATAACATGTTCAAGGAGAAAAGCATCTGACAGTTCCTCCACCAGAAAAGTTACACAATGCACCGTTAATTTTTCACTACATACTTTGAACTAAAGCTCTCGATTTATCGGTCAGTCTTCGTTCCTACCCTCACCTATGATCATGAGCTTTGGGTAATGACAAGATCGTGAATACAAGCGGTCAAAATGAGTTTCTTCTGCAGGGTGGCTGGGTGCTCCCTTAGAGATAGGGTGAGGAGCTCAGTCACATGGGAGGAGCTCGGAGTAGAGCCACTGCTCCTCGACGTTGAGAGGAGCCAGCTGAGGTGGCTCGAGCATCTGTTCCGGATGCCTCCTGGACGCCCCCTGGAGAGGTGTTCCGGACACGCTGGAGGGACCATGTCTCTCAGCTAGCCTGGGAACACCTTGGGATCCCCCCGGAAAAGCTGGAGGAGGTGTTTGTGGAAAGGGAAATCTGGGAGACCGTGCTCAGACTGCTGTCCCCACGAACCAGCCCCAAATAAGCGGAAGAAAATGAATGGATAGATGGATGGATGGACTTTGTACCATTTCCTTGTCTCCTTGGCGATAGGATGTTCCATGGTATGACATAAACGTTTTTTTGTTCCCCCCACAGAGACACGGATGATGCTACAGGGGCACATAATTGAGTACACTGCAAAAAAGCTTGGTCAAAATCTAAGATATAAGCACTTAATCTATCTGAAAATTACTTAAAAGTTGTGAAATTATCTGTCCATGCAGCAAGATAATTTTACTTGATAAGTTATCTTAAAATAATGTACCTCTAGACTAGAATTATGCCGTCTCAGAACTAGTAAGTAGATAATAAATTGGAAAATAAGATGAATAATCTGATATAAGTTTTAAAATCTTGGCTGGGTCAGCGAAACTTGCAGTGTAAATGCAAAATAGTTTAATGCCATATTGAGGCGCATATCACACAAAGCAATAGCATCTCCATGGAAACAAGCAGGTAGCAGACCCCCCACCAGAAAAGTGACATAGTGCACCTTTTAAACCCAGTCTGTTTATCTCTTACCAAGTTATTAGAGTTTGCTTGAGGGTAAATCTTACACAAACTTTAGCCTGAACATGACCTCAGTTCTCCCATAGCCTGTCCTACTCTCTGAGTCTCCCCGGTCCGCCCAGTTTCTTTCCAGGGAATTCTTATGACTCTTCCTGCTGCTTGTTCAAACTCATCAATCGGTAACATTTGTGGAGAGATTAATCCTGATCTGTCATGCAACCAAATGTTATTCTGGGCAACCACAGCAACGACCTCATGAGAGTTTACTTCACACGTGACCTGAGTTCAATCACTCTTCAAGTCGAGTAGCTTAGATGTAAGGTAAACATTTTATTTGTATTTATTTAGATATATAGTACGTTTGTTTAAAGATGCACTGTGTAACTTTCCAGAAGAGTATGCTACCTCCATAAATTATACTGTCTGGAGAGTTTTATTGTTGATAATGGCTTGGAAAATATGCATTGTCAAAATATGCCTTATGTCATGGAAACTTCACTTTAGCTCATGAAATAGTTTTGGAAAAGTTTTGAAATTTTGTCAGTGAAAAAAAGTGAGAACCTTGATTCTAACTGTCATACTGTATGTATGCTCGCCTCTCCACAGATCTGACCTACAGTTTGCAGCCGTGGAGTGGATAAACTTAATGCTATACTGTGGAACATTTGAGGCAATGCAATAACATCTTTTTGGAGACCAGTAGGTGGGGGCACTCAACTAGAATTATACAGAGTACATCTTTAAAAATGTCTCTATTCTTTCTCTTTTTAGGTTATTCTATTTTTCTTTATGTGTAAATAGCCTAATAATTATAGGTTGTGTTTTATCTATTGATATTTGGTAACAATTTATATAATTAATACCAATTTAGACTGACGGCAAGTAACTTATTGCCTTTTTCTGGTCACAACTGTTTTGTTTTTACAGATTAATTAGCTCTTATAAAACAGTGTGAGAAGTTCCTCGAGCTATAGCAGCCAAAACATGTCCCAGCACGGTTCTTTCATTCATCTTAGCATTCTTTACAAGTCACCCAGATGTTTATCTTTCTAGCACTCAGTTACAGCGTTATACTAAAAGGTGTGTCTATCAAAACACAATATTTGAAACTATTTACACTCCTATTTTTATAATGATTAAAGGGTTCATATTACACTATTTTCTGATCAATGTTATAATGTTTCCTCATCACAAACAGACCTGGAGTTTTGTTTCATTCACACATGTTTAACTCACAAACTCTGCATATTTAGGCTGAACAGAAAACACCCTGTTCCACCTTGTGATGCCATGTGGTAATACAGTAAGTGCTCCGACTGTGATTTGCACTTTTACTTGAATAATTTTGATAGATAGATAGAAATGGCAGCTGTTAACTTCACAATACGTGTGTTATTCGTTCATTCGTTTTCCAATATAAGAAAATGAAAAAACAATTTTCTTCATTGTCTCCAAAGCCAAAATGAAAAAAACTGATAACGATTTGTTTTTTCAGTGTTCGATTTTGTGTTTAAATGAATAATGGAAAAAATGGATAACGGCCGGTTCTCATTTCAAGTGACTGCATATGGACTGAACCAGGACTAAACCAGGACTAAACCAGGACTAAATTGTTTTCCATCCTGGTCTGGTCCCAGTGTCAGTCCTGGTCTCAGTCCTGGTCCCGGTCTCAGTCCTGGTCTGGTCCTGGTCTGGTCCCGGTCTCAGTCCTGGTCTGGTCCTGGTCTCAGTCCCGGTCTCATTCCCGGTCTGGTCCTGGTCTCATTCCCGGTCTGGTCCCGGTCTCAGTCATGGTCTAGTCTTGGTCTAGACCCAGCCTCAGTCCTGATCCTGGTCCTGGATTCAGTCCTGGTCTGGTCCCGGGCTAATTCTTGGTCTCAGTCCCGGTCTGGTTCTGGTCTGGTCCCGGACCTGGTTTAGTCTTGGTTCAGTCCAGCTTTGCAGTTTAAGGGAAATGGCCGTTATCCGTTTTTTTCCATTATTCATTTAAACGTAAAATCGAAAACTGAAAAAAAAAAAAAAAAAAAAAAAAAAACAATCATTATCCGTTTTTTCATTTTGGTTTTGAAGACAAATAATGAAGAAAATAGTTATTTTTTCATTTTCTTACTTTTGGTCTTAAATTGAAAAATGAGTGATGGGCGAATGGAGCCTCGTGAAGCACTGACACCTCAGTCGTAATATTGTCTCAAATGGTTCGACGTGTCGGAAGCCTTGGAGAAACACTGACCTCTAGTGGACAAATTTAACCATTGTCACGCAGGTGTCTCAGCGTCGATGAAGTATTGTTAGTGCAGAGCATACACCGTACCTAACAACAATAATAATGATGATTTAAAATAAAATGTAAAGAGCAACATAAATCGCATGTTGTAAATAAGAAAATAGGTGACCTTGTTAGGTGGAATTAGAGCAAAGAGATCGCAAACCATGGATCGCTTTTTTCCACTTGTAAATGCCATCGAAAATGAAACAAATGCCAAAAGTCGCCAAAATCACCACTAACGTCACACAATACTCCTCACTACCCAACATCTTTAAAAAATATTGGTGCATCTTTTATACTGTCGCAGTTTAGCGCTCGTCAAACCACGGGAGTGCGCTGAACACTCTGAAGCACTCTGAACCAATCGCAGAACGGAACATTCGCTGAGCCAATGAAACGCTTCGATACACTGAAGCGATTGACACGCAGACCGAAGACATTTCGACACTTTGGTCACGTGAGCGGCTGCTGCGAGACGAGCTCCGAGGCAGTGCTTCGGAGCAATTTGTTTCAGAAAGAACGAGACGTGCTCCGGAGCTCCGTCTCATTTGCCCATCACTACTGAAAAATGAATGAACGAATGATACACGGATTCTTGACAAGGTGGGACAGAGCGTTTTGAGCTTGTGTTGAGGTGTAGACAGCCGAATAAACACTCAAACACGTGTGAATGTAACAAAACTAGGGTGACCAGACGTCCCTATTTACCCGGGACAGTCCCAGGTTTGAGCCCTGTGTCTCCTGTCCCAGCAGATTTATCCAAAACCACTGATTTGTCACAGTTTTATACAAGAAATGTCCCAAGTGTCCCTATTTTTGATCAATCGGATCCCTGCAAACAGTAAAGAATAGCATAAATTGTCACTTCTTTAGTTAAAATAAAGAAAAGCTGCTTAAAAAATGACAAAAACACAAAGAAAATGTAACTATACTGATTCACATTAGTGCTGAGTGCATAAAAATTTCCTTAATTGCGCACTCGTTTCACAATTTTATTATTACTAACCACCAAAAACTCCAGGTTTGTTTTTGATGGGGGAGTGACATTTCAACATGCCATAAGACTCACAAGAATCCATTATGTGTAAAATACTGCAATAATCCACTAAAATGTATCTAGTTTTAGTGAAATCTGATATAATTTTGTACATTTTGACCCATTGCCTCTGTGCTTTTTTTGTACATGTTGTAGTGTGAATGCTCTATTATCTCTTTTGTCATTGTCACGTTGTCCCTCTGTTCTCTATCAGGAACAGTCTAGTAACACTTTGACTGTTGTGGAAAGCTTTGTGGGAAGCGTCTGTAATTCACCATTCTGTGTGTGTTATTCAGACAAGTTTCGTTCACGCACTCGTACACCACAACCTTTGTCAAACAAGGGCCGTGTTTACACCAGTGAAATACGAGCGCAAGAGGTAAGATTTGCACTTTTACAATTTACTTTTACTTAAACTCATTGTTGCTTTTATGGGACCATTTTCCATGTACTTTAAAAGGTGCATTGTATAACTTTTATGATTGTGCGAGAGTCCATGACGAAGATATCGTATCCACTGGAGGCAAGCATTTTAGATCAACCTTTGTAGATCAAGAAACAGGTCAGATTTGTGGTGAGGCATGCGTGCTTACGGTAAGAATTCATGTTTTTAGAGTTATTTCTGAGACCTGTGATTGAATAAATGGTAAAATTCAAGATGGATTTGTTTAATGCCAGACTGTGGGACATTCCAGGAGAAGAAAAAACATCTCCATGGAGACAAGCAGGCGGCAGACCCTCCTTTAAAAAAGTTACATATGAATTAATGAATGTTTATTTGGACAGTAATGCATAGAAAATGTAAATAGATGGATATAATACAAAAAGTAAATATTTCTTTTCCATAATAATAATGAACAAAATTAAATGTCACACAGATTTTACTTGTGTCCAAAAAAGGAGTGCGAGGAAGTAAAAATGTATTTAACATACACTGTAAACCCAAATAATTTACCAGAACTCAAAATAATTGAGGGAATCGATTGCCTCAATTATTTTAAGTTGATGAACTTAAAAATCTCAGTCTTCTGGAACATAAAAGGTTGGATGACTTGCTACTTCTACTTTTTGATAACAGCTGAATTAAAAGTGCTCATTTAGCTCAACTCAAATATTTGCAGTTAATATGACTCAAAGTTTTCTGTTAAGGCAACTCAATTATTTTAATTTATTATTGCAATTTCTTAGTTATTTTAGGTTTTAGTACTTATTTGATGAAGCGCTTTGAAATTGTACTATATTTTAGCATGTACTGCATACATTAAAAAAAGGTTTATTTTTAAATCATTTTATTTTGAAACAATAGAAATAACAGGACTTTAACATTCTCAGCGTTTAATTACTTAATTCTACTAAGTTTTACCTCATCTATATTTAAGTTATGCTCCCTTATACTCACAGTACATGCATCCTGAATTTCAGACTTCCGGTCATCGCGTAATGCAAACTGGGAAGGATCCTCTGAAAAAGTGACCATCAAACTGCCATGTTTGATTTCCCAGTGGGAAATATTGTCAAAGCCGATCTTTTCAAGTCTTTTGATCCATATCCCTTTTGTTTCTGGTTCTGATATTGTCATATTTTAGTTTTGGGATTTGGACACCGTAATTGTGTGGTTGCTGGATGTTCTAACAGCGGAAAATGGCTCCAGAAATGTGCTTGGGAAGTTTGCTAACTGCATAACTGCAAAAGGGAATCAGATCTGTGTGATGGCAAACCTCCGTCCAAACTGTTCCACTTCCCAAAGGAATTGAAAAATCATGAAAGGCGAAAGGCGATGGGCAGTATTGATCCACAGGAAGGACAAAAAATTGGCTTAGAAATCATCCCGAGTTTTCAGGGAACATTTTGTATGTGGAGCACCATCAAAGCAAAACAACCCGTGTATCATTCGTTCATTCGTTTTTCAATATAAAACCAAAAATAAGAAAACGAAAAAACAACAGTTTTCTTCAATCCGTGTATCATTCGTTCATTTGTTTTTCAATATAAAACCAAAAATAAGAAAACGAAAAAACAACAGTTTTCTTCGCTATTTGTCTCCAAAACCAAAATGAAAAAACGGATATTGATTCGTTTTTTCAGTTTTCGATTTTGTGTTTAAATGAAGAATGGAAAAAACGGATAACGGCCGTTTCCCGTTTACGTGACTTCCGTGACTGCGATGCCGAACTTTTGCACTGCGTACGGACTGAACTAGGACTGATCCAGGTCCGAGACCAGAGCGGGACTGAGACCGGGACCAGACCGGGACTGAGTCTCAGTAGCGCTCTGGTCCCGGTCTGGTCCCGGACCTGGTCCATCTGAACCAAAAGCTCTTAGTTCGGTTCGTTTTCGTTGGGGTGAAAGCGTCAGTCGGAGACTTTGCACCACCTCGGAATCAGCCGCGGTTCTTGAGCGCGGAGGACCAGAGCAGCTCGGTCTGGTCTCGGACCTGGATCCGTCCTGATTCAGTCCGTATACGGTGAGACTGGGACCAGACCGGGACCAGAGCGGGCCTGAGACCGAGATCGAGACAAGACCAGGACCAGACCGGGACCAGACCGGAGGCTCAGAGCCCACGACAGGGCCGGAGCTCCAAGCTGAGGCTCGGACCCCATGGAGGCTCGGAGTCAAAGCTCGGAGTCCGGTCTGATCCCGCTCTGGTCCCGGTCTCAGTCCCGCTCTGGTCTCGGTCTGGTCTCGGACCTGGATCAGTCCCGGTTCAGTCCGTATGCGGTGCAAAAGTTCGGCATCGCAGTCACGGAAGTCACGTAAACGGGAAACGGCCGTTATCCGTTTTTTCCATTCTTCATTTAAACACAAAATCGAAAACTGAAAAAACGAATCGTTATCCGTTTTTTCATTTTGGTTTTGGAGACAAATAACGAAGAAAACTGTTGTTTTTTCGTTTTCTTATTTTTGGTTTTATATTGAAAAACGAATGAACGAATGATACACGGATTTTCTTCGCTATTTGTCTCCAAAACCAAAATGAAAAAACGGATAACGATTCGTTTTTTCAGTTTTCGATTTTGTGTTTAAATGAAGAATGGGAAAAACGGATAACGGCCGTTTCCCGTTTACGTGATTTCTGTGACTGCGATGCCGGACTTTTGCACCGACATACGGACTGAATCAGGACGGATCCAGGTCTGAGACCAGACTGAGACCAGAGCGGGACTGAGACTGGGACAGAGCTGCTCTGGTCCTCCGCGCTCAAGAACCGCGACTGGTTCCGAGGTGGTGCAAAGTATCCGACTGACGCATTCACACCAATGAAAATGAATCGAACTAAGAGCTTTTGGTTCAAATGGACCAGGTCCGGGACCAGACCGGGACCAAAGCGCTACTGAGACTGGGACCAGACCGGGCCTGAGACCGAGACAAGACCAGGACCAGACCGGAGGCTCAGAGCCCACGGCAGGGCCGGAGCTCGAAGCTGAGGCTCGAACACCGTGGAGGCTCGGAGTCAAAGCTCGGAGTCCGCCCTGGTCCCGCTCTGGTCCCTGTCTGGTCCCGGTCTCAGTCCCGCTCTAGTCCCGGTCTGGTCTCGGACCTGGATCAGTCCTGATTCAGTCCGTACGCGGTGCAAAAGTCCGGCATCGCAGTCACGGAAGTCACGTAACCGGGACTTCCATTCTTCATTTAAACACAAAATCGAAAACTGAAAAAACGAATCGTTATCCATTTTTTCATTTTGGTTTTGGAGACAAATAACGAAGAAAACTGTTGTTTTTTCGTTTTCTTATTTTTGGTTTTATATTGAAAAACGAATGAACGAATGATACACGGATTCAAAACCCCGACCCCTCACTCCACCTTTGTTACGAATTTAAAAAGTCAGCGCCAAAGCAAAAGGCACCAGCTGTTCGCCAAGAAACACCTTCCACTGCAAAGGGACCAAGAGGTGATGTTGCTGTAAAGCCACAAGAACAAGAAAGTGCGAGCTCAGCCTGTTTGTCTTCTGTACCTCTCGCTTAACAAACGGGATTTTGCTTTGTTGTCGCTCCACATACACTCGGGATGATTTCTTAGGCAGCCAAGGTTTCCTTTTTCGTCCTTCTTGTATCAATACTGCCCATCGCCTTCGCCTTTCACTATTTTTCTTTTCCGTTGGGAAGGGAAACAGTTTGAACGGAGGTTTGCAGTCACACAGATCTGATTTCCTTTTGCAGTTATGGAGTTTGCAAACTTCCAAAGCCCATTTTCCGCTGTTGAGACCTCCAACAACCACAGAATTACGATGTCCAAATCCCATAACTAAAATATGACAATATCAGAACCAGAAACAAAAGCAATATGGTTCAAAAGACTTGAAAAGATCAGCTTTGACAATAGACGCATCCCACTGGGAAATCAAACATGGCGATTTAATGCTCACTTTTTTCGGAGGACCCTTCCCAGTTTGCATTACATGATGACCGGAAGTATGAAATTCAGGATGCGTGTATAATTCCCTTTAATTAAAAAAAAAATTGGTTAAAATTACTCAAAAAGAACAATATGTGACAGCAACTTGACATAGTTAAGTTAATATGACTATTTCTTAAACTTTGAGTGACACAATTTGGGTTTAGATACATAGTAGTTTTAAAAGAAATGCACAGTCTGTAATTAACTTGTCACGTTTGATTGACTTTATTGTTTATGCCCTACCCGCGGATGTTTTTATTAACTATTCAACCTGGACCTCCTGGGTTACAAATGGCATTTCCAGTCATACATACACACAAAGCTAGTGGTTCCACACAAAAGCTCTGCGCACACAGCGACAGCATTGCTACAAGCGGGGGAGAGGTCACAGAGAGGAGCGCTGGCTTACTTTACTGGCTAGTATTTTATTAACTTTTACAACTTCATAGGACCTAAGTGCCCAAGCCACCTCCAGATTCCATTCCCGAGGTAGGATCCGTACCTGATAATAGACTAATGCTTGCTACATAATACCTGTTTGTCAAGTTTTAACATGCAAGAAGGCAGGGGTTCGTAGAAAATGCAGCATATCCAGTTTAGTTGAAAGTATTCCACCAAAGGCATTTCCCTGTGAGTTCAGCTGCACATTGGTCGCGTCTTTTGGTGGAATCCTGAACACTTGTGACGTGCGTTTTTATAGCGAGCAGAGGATGAGTTTTCTGTACTTCATCCTGCCCGCGCTCGGAGGATACACGCTCGCCTCCCTGTACCTGCTCAAGAACCCCCATGTACTGCACAAAAGGAAGAGGACCGCCTTCTCCGCCAGGCATATTTCACACCGAGGAGGTAAAGACTGGAAGAATTGTTGTAAGATTTTGTGGTTGTTGTGGTTGCCATTTGGATGCTGATTTGTGTTTTGATGCTTCAGGATGTGGGGAGAGGATAGAGGGTACAATGGCGGCATTTACAAAGTGAGTACTCTGTTACTTTTACTTACTTTACTCATTCTAAGATACATTTTTCTGTGCAATTTTGACTTTTCTCGTGAGGGATCCTTTACCTGCTTAGTGTCCACGAACACGTTTCTGCTTGCAAACTCTGGAATGTTTCACTTTGAGGCATTAAGCTTACTTTATCGAGGTGAAGGGCCAAGTTACAGGTCAGATCTGTGAAGAGGCGACGCCCATCTCAGAAAGAATGCATGTTCTCCGAGGTATTTTTTTAGCAATCAAAGGGCACATATTAAGCCATTTTCTGATCTATTATAATGTTTTTTGAATTTATTCATATACAAATCCTGCTGAGCTCTTCTCTCAAGCAGAAAAAACACTGTGCCAACTTGTGATGTCATGTGGTGATACAGGAAGTGGCCTGCTGTGTTTTTAAACTCCATACATCTTCACCAGGATACTGTAGAACAATCAATCAGCTTTAAATTATTAAGCAAAAGTAAACAGAGGATCATGTCAACATTAGACACGTTCATGTTCTTAATTGATTTTTTGGTGTGACTAAGATGAAGGGTCATTTTAAAATGAAGTTCAAGTTGAGATCAAGAAGAAATGTTGCACAATACAGCATTAAAGGTCTACTATGCAAAACTGACTTGTAAGTTTTAAGCCATTTGGATCACTTCAGCCCTAGAATCGCCAAGTCTCTACTGAACTAAAGGTAAATAGTTGTTAACTTTAAAACCACTGCCTCATGACATCACAAGGTGTTTGATCGATTGATTAATTTATTTCGGTCACAGGACATTATTGCACAGACATACACAGTCATATTTAACATACACAGACTGAAAAGGTGTAGCCTGAACCTTTATCTTATTAGGCTTTTACCCTTGATTCCTTTGTCAGAGCGTCATCTTGACTCCAGTTCATCTTCATAAATACAGTAAGACAGACATGTCAAACTCAGGCCCGGGGGCCAAATTCGGCCCACAATAAAATTATATTTGGCCTGTGAGATCATATCAAATATGTATTAGACCTGGCCTGCCGGTATGGCTCATGCTCCGCTAATACTACTACTACTACTACTACTACTACTACTACTACTACTACTAATACTACTACTACTAATACTGCTAATACTACTACTTTGATGAACTTGTATCCAAGAAGAGATGCCAAGTGTTTGTATCTGCTTTGGACCCATGTGTATCAGAGTAAATCATATTCTAGCAAATTTAGCTCGGATGAATGTTTTCTTTATGATTTTTGACTGTTCATAGTTGAAAGATTGGATTTTCATTTAAGTAAGTTGTTATTTTTGACTGGTTTCTGGCTTATGAAAAAAAAATAAAAAAATTTAAGAGGAGTTCGAAAGCTACATATAGGCTATAGAGACATTATTTTTTTAAATGTTGTTATTTTATATTCTGCTTGTTCTTGATTCAATGTTTAAGCACAAACTATTATTAAACATTTATTTTAATAAGAAAAGGCTTAACATTACATATCTCGAAAGAAGAGAAAACATAAATGAAAATTTTTAATAAATATTTAGTTTGGCCCACAACTTAGTCCCAGTTTTTAATTTTGGCAAGTTTGACACCCCTGCAGTAAGAGGAAACAAACAAATCAGTAACAGTACAACAAAGTACTACAGCACAAACTAAGCATCATAATTCATGTATCTGCCCAGAGTTAAACATTTAAACTGCTTTATAAACTGGAAGAGAGTGGTGCACAATTTTAGGTCTTACGTGGAACAGAGCATTTAGAGCTTTGGATATACAGGCAGACTCATAAAAACTGGTTACTCAAACGTGTGAATGAAACAAACAACTCCAGGCATATTTTTGATTATGTAACAACATTCTAACATGGCTTAAAGCTCACAAGAGTCAATTTTGCATAGTAGACGACCTTTAATGTCATATTGTGCAAAATTTCTTCTTGACGTCAACTTGATCTTCATCTTAAAATAACCCAATCTTAGTCAAACCAAAAAATTTATTAACAACATGAATGTGTCTAATGTTGACCTGATCCTCTATTTACTTAACTTAAAGCTGATTGATTGGCATGATTGTGCTTTTATTGTTTTAAAAGCAGCTTGAAAAACATGCATTATTACTGTGAGTGGGCTCACCTCTTCACAGATCTGACCTATAACTTGCCCCGGTTGGTCGGCCTCCATCACCTACTCCTCTGCACCCTGTAAAAACTCGAATCTAGCGAAGTTAAGATGTCTTGAAATAAGAAAGTTTCATCACAATTTGAATCAGTTTCACTTGACAAGTAAAATTATCTGCCAGTGGAATAAGACTTTTTGTACTTAAAATATGAAAATAATCTTGCTACACTTAATATAAGAAAAACAACAACTTTTTTGAGCTTAACATAAGAAACAAAATGCATGAAGAAATACATACTTTTCACTTATTGGTAGATGATTGTGCTTGTCAAGTCAAATCTACTCAAAATAAAGTATATTTTTCTTAATTTAAGTCATTTTAGATAGATTACTTTAATGCCATACTGTGGAACATTACAAGCAAAACATCTCCATGGAGACAAGCATGTGGTCGACCTTCAATCAGAAAAGTTACATAATGCAGCTTTAGCACTTAAATAGGCCTGTCACAATAACAAATTTGAAGTATTGCTGAAGTAAATATAGACGATAAATGAAAATACTGAAACTAATTAATGCCACTGACACAAAAATACAAGAGCAGATTTAAACCACAAAACTCGTTCTAAATGTACAACGTTGCTACAGAACCATGAGCTGCAATAAATAAACAGCAGAATGAAACACTTTAAAATAGGGGTGTGCAAAAATATCAAAATATCTATATATCGTATCGTTTATTGATGATACAATATACATATCATGGGTTGCTATATCGATATATCACCAAGAGTATTATTTGGTATATTTTACAAAATTATTTTGTTACAGCCCTACAGTTTTGGTGCTTATTTAAAAGAAGGAAACTTGTTTATGCGACACATTTGACATTCTCACTGTTTTGATTATCAAAATGTGCATGTTTCATTTTAACTTTGCACAAGAAGTGGTTTAACAAAGACTTTTAATTACACAGCCATGAATTATCCTTTATTTTTATTGAACCATATCCAATCAATTTGAAATATATTGTATCAAAACGAAAGTGTCAAAACGAAAGTGTACTGTATCAAGATATGTATCGTATTGTGGCCTATGTATCATATCAGCAACTTCTTAATAATACCAGCCCTACTTTAGAACAGACCAGGGTCACATATTGCCCTTTGGTTGATTCTGACCAGACCCTTTAAGCTCATTTGAAATAACTAAATACAAAATAACAGAATTACAGAATTACAAAATAAACATATTTTATAATTTTACCTCATGCATGAACTAAAGCTGCATTTCTTTTATTTTAGAGGTGTTTTTTAAATGACATTTTTAGTAAGGCAACCTCACTTTTTCATTGCTTACTCATAACATAAACTCTTACCAGTCTTACCAGCTGGTCAAAACAATGCTATTCACTGCTTTTTATAAAGAAATACAATTAATATTATGCAGAACTGACTTAAGCATTTTGGTCCAGCTCTCCACAATATTTTATGTTTCTCCTGTGGGCCCATAGAAAAAATAATTGCCCACCCCTGCTTTAGTACGTAGTTTGCATTTGTATTGAGTCATTGAAATACTAATACTTAATACAACCTTCTACAGCTCAAATCTTATCATATAGCTAAAAAAAAACAACAACAATTCAGTAGTTCAAAGAAAAAGTACACACGATAAAGACTGACCCTCAGAAATAATCGTTCCAGCTTTCTTATATTAAATGATAAAGATGTTATAGAAATTCTCGTGACAGCCTTAGACATAAAATAATCTGCTGTTGACCTCACGTGTTGTTGCATTAAGTAAAGGATCATTGTGTTTACAAAAGATTTAAGAGGAGTTTAAAAAGATTAATAGGATTTCACTTACCTTAATGTTTTTGTCTGCTCCTCTGGCACAAGAATTTCCTTTGTGATTTTTAAAGCAAGAATCTTATGTTGAAAAGATTAAAAAAAAAAATGACTGCTTTAGATTTGATTAAATTTTATTGTCATTACACGTGTACATGTAAAGCACAATAAGCTGTTTAAAATCTAACCAAAAATATAATGAAGTACAAGATAAATATGTACATATCTGGGTTGTCAAAGTATCAAAAATCAGATGCTTCAAATGAAGAATCTTAAATTGTACAAGAATTTAAGTAATTTATCCTCCATGTGCATCTCTCAGTTTAACATTAACTCACAGGAGCTACAGTAACACGATCATCTTCCCTTGGCATACCATTGGCATACTATTATCTAAAATGTGGCATATTGCTGTCTAACCGGTGCCTACTGGCCTTCATAGTCTCACCACACTTTCTTTATAAACCTTCTCTTTTGCAAGCATAACAAAGGGGCTTGAACACTCAAAGATCATATGTTCATTTTTCAAGGCCCGTATGGTAAATAAACTTCTCCTGCTGAAGAATCCGTGTATCATTCGTTCATTCGTTTTTCAATATAAAGCCAAAAATAAGAAAACAAAAAAAATATATATTTTCTTCATTCTTTGTCACCAAAACCAAGAACGATTCATTTTTTTAATTTTCAATTCTGTGTTTAAATGAATAATGGAAAAAACTAATAACGTGCCTTTCCCGTTTTTGTGATTTAAACTGCAATGCTGAATTGAACCAGGACTAAAACAAGACTAAGAAGGACTAAACCATTTTCAGTCCTGGTCTGGTCCCAGTTTCAGTCCCAGTCTCAGTCCCTGTCTGGTCCCGGACTCAGTCCTGGTCTGGTCCTGGTCTAAGTCTTGGTCTGGTTCTGGTCTGGTCCCAGACCTGGTGTAGTCCTGTTTTTAGTCCTGGATCAGTCCTGTTTTAGTCCTGTTTTAGTCCTGGTTCTGTCATCGCAGTTTAAGTCACGGAAACGGGAAACGCTCTTATTAGTTTTTTCCATTATTCATTTAAACACAAAATCAAAAACTGAAAAAAAATCATTATCAGCTTTTTCATTTTAGTTTTGGAAACAAATAACGAAGAAAATAGTTGTTTTTTCATTTTCTTCTTTCTGGGTTTATTTTGAAAAATGAATGAACAAATGATACACGGATTCTGAAAACATACATTTGGTTTCCTGCCTTTTACTTCCACCCTTTCTTGGAGAAGCTGAAAACGTCTACAACATAAATGACACGGACATTATTATCCCATGTATCTTCTCTGATATTCACCTGATTTTACTTTTCTTGGCTTCCGCATTAGTGCCGTGGAGCAAGGCACTCAGATGTTGGAGTTGGACTGTCACCTGACGCGGGATGGACACGTGGTGGTGTCACATGACGAGAACCTGCTGAGACAGACGGGCCATGATGTAACCATCTCCTCTCTGAACCTACAGGTGCAGACACATGTGCATGATGGGGAAGTGATAAGCTTCAGCAGAATGCAACAGGAAACATCACAGCACAAGAGACAATAGACACAATTACATAACATCACAATATTCTAAAATCTATAGTTTCAAATGGAGCTGGAGACAGGTCACAAAACTATGGAGGAATGTTTAAAAACCCTCTCAGGCTCAAATTAAGTTTTAGTAACAGGAAAAATCTGATATTTGAGGAAAATGATCATATGGGGTAGTGATATACAATCCTGACTTTTTTTTGAGAGAGACCTTCACATGCAGTGCGTTCTGGGATGTTGCAGATTTGCAGCATTGGCCCGGTGTGGTAAATTAACACTGAAGACTGAAAATGATATGAACGCCAACTTTATTTGTATACCACATACTCGCATAACAATGAAAACAAAAGCACAGCGTAACAGTGCTTTACAGTGGCAGAACAACAATCAAAACAACTTGGTATAGATCACTTTTTCATGTGGTACTCCAAGAAACAATTTTTACCCTTGTAAAGCACAAAAGTACTTTGCACTTCTGGCAGGCCGTTTGTATGTAGCCATTCTTGCACAGTCTGCATCGTCCTTATTTATCAGCATGGATGGGAAAAAAGGCTCCTGAGTAAAAATGGCTCATAAAATATGGATGTGGAGTAAGTAGGTATTTGGCATTTAACTGTTGCAAATCTGCAACGCCTGCCTGGAGAGGGTTGCAGACTTGTTGCAGATTTGTTGACCTGGCTTGTGGTTAATATCTCTGTAATTACTGGGCCTATCCACATGAAACAAAAACTGCCACAAACGTATCTGTCAAAATAAACCAAAACTTTTTGAAATAGTACAAAACAAAAAACACAAAAAAGCAATACCCTCCCACAACCTGCTCCTGTTTCCACTCAAAACTACAAAAAAAAACACTGAGCAAAACAAACACTAACTTTCAGTAAAGTCCAGTGATGAATAATTAATCCATTTGCAAAGCCCGATGAGTTTTTGGAATACAGACTTAACCAGCAGTGTGTCCCTACTCCATTTGACTCCGAATGTTACAAAGCAGCAAGTTTATAAAGCCTGAGGTGACCAGAGGACATATACATTTCAAATTGAGAAGGTGACGACTCCTACTGAGGTGTGACCAGATGTGCTTGACCTGATTTGCATCCATATTCACGTAAATTTGTCACTTCCTGACAAGATTAGCAAGCAAAAACGAACAAAAGTGTTTACATTGAAGGGTCTGTCTTTAACTACCAAACCAAATGTGTTTTAATCACAATTTTAATTTAATCAATCATAATCAATATTTTCCTGTAGTGGTCTGGTCTCAGGTAGAAATCACATTTATTAACACAAAGACAGACTGAGAGAAATTTTTCCATAATATAAATTTCCATCACAGTGTCCATATTTGTTCAAAGTCCAGTCGTTTCCTCCTTACAGAGTGTAGAATCTTCTTCGGAGTGCAGTAGGATAATGGATCATTGAACAAGTTTGTCTTAAATACAAAACTAAATGTAATGTGTATAGAATCCCTCAGTCGTCCAAGTAGAATCCATGACAAAGGAGAAATTCAATATGTAATTCAATTCATTATGTGGACATTCAATTTCAATATGTGGACTAACGTTATTAGGTTGAAAATGTTTCGCAGCTCATCCAAGCTGCTTCTTCAGTTCTGGTCAGAATGCTGGAGGACACTAGCCTGATTCATCAGCCGTTTCACTTCATACAAATCACCTTAGATTTCATTCGCTCGACGGTAGGCGGGTACTTTTTATCATTTAACCAATCGGTATATTAAGCTTTTCCCAAATCCTGTTGGAAGAAGGGCAACAACGTCTTTCACCTTGATAAAATTCACCAAACATTCTCTTCTGGCTTTAAATCCTCGATCTCATCTCAGGAATCGTTGACAACACTGAATATATCACTCTTCGAACTTGCACTTCCGGGGTTTTTGCGAACCGTCTAGTGTATTTTGATTCCTGACCTAATCGCTGGAGAGAAATGAAATTGAGCAGAGGCACTAGGTGGTGCCGGCCTGGCTAGGAGGACACTGCAGTGAGCTGTGACACATTTTCAACTGAAATAAATGTTTGCCCAACTGACATACTGAATTTCTCCTTTGTTAAAAATGTAATGTATTTTTTCAAAAAGAAAGACATTACTGTTGTGAATAATACATGTATATTTTCTGTTTCTTTAGGACTTGCCGTTATATAAAGAGAAACTGGAGGTGACATTCAACATAGGTACATTTTATTTTACAGTGTTATTTCTAAAGTAATTTCACCATTTACTATAAGTTGCTTATAAAAAAAATATGTATGTTTGAAAAACATGAACTTTTTGTTATATAACCTAACGTCAAATAAACAGCCACAGAGTCTTCTGTAAAACCAATATTTGTTTAGTTTCAAAGCTGAGCTGTCACGAAAAGATTACGTCCCATGCTATCTGTTTCTCTTTTTTTCACATTGTTGTAACACAGAAAAAAAGTTTGAAATTTGAAATAACAGAAACTAATGTAATTACTCCATTTTACTCAGCTCAATACTAAAAATTACAGTAATCCCTACTTTGTTACTGGTTACTTATTTCCCAACACCTATTAAACTTGTATCTAATCATCTTCTGTTTCTCAATAATTACTTTCTTTCATTAAAAATAAGTTGCTAAGTTAAAGTGCATTCTGTAACTTTTCTGGTGGAGATTCTGCCAAATGCTTTTCAAGTCAATTGTCAATTTCTTCACATGTACTAGACATACAAAGGAATCAAAATTAAGTTTCTCTCTATACCATGTGTAGACAAGACAGGACAAACATTTACGTGCACAGACAAAACAAATAACATCATCTCTAACCATTACAGCAGGGGTCTCCAATCCATTCCAAGAAGCTTGCCAAAGAATTTCTTGAATTATAAGTATTGTCAAGGTTCCCACAGTCATGGAAATCCTGGAAAAGTCATGGAAATTGAAAATGTCATGTCGTAGGCCTGGAAAAGTCATGGAATTTTGTAAATTCAATGAAAGTCTTTTTTTTTTTTAGTGTCTGTATCACACAACTAGAGCGTTCTGTTAAGTTATCATTAGGCTATTATGATTATTTCTGAACATATCCGCCTTTTGTTTGAAATTATAATACCAGACCCTAAAAATTATAATACCAAACCAAAAGGTGAGTGGTAAGGGTTAACATTTCATATTTAGCCCTAAAAATATGATAAATTCTACACACGCAGGTACCGTAAAGTCATGGAAAATTCACTTTAGGTGATGAAAAAGTCATGCAAAAGTTTTAAAATTTTGGAAATGAAAAAGAGTGGGAACCCTGTATTGTGCTGAATAAGTAAAATTTGATTGATTAAATTATTACACATTTATAACTGTCCATTGTAAATGTATAACCTTGATGCCTAACTTTGTACACTAATAAATGGATAATGGTTTATGTTTTATAGACATCTAGCTGTACCCTATCTAAGGTTCGCCGTATATATATTTACTCAATTTCTTGTGACTGCTAGCTCTCTGGCATTTTCATTATGTAAAAGTATCTCACCAGAGGAAAAAGGTTGGAGACTACAGTAACTATAGATAAAATAAATTAAGCTAAAAACACTAGAGTACAGTATAGTGCAGTTCAAGTCAGATCAAGTAAAAAATTGGTAAATAGTGCAAATGGTTTATCTGGAATGTTTCACAGTATGGTTTTAACCCTTTCTATCATCACGGAGACCAACCCAGCCCAAGTTACAGGTCAGATCTGTGAAGAGGGAACCCCGCTCACAGTCAGAATGTTTATTTTTGTAGGTATTATTGAGCTATAAAACCACTTGTAATTGAATAAATGTACAGCAGAGTTGTTTAGTGTCATGACATGTCCGCAGAAACAAGCAGGTGATGAACCCTCCACCAGAAAGGTTACACAATGCATCTTTAATGCACTTACTGATTCCCCTCCTCTCCTCCTGCAGGACACTACAGCAGCGGCTCGGACAGACAGATTGCTCTGCTGGAGGATCTGTTTAGGAAGTTCCGTACGATTCCCATCAGCATAGAAATCAAAGAGAATAACGACCAGCTCATTCAGAAGGTACAACACACATCGCTACACACCAAAAGATTTCTGTTTGTTAAGACGAGAATGCACTGGTGGTACAGACATTTAGACTTTCCTGAAGATCTGAATTAAAAACAAATATCCTTGGGTTTTAGAGACTGTTCTATTTGGAAGTCAAAGTACAACAATTTTATAATTACTTTTTCAATCTTTAACATTCTCTCTTTATTTTTTGTGCTGCTTTGCCATATTAGTTTGTGCTTTTTTGCATCATTGTCCTTTTCAAAAATCCGCAAAAGTGTGAACAGAACGAAATCACATTCTCACATCAGCTAATTGTTTACATGACATTTCAATAAAATCAGATAATAATGAGCAGCAATGGAAGAAGTACTAAATTTCATTACTTGAAAAGGGGGCAGACTCTTCTTTCTGCACCTTTTCATTCATTTCTTGTATGTTTGATGTTGTGACACTGTTGGATGTCTTTTTATACTTTTATACTTATGTAAAAGTACAGATACAGAGAGAAAAAAAACTCAAGTAAAAGTAACACATCACATGAAAAAATTTACTTATGTGGATGTATTAATGTACCTAAAATGTACTCCAAGAGATTTTGAGAGCTTCAAATGTAGTGAAAGAAAGATGTAAAGATTTGTGCTGTATTTTATTTTATTTAATTTTTTTGTTTTTATTTGTTGATTTTGTTCGTGTAAATTATATACAATTACATATTACAAATAACCTCTACAGGCTTTTCTACAGGTTCCACACAATAATAAAATATACTTTTACTTTTCAGTCTGTTCCAAAATGTTGTGGAGTAGAACGTACAGATGCCTGCCCTCAGATGTACTGAAGTCAAACAAAAAAAAATCTGCTTGAGTAAAGAACAGATACCTAAAATGTATACTTAAGTACAGTACTTTACAACTTTACTACTTCATTTACTAGTCATGTGTTTTTATATATACTTAATATTTACTGTGATTTTAGCCAAGCGTGATGGATGAATTAACTAATTGTTTATGAAACCCAACAATTCTGCACTGGAGCTCTGTAACACCTTATTTTGTAATTGTGTTTTTATACGTGTTATTGGATATAATGTGGATGAATCAGTTGTGAAATGTGGGACCTGCCTCTCAAATCTGAAAAACAAATTTACCATATGAGGACGAATAAAGCAACCTAACCTAACCTTTACTTTGTACCATTCCACCTTTGATGATGAGATGATTGGAGTGCCTGTTAACTTTTGTGTGTCTCAGGTGTCCGATCTGGTGAAGAGCTACGATCGAGAGGCCATCACGGTGTGGGCATCTCTGAGCTCCACCATCATAAAGAAGTGTCTGAAAACAGTAAGTATCTCTGCAACGGGCCCCAACAATAGATCAGGTGTAAACTGAAGGATAATCTGTTTTTACTGTTGTAGAATGACGCCCTGCCCTACAGTTTCTCGATGAGGAGAGGAGTGCTGCTGCTGCTTCTCTTTTACACTGGCCTTTTGCCCTTTGTGCCTCTGAATGAGAGTTTACTGCAGTTCTACTTAGTGCGTGTTATAAACAGGTGTGTATGTTTAACGTGTCTCACTCCATTTGCAAACAACTGCTCTGTCATACATTATTAAAAGGTGCACTATGTAACTTTACTGGTGGTTTTCTGCTCATGTCCATGGAGATGTTATTTCTCTGCCCGGAGTGTTTCCTTTTGTGGAAATGAAGTTCCCTCTTGCATTTACTTATTAACATTTTGTTTTTAGTGCTGAAACTACTTGGAAAAAGCACATTCTTACAGAGGGGGCTCACTTCTCCACAGATATGACTTGTAACTTGGCCTGGTAGTGTCATGTCTCCATAGAGAAGTTGTAGAACAGGAGTCTCCAAACTTTTTCAATGACTGAAATAAAGTATACATAAGAACCATGGCAAGACTTAGATGAGGTACAATTAGATAAAACATAAAACATGAACCATTATTTATTTATGAATGCACAAAGTCAGACATCAAAATGATAGATTTACAATAACAATAGGCATTTAATGAATCAAATTTCAGTTATTCAGGACAATGTGTAATTCAGAAATCCCTTGGCGAGCTACTTGGAAGGGGGTGGAGAGCAACCAGTAGCTCCTGAGCTACAGGTTGGAGACCCCTGTTGTAGAATATTCTGTTCCCCGCACAGTCCAAACAAGGGCCCCTCCACTGCTATCACTGTTTAATACCTTTTTCAGACCTAAAAGCTTTATGGGATAGGCCAGCTGAAGTAAGAAATGGCAGAGAGAGGGTGAAGACATTTAGCCTGATTCATCAGATACTTTTTTTCATTTAACCAATCGCTGCTATTTGGTCGGAACTGGTATATTAAGCTTTTCCCAAATCCCGCAGGAAGAAGGGCAATAACCTCTTTCCTTTTAATAAAATTCACTAAACATTTTCGTTATTCCGGCTTTAAATCCTCGATCTTGGGAATCGTTAAAGAATATATGACCTTTTGCTGATTGGCTGATGCCCGAACTTACACTTCAGGGGTTTTTGCGAACTGTCTGTGTATTCTGATTCCTGACCTAGTCACAGGAGAGAAATGAAATTGAGCGGAGGCACTAGATGGCGCCAGCCTGGCTAGAAGACATTTGTTACATACACACTCACAATCAGATTATCAGAGTAGTAAGATTATTAAAATTATATCAAAACAGCAAAATCATCTGGTTTCTTTCTGATCATATCTCTCTGATTACTCATAAAAGATATAGTTGCATGTCGTAACAACCAGATATATGCAACACCTTCAGTCTCTGCACCACCAGCGAGCCCCACTGATGTTTCTATGTGGTTAGTTTTTATCTATGACCAGCGTCATCTCACTTGTACTTCTTTAACATTATCAGTGTTCTTAGTCAACTCATCACATTGTGCACTTTTCATTATATCTATGTCAGCGTGTCACTCGACTGGTGTTCTCAGCTACTATAAACCTCTGTGTGTGGAAGCATAGTCAAACCTGAATAGACAATATTACCACATGTGAATGTTCATTCTCCAGGTCCCGTACTGAATAGGGCTGGGTATCTTTAAGAAGTTGTCAATACGATACATACCTCGATACATAGACCACTATACGATACATACCTCGATACATAGACCACTATACGATACATATCTTGATACAATGAGCTTTCGATATATGTCATATCGATTCAATACAGTTCAGTAAAAAATAAAGCCTAACTCATATCTGTCTTTATTAAACCACTTCTTGTGTAAAGTTACTCATCAAAACAACAAAAATGATAAATAAACTTTTTAAAATATTCCATCCAGTCCTTGTATTTGCAGAGGTCGCTGGTGTTAGGCTAGTGCATGTCAATGGCCATAGTTATTCTGACACTAAAAACAGTCTTACCCACTCCACAAAACACCCGAAGCAAATCTATTATTATTGTCAATAGAATAATTTTAGATGTAAAACCAACCTTGCATTGAAGGATTTATGTCTGAGCAGCAGCAGTGAGTTGTACTTCCTGATAGAAAGCTTGGCAGTGGCGGACTGATATATGAGAAAATAGTCCCTTAACATTTAACATTCATGTGATGCAAGGTTAGTTTTATTTCAAGCATTATTCTGTCAACACAGACATTTACATCGACGATCTGGCGTAATAATAGATTTGCTTCAGGTGTTTTGTGGAGTGGGTAAGACTGTTTTTAGTGGCAGGATAACTATGGCCATTGACATGCACTAGGCTAGCACCAGCGACCTCTGCAAATACAAGGACTGCATGGAATATTTTAAAAAGTGTCTCCACACGACTCCAACACTCTGGCTCACTATAAAATGAGGTCCTATGTCCAAAATTCCGAACTGTTCCTTCAAATAAGTAAACTAAACAAACCTCATCATGTGGAACTTTCTATTCTATATCTACAAGCGATAACAGCTGCATGTGATGTGTATTTATTTTTTAGGACATTCATTTCTGATGAACGCATCTTGAGAAACAAACTAGTCGTCTATTTATTAGAAAAGTAAGTTATTTTTGTAAAAATGAATCAGTTACGAATTATTGTACACAAAATCTAAACGGTGATTTTATCTTTCCAGGGTGACTATGAGGAAAAGTCTGTTTAAACATCTTGCGGCCCGAGGAATTCAGGTCTGTTTTGTTTCTGGATATGCTTATTCTAGATGTCTGACATGCACATATCTTCTATAAACACTAAGATAGCTACTCAACATTGGTCCGAGGAAATATTTTGGCATCTGCGTTTGGTTACAGGTATTCGCTGTGGTAGGTGCTCTAATTTTTATGACAGGTTAGAGTACTTTTCCCTAAAACATAGTTAACATCATCATATTTAAGATTTAACTTTGTCTATTTTTTTTTCCTTCCTGGTAATTCCTTAACAGTTGCAAGGGTAATGACCTGTCTAAATTGCAGAAAAGTTAATAGAAAATAGATGACAACATCTTTTTATTTTTTAAGTCAATGTTTTATCTGGCCGAAATATTGTTCCTTGCTCGTAATTGTCCCTACACTTTGGAATTTTCTGAAATGAACTCTCTGCTACTTCTTGTATTTTTAAACATTTTACCTCAAACTCCCACTTAACGGAAGTAAAATAATGATAAATATTTAACCACCAAACCAAGAAATTATTAGAAAAACATGAAAACCTGTAAAATGCACTTCAAAAATAATATTGACATCTACTGTGGACACATCATATTATATCAACGTTGGAGTCACATGTTAAATAAAAAATTAAAGATGTAGGATAATGTATATGCTAGTAAGTGGTTATTTAAGTTTTATTTTGTATTTATAAACCACCAATTAAGATAATAATATATGTACAAAAGCAATTAAGTGTGTGGGGGAGAAAAGTTATTATTGGCTAAATGCTTTTAAAATGTGACTATACAGAAGAAAAAAATACAAATACTAACAAACATCTAATAAAGCACTTGGTATGCCTTGGTGTATTGGTTAATATTTAATATGTGCTCGAAAATAGAGTATTACTGAGAGCCCTGAAGGATGTTTTGCATGATTGTTTGAGTTGTAGGACCTGGTAACGCGATGTTTGGAGCTCATTCCACTTGCTGACTGTTTAACCGAGAATCCAAAACAAACACCTTTCATGTAAAAATGCTTTGGTAATTGTGAATAAATCGACAATACGAGTTTATAACCAACACAAATACTTCCCTGTGCATGCTGCTAATTAAGAAATGCCGGATGAGCTCACCATGTTTGCCAAGCCTGAGTGTTTCACCAAATAGTTTGAGAATGAAAACAAACCAACAAACTGAGTGACCGTGGCCGCGTGGTGCTGTCTGCTGCCCTGGACCAGTCACACACTCACACATCAGTGTCATGAAAACATGAATTTATTTATGTTGTGTAAAAGTGTGAAATCAACTTGGAAAAAATAATCTGAAATTCTGCTTTTTTCTACTGTTACCAGCAGAGGGCCACCAGACTCATAATAAGAATTCAATAATCAAGTGCAAGGGCAAAATTACATGTTTTCTACACAGACGGCAGATTTATATTGATCTTAATTACAATTTTGAGCTTCCTTTGAGTTAATATTTTTTCAGAATAAAAGTTATAAGATACCAACTTTTATTTGGACCACAATTAATTAATTAATCATTGCATTTATATAGCACCTTTCTAGATCCCCAAAGCATTTTACATTTTATTATTCATTCACTCATCACTCAGTGGTGCTAAACTACTGGGGCCCTGGGGCAGACTGACAGGAGCGAGGCTGCCAATCTGCGCCATCGGCCCCTCCCTCCAACACTCACGCACACACCACTTTCATACTAGGCAATGTGGGTGGAGTGTCTTGCCTAAAGACACAACAACATTTTTGCCACTGGCACCCACCTGTGGCATCTGATTTTCCTAGCAGTCTCCCATCCAAGTACGAACTAGGCCTGGCGCTGCTTAGCTTCTGAGATCTGACAGGATCAGGCTTTGACAAGCCAATATGGCCTGGTTAATTAATTAAAAGTGATTGCAAATGGTAATGTATTGGAATATTAAGAAAAGTGATGTAATAGGAATTAAATTAATCTTGCAAATGTAATGTAATGGTCTATGGCAGGGGTTTTCAAATTGGGTGAATGTGAGCCTCCCCTTAGAGTAAAGAGAGCCAAGCCCCCCCTTCCCCAAAATCCCATCCACCTGCCCCCCTGGTTTTAGTACTGGTTTAGACCTGGTTTGAGTCCTGATTTTAGTTCTGGTTTAGTTTTGGTTTGATTTGATTATGATGAACTTTTCTGTTGCACTGCTGACAGCCATATGTTCGCAGATTAGCAGTATTTAAGATTAATAATGGATTTAATTGATGGTGAATTACCTTAAAGCAGACCTAAGAAAATCTCCACGATAGAGCTCCCCCTGCAGCTCACACTGTCAGAGAACAGACTTTTTAAAAATAGAAATAAGGCAGAATAAGCACATACAAATATTTAAAAAAAATCAACTAGTGAAGATGATGTACTCCTCTACAGCCAGGAGTTCAACCTGATGTAGGAATTGGAGATAACACCCACCAATCCACATCAGCCCTCTGGGCCACTGGAACAGGTAATCCAAACCTTTCTAAGTCCTCAAGAGATAGAAAGGTGTGGACCACCTGGACCAGCAACCTTTCTAACTCTTGAGAAGTTAGAAAGGGTGCAGCTAGGACCTCAATACCACCAGAGGTCTAAGGAGGAAGAGGAGAAGGGCAGGGCCTTAGTCATGTCTCGACTCCAAACTGCCTCTAAAGCTGCTCAGGCCAGAGCCAGAGGAGATCTGTTAGACCAGGCAGATGACCTGACGCACCAGCCTCAGTCCCAAGATATTGAGGGACTGCAGAAACAGGTCGCAGAACTGACAACAAAAAGCAGAGACTCCAGAAGGACTCTGCTGATCTGAATTCCAAACTGCAGGAAAAATCTTCGGAGAATACAGCTCTGAGGGAGCAGAACTCTCCCCTGGAGCGTGCACTGGCTAGTCTTAAAACAGACATGTCCACTCTGGTACAGTTCTTTAATGAACTGGAACTCAAACAAGAAGAGGCTGAGCAGAAAGTCCAGATGCTCCAGAAACTAGAACATATGCAGACACAGGTCCACAACATGGAGGAAGAGAAGGAGAACATTTTGAGGACGTGTGAGGAGCTACAGGACAGTCTGAAAAGAGACACGGTGCTCTGAAGCACCTCTTGAAGAAGCTGGAGAGACAGCGAGCCCAGATATGCAAAAAGAAGAGTGATCTGGTGCAGGAGGTGGAACATGAGAAAAATTTGAGTGCTGAGCTCCAGAAAGATAATGCAACCATATTGAGGTCCGACCAGAAAAAACAGGACATAGCAGAACTACTGAATGAGAAGACCGCCCTCTTGAAGACCTGCGAAGAGCTAAAGTTAGAGCTCTCCCTGCAGATCGAGAAATGTGGTGCGGAACAGGAACAACTATAGAGGTCTGAGGAAGAGAACTTCCTGTTCATTGAAAACAAGTGTGCTCTAGAGCAGGAAGTGGAGGAAGAGAAACGTGGTAGAGCAGAATTAGAGAATGAGAAGGCCGCCATGTTGAAGACCACTGAAGACCTGAAGGTAGAGCGAGACCTGCTGGTGGACAGATGCAGCACTGGACCACGTCCTGAATAAAAGACAAGAAGAGCGCTCCCTGCAGGTGGAGAGATATAGTGAGTTAGAGAAGCTCTTGACAAGAGCAGAGGAAGAGAGGAAAACCAGGCTGTAGAGCAGGAAAATAATCAGAACTGCTCTAGAGAAGGAGAAGACAGCTCTCTTAAAGACCTGCGAGGAGCGGAACATAGAGCGCTCCCTACAGGTTGAACGATTCAGCGCCTTCGAGGAAAAGCAAAGGAGAACAGAAAAACAGTGCTCCCTGCTGGAGGACATGAGCACCACATTGGAGCAGGAGCTAGAGAAGGAGCTGGAGAAGAAAAAAAGGAGGTGGTACAGGAGGCTCTTGTGCATCTAGAGCCTCTCTCACCCCCCTGTTCTGCACATGAACAATAAAGCATAACAAAATTAAACTTAATGCTGTATTAGTGTTTCTAAACTGTAGTAATAGTAATACTATTAGTAAACACACATCGTTTGCAGGATATATTTTCGAACACATTCCCTTTCCCACATTTTGTTTTACAACTTTTTTACACATGCAATAATAAATACATGTGTGTGGGCTTGTGCCTTTAGTCTATTGATCAGTCAATGTGTCCTTAGTTGGCAACACTTTTATTAGTTACTTATCATATCAGAGTGCCCATCTATAACTCTTGATTTCGAGGTTAAACAGGAACTTTGGTCCAGTGTTAAATGTTAAATTAAACATTAGAACAGATTGGACTTAAATAAACCCTGAGAAAATTTTAAAATTGATTCTGTGAAAGTCAATTTTAACACTTTTTGCTGTGATACTCATTTGAGCAGATACAGATACTAAAAAAGTCACACTCACAGGACAGAAATGAACCTTTCCTGAATCCCTTTAGAATCTTGAACTGTGACACAACTAGAATAAGACCACATAGACGAGTATATGCTCATGAACTACCTGGATCAGAGATTACACAAATGTAAGGTCACAAGGTAATAAAAAAGGAAGTGTTTGGTTTAATGCTGAAAATTACATACTGTCTCAAAAAATAGGGAAGTTAAATATCATAACACACACAAGCAAGCGTCTGAACTTCCACCAGCAAAGTTACATAATGTCCCTTTAAAAATATTTACCATTTCATTTTTTATGTGTGTGTTTTAGGTGCATTTGTTTGTCTGCAATTCAAACGAGGACATTAAAGCCGCTCTGGACCTCGGGGCCACTGGAGTGATGACTGACTACCCTTCTCTTCTCACAAACTACCTCAGTAAATACGATCATCTGAACTAATCAATAACCACATTTCCACTTGAAAAGCTCCAGTAACTTGTATGGGCCTTGATCACGATTGGGCAAACATGGTTACAGACAGTATTAAAACCACCCCATTGTCTAACCTGGCTGACTAATTACTTGATTGTATTCACTGAGCGATTATCTGTGGTATGATGTATGTTATTACTGTGAACTCCACCCACATTCTTTTCAAGGTATTTTCCCCAGCAACAAATCTCACTTTTCTTGTGTGACTGTTGGACCAGTCGTGCCACGTGACGGTGAATGCTCTTGATAAGAAAAGAGTGAACTTGACTTGTTTTGACTGGGTTACTATTTTGGCTACCAGAGTGACATCTTTGTTGATTAAAACATACAAGTCAGTCTTTTGTTAATTATGACAGCTTAAAACCAGTTTCAAGATGTTTAATGCTTGTTATAAAATTTGCCTGGGAACACTTTTACAATTACAGTGTGACAAAGTTTATACAGTACCATGTATTTCTCTTCATTTTGTTTTAATTATGACCTGTAGGCTAATAACCTTATCAAATGAAATATCTGATGTGGAATGTGTTGTGGCATTACCTGTAGAATGGTTTTCCAGGTCAAGGTTAAAGTCCGTCTGTAATGTTGTGTGATAATCATCAACTGGTCTACTGTGGCAACAAAGGCAGCTTTATCTGACCCACTGGGCAGTGGAACAGTTTTGATCAAGTGTAAGAGTGTACACTAGGAAGAGGGTGACTGATATTTAAAATAACCTTCTTTTTTAACTTGTAACTTTTGTATGGGTTTTAGTTTGCTCGCCATGTGGACAGTGAACAGCACAGACAGAATGCAGTCTCCAGGTCTAAAAATAGCTCTCCACTTTTCAGGGAAATGAGTTGAGAAACTTTGTTTTGTCCCTAAACAGTCGACCTGTTCGCATGAGTACACGTTCACTGTTGTCTCGGCCTAGTGCGCAGTGTCACATTCCCTCTTAATAAATCAGTACACGACTGTACATCTTAAATCTGTGGTTTTATAACATTATTGTAAAAACTGTACCAACTCTCATCAGCCTGATAGCCATAAAAGGCTGATGTGCGCGCGCCTCTCATTGGTTGACCCACATTCCTGACGTCAGTGCCGCGCGCTCATTGGCTGCTGCACATTTGTTTTGCACTTTTCAGAGCTTCACTTCCTCCTCTGTGTTTTCATAAACAAACCACATTTGTCTTCTATCGAGGCCACACACTCTCACAGCTTTGACCGACTGTTTTTATATTCGAGCTAAGTGCATGATTCACCGAAGATCTCAGCGATTCACCGAATACGGCTCCGACCTGAAGAGGAAACGCGGGCTCCTCGACAACAAGAGGCTTCTGTTGTCTTCTTTTTGTCCGACGGGCTGACGCGTGGTGCATCGTTCCTGGACGCATCTGTATCCAAAAGCGCCACAGACACTTCTCTGCGCTCGCCAGGCTTTTACAGGGGCTTTTTCCTCTGGTTCATCAGGTGAGGAGACTCAGACCGGAGCCTTTCCTGCATTGCGCACTCGTGCGCCTGTCGTAGCTTTGTGTTATTGGACTAGCACACTGGCTAACACAAAAGCTAGGTCAATGCCAGCAGAGGATCTCTAATGCCTTTCTGATGTAACGCATGATTTTATGCACTGTTGTGTGCTCCTTTTGAGTTAGATTATTGTTATCTTGTGAACAAAGCAGGTAGCTCTGCACGTGTTCGCCTCAAACTATAACATGTCGAAACATGTTTTCTGCTCCTCATCCTGCGCTGAAGCAAAACTCCACCACTGGTTGAGCTGCATACAGCACATCCATCTTTATAGGACATGACAACTCTTTTAATGTGTATGTGTATGCAAAGCAAATGTTACTGGCCAGTCATGCTCTGCAGATGAAGTACAATGCAACATTATACAACAGAATATTATTAACCTGTGAATGTAAATGTTATAACACTAGTTATAACACAAATATTACTTGCACACCATAAACTGTATAATAGATGCATACTCTAAATAACCTAATGTATACAGAAGTTGACAAATGGCAATAATACACATTTTGTTTAATAGTTTAAGCATTAGGGCATATTTTTTTAATAAAGTAAAAACTTTTTTTTCATGTACTTGACTACATTACCTAAAATTTACTAAAAGAGTTGTCAACAAGAATGAAAATTAAAATAAACTGAAGCAAAAAAAAAAATGTTGATAAGGGCTCTGAAAGTGTGTGTAATATTTCACTTCCTGTTTCTTTCTCAGACATGGTGAAGCTGACAAAGGCCAAGACTTTCCAGGCCTACCTGGACTCATGCCACCGCCGCTACAGCTGTGTGCACTGCCGCGCCCATTTGGCCAACCATGACGATCTCATTTCCAAGGTTGGTACTCAACAAAGCCAGTCAGGTTTGTTTTTTTGTTTTTTTTTATTGAAATTTGAAACTATTTTTTTCTCTTTACCTATACAGTCTTTTCAAGGCAGTCAGGGCCGAGCTTACCTCTTCAACTCTGTGTAAGTATTTTTTATTTTTATATAATATTCTTTTTTATATGTAGGGATGGATATGTTTCCATGTTGGTGACATCAGAGGCTTCTCCCTAGATATCTGTAGCTGTATTATTCCTGGCGCTGTGTGTCATTCCAAGTTGATCCTTTTTTTTAAATGGAGAAAGAAAGAGCAATTAGGCCAAAAGTATGTCTGTATGTTTACATTTGTAGGCTTTGCTATGCATTTTAAAATCTAAATATTGGCATCTGCAAATAAGCCAAAATCAGATGAAAAAATCCAAACTGGATCATTCATCACTATGTTTTGTAACACATTTGCAAATCTTGGCAATGATGTGGGCAAATGTTTCATCAAACTAAAAATGGGCAACAGAATGAATAATAAAATTAGATTTATCTGAAGACAAGTACTCAGTTGAGTTTATACAAACAACATTTTTAACAGTTGATTTAATCTAGCAGTGCTTGAAGTTCAAGATAGTTCACATTAGTCATGGTTTTCTATGTTAGTAGGTCAGTAATGTTTGACCATAGCCAGTGAAGACTTTTTTTTCCAAGCCAAGTGAAAAAGTGGAGCATAAATTAAATACTTGTGTTCATGACCTATCCTAAAGTTGTGTTTTAATTTTCAGAGTAAATGTTGGCTGTGGTCCTGCAGAAGAGAGGCTGCTGCTCACTGGACTTCACGCCGTAGCTGATATTTACTGTGAAAACTGCCACACCACTCTCGGCTGGAAATATGTAAGCATGATTAGTTTATAAATGCAATTAAACAAAACCAAAAGCGAGCAATGGAAAAAATCATTGTCCTTTTTTTGTTCTTGTCTCTGCAGGAACAAGCCTTTGAGTTAAGTCAGAAATACAAGGAAGGGAAGTACATCATCGAGCTGTCCCACATGATCAAAGACAATGGCTGGGATTGAGCAGGAAAAGGGCACCCTATGACTGGTAGAAGTTGTATCCCTTCAACTACAAGGGTTCCAATGTCTCCCTCTCGTCTCACATACGAGCCATTGCTGTGCCACACTTTCACTTTGTGCAGTTTCGCCAAGAATAGCATGTGAATGATGCCTTATCTTTTTCTGTTCTTCACGTTTCTTAAGCAGCTGCAGCGACACTTGCTGGTGCTGATATCCCAGTCGTCGCTCGCGGGTCCTGGGTCATGGAGTGAATGAGTGTAAGGTTTTGTGTCTGATAAGTAACTAGGACATGTAATCACGCTGGCATGTGTGCATGTTTGGGTTTTAAAGCATGGTTTAGCCACAAATCTCTTATCAGAAACAGTAGATGGAAGTTAATGGGGGTAACCCTTTCAACTGCGAAATCTTAACCTATCAGTTGCGGTTGCTGAAATTGGCAGGTCAATGGGGTAAAGTGGACTTAAAATAAAAATGTAAATTATTAAGGTATTGCCAATGACACAACAAAAAATATCTGGCTTCAAGGAAATTAACCAAATATGATTATCCTTCTGGTCAAATTACAAATCGTCAAAGGCAATCAGGGTTAAACACTAAATCCGACAGTCTACAGTGGAGTATTTTATGTATGTTTTACGTATGAATGTTTATGTATTGGTTTGTATTATAAGTTTGGTGTGAATGTTTAAAGGGGTCTCATGTAGGATTCACGTCTAGCATTTCCTCTGTGTAGGTGGGACGATTTACTTAATGCTGAAAAGATCTATCCTCTGTTTGTGTACCACTGAGCTGTCTTTTCGTATGTATCCATGTTAGAGCAGAACGGGCTTAATATTATGTAGCATATTTATGGTGATTTTAATGTCTGCTTCTTACATTAAAGTGTATTGTTTTAACATGTTGTAATTTGTTTTTTCTGAAGTGTGATAATGAAAAAGAATGTATTGTTTTTTGTTTTAAATAGTACACGTGTAATAGATAACTTGTAGAATTGTTTTCATGTAAATATATAACTAGTATTATATTCAGTGGAAACGTTAAATCAGGTTTTACAGTTCTTGATCACATGATCAAGGTTCAGCACTCATGAGGTATACAGGGTAGATGTGGTAGATAGGCGGCTGACTGTCATGTGTGGTGCAGCCAGATCCGGTAATCACATTGTAGGAGAAATTGTAAAATAAGTTTTTGCAGAATAGGTCATTTAAAATTATAAAGTGGATTTGTATGAATTCAAGTCATAGAGTTTACCTCTAATGCATCTAGTTTCCAAGTTCCCACAATCAGGAAATTTTAGTGTTGCAGTGTAAAGTTCAAGAACAGCAGGAGGACTGTAATATGCAATAAAAAACATCAAGATTAATAACTAGACCTTTAATAAAATAGATTTAGACTTAGACAAACTTTATTGATCCACAAGGGAAATTATTTGGATACAGTAGCTCACACATATAATATAATAACAAAGAGCAAAAATATAAATAGCAATAATAAAAGTAATAATAATAATAATAATAAAGTAATAAAATATAAAATCACAGCTTTATACAAAAGGTCAGGACTTGAACCTAATCAGTCTAATATTCTAGCTAAATTGGTTTGTTTTGCTAGACCAACACAAGATTTAAGGGAAATTATTTGGACAAAGTAGCTCACAAAATTACAATATTAGAATAGTTTTTTAAAAGTTTAAAGAAGTGACATATAAGAAAGGTCCAGAAGCGTGGTAAAAACCAAATGTAGCTTTAAGCTTTGGCCATTTTTTCATTCACATTGTTTTTATTTATTTATTTTTAGATTTCATATTGATAATTATTAATTTTATATATAAGTATTTGATGTAAACATTTAATGGTTCAATCGACTAAATACCGCACAGTACCGCCCCCTAGCGTTTCAACTGCAGTCTGTACACTTGCAGCAGAACATACCAAAATACAAAAAAACTAAACAACACATTTCTCTTGTTAAATCACAGTCAAAATTCTGAGAACTACTACCAAATAAACATGTATTACTCGTAAATGTTAGTAATACATTTTAAATAACAATTAAGCCAAATGTTTGTACTTTAACACCCACCCCGCGGAGAGCACAGATGGTTCAGTCCGGGGTGGTTGGTCATGTGACTTTTTCCGTTTCGCCATTTTCCCCTTCTCCACCGGTGCTCGTACTGGTAGCTCCGTGATCGCCCCTAGTCTGTGTTTTCTCCCGTCCTCCTGCATACCCGGGGGTTTAGAAGGATCCGAAACAACATAGTTTATTTTAGTAGCCGCGTAGGTTGAAACAAAACATCCAAAATGAGTGAGGAGGTCCCCGAGTACTCGCCTTTCTTCGCTGTGATGGGAGCCTCCGCGGCCATGGTCTTCAGTGGTGACTATACCAGTTTTTACTTCTGTCATTGTGTCTGTAATAACGCGATTAGGAAAATGTAGATGTAGGCACTTTAAGCCAGTTGTTTAGTTTAATAAAGACAGGCTAGAGGAAAGGATGCAGGTGCTTTCAGGGGTGGTCACGGTCCTCACACCTGCCGAGGATGCCAGGCAGAGGAGGGGATTGGTTCTGCTCAGAGGGCTCCT